ACACCAAATAAGTTACAATGTTCCAAACAGTCTTTTTTTTCTGAATATAAATAGCAAAGGACACCTTTCTTGCACTAAAAGCTAAAGTATACATACGATATTTAAACTACGAGTTAAAGTACCCATGGAAGCAGAAACAGCCCCTGCGAGGAAATCCAAACAGGACTCTTACTGCTCCGATCTCATCATTTCACTCACCCATAGAGCTAGATAGGGTTTTACTATGTAGCCCAGGCTGGCCTCAAAGTGAACTATGGCAATCTTCCTGCCTCAGCATCCTGAGTATCATATATTATTTTATAGTTTACATATTTTCAAGCACTCATTAGCTATGTGGGCCATTCATTATAATCAATTAAGAAAAGTTTAACAGGATATGGTGGTCCAAGTCCTGGATCCCAGCACTTGAGGCAGAGGCAGGTGGATCTCTAAATTCAAGGCTACCTTGAATTTACAAAGAGAGTTCCAGGACAGTTAGGGCTAAATAGAGAAACCCTGTTTCCAAAAAACAAACTAAAGTTTCTCTTTTCAAAGATTAATTTTTTATCATCTTAAATTATGTTATGTGTGTTAATTCACGTATGGGTTTGTGCATGGGTGCCTCTGATCGCAGAAGCGGAGCTGGGACAGTACAGTAGTGGGTCACATGACCTGGGTGCTTGGAACTGTACTCTGGTCCTTTGCAAGAGCAGCAAGTGCTCTTACTCATCGATCTCTCCAAGAAGAAAAATAAATTCTTAAAAGCCTCCCAAGTGGTGGGATTAAAGGCGTGTGCCACCACCACCTGGCTAGATTAAGTAACATTTTGTTCATTACACCAACAGGTTTAGTTCTAGGTTCTAGAAACACAATACTTAAGAAAGTCTTTATCTTTCTTGTAGTTTCTGGTATTATAGTGTGTACATGTGGGGAATCAAATAAATATATAAAGACTAAGCAAACAGTGGAATCGATACCTTCTGGGAAAGGGAAAATCAGTTTTCGCCAATGGAGTGATTATATTAACCATACTTTCAAGACAGACCCCATGCCTAGGAGTAGTAGTTGCCTAGGCAGAATTAACTTTATGGTTGGTTGTTTTTGTCTGTGTTTTATCTTTTATTTTGGATTTTTAAAAAATCATTTTTTAATTTGTTTGCTTCTTTTTTGTTTTTGAGAGAGAGAAAGAACATGAAGTTGGGTGGAGGTGTGGAGGATCTGGGAAGAGCGAAAATAGGATTAAAATATATTGCAGCCAGGTAGTGGTAGAATACCCTTTAATCCCAGCATTTGGGAGGCAGAGGCAATTTGAGGCCAGCCTGGTCTACAGAGTGAGTTCCAGGATACGCAGGGCTACTCAGAGAAAACCTGTTTTGAAAAACCAATATATAGATGATATATGTATATTTTAAATAATAAAAATAAAATAAGCAAATATAACTTTGCACGGTGACAAGTGCTATAAAGAAAAATGCTAAGGTAAGGAGATGACTTAGAGGGCAGTGTTTGACATGTAAGCATGAGGACATGCATCCAGATTCTCAGAACCCAGGAAAGTCAGGAGCTTGCCAGCTAGCTAGTCAGGTGTACACAGCGACAGAATGAGAGAGCCCAACTCAATCAAAGTAGAAGGTGAGGACTAACAATCTGAGGTTGTTGTCTGATGACTATGTGCATGTGTGGCATGCATTGCTAGTATGCACACACATGTGCATACACACACCACACAGATTTAAAAAGGCAATGTAGAGCAAAGGGACAGCATTCCTGAGTAGAGGGAGGTCTTTAGCTAGAACGAGCCATCTGAGAGACTGTCATGCAAGTGTGAGAATAGGACAGTGAGAATGAAGCAGCCTGGGGGAATGCAGACTGAGCAAACCCTTCAGGATCTACAGCCGCAGACAGGGGAGTGCACTTGATTCGGAGGGCGATGAGAAAAGTGAAATGAGCAGGATAGAAAGACGACCGGAGAGGTGAGCGGAGAGCTAAGCAGAAGGTGGTCACACATGTGGAGGACACTGCGCTTAAGTCTTAATCAGTGTGCAACGAGGAGCTACTGCTTTCCTGTCCAGACCATGCTGTTCGCAGTAGTGAGAAAGGCTGGCATGGAACTACTGATATTACTTCTATCCTCTGCCTTTTCATCAGGAGTCCACTTAAGAAAGCTGGGGTTATGGGAGAATATGATATTGAATAGGACTGTAACATTAATTGTTATATTTTTGATCTGAAACTATGAGCAGAATTTCTGTGTTTGTTTTGTCAACCTGACAAAGCTTGGGCAATCTGGGAAGAGGGAACATCAACAGAGAAGATGCCTCCCTCAGACGGACCTGCAGACATGTCTGGGGGGCACTTTCTTGAGTAATAACTGATGTGGGAGGGCCCAGCCCACTATGGATACTGTCTGTCACACCTGGGCAGTTTGGTCTTGTATAAAAAAAAGGAAGCCAAGGAAGCCACTAAGGAGAGTTCCTACATGGGCCCTGCTTCTGCTTCAGTTCCTGGCCTGGCTTCCCTCAGGGAGGGACTGTGACTGGTTTACACAAGCCTTTCCTCCTTCACATTGCTTTTAGTCATGGAGTTTACCATAGCAACAGGAAGCTCTAGGACGATTTCAAAATGCCTATCAATTATATTATTAACCCAATTTTTACTGAAATAATAAAACCTTCTTGATATTATTCCATAGTTGTTTTCCAGTTAATTTTAGAGATAATATTTAGGAAGTCTCTCACATGCTAATCTTATTTTAAAATTAAAATAAAAATAGATCTGAAATACAAGCTGGACCAAGTAGAGTCTTTAAGACCCACTTATTGAGAAACTACTGTGGTCCAGTCTCAAGACATGACGAGTTGTCCATCACACTATAGTGTGATGTTTCAAAGGAAATGGACTTAAACAGAGTACTTCTTTTTCCTCTTTTGGGGGTTCAGAAAATGAAAGAGAGCCTAGAGAGTTCAACTAAGTATTTTACAATTATCTCAACTTGAGCTTCAACAAACTTCTAAAAGGATGATTCAGCTACCTTGGCAGCAGAGTATCAGCAAGTGGCTGTGACAAGGAGACAGAGGAGCTAAGAGCGGCTCCGCTCCGCTCAGCACTTTACAGCAATGCTTGCCGCACTTCTGATTTTTAGCTGAATACAGTCAGCTAAGTGGAAATTATTTTTAACCATTTTCCACCACTCTTTCTCAGGTAGAAATAATTTATAGAATGGCTGGCTTGGAGTAGGGTCATATCAGGATTTTTGATGCAGTGGCATAATATTACTAAGAGAGATTTTACTAGATTGAATGGCTAATTTGTTCAAAAAGTACAGTTTACATTACAAAAATTCTGCTGCTATTATCTTGGGCTCTGAAAGACCTTGCTTCACTTTACACACACCCACAAACGCTATACTTAAATAGATCCAGGGACATTAACTTTGTATTCTGAGAAAATAAAATGTTTAAAAATAATTTACAAAAGTACCACGTAATATTTAAAATAAAAAGTCAGGACTAAATTTAGTTTTTATAAAATGGATATAAATGACTTTTCTTCAACCAAGTTTAAAACATAGAATCAGAGTCATAAATAATTCTAGCTTGCCAGAGGCATGGCTATTTCTTTATACTGACTGTCGACTATCTAATTTAATTAGAGGTATTAAACTCCATGTTGAGGTCAACAAGCTTTACTTCCTCCAATATTACACTGCAACCGGTGCTCATTAATGTGTCTACTGAATGGATTAACACACCTGAAGATATATGTACAAAGGACAGGGGGGACAACCTAATGAAATCTAATTGTTCATTTGTAATAGGACATGTTCTAGGCCTCAACTTATTACCACTAATGTGGAATTTATTAAATTCGGGAGAAAAAATACCAATACAGAAAGTGATTTTTTATTAAGAACTGGTGTAAGACAACTGGCTTCGATGATTAAGTTTAAACATTTAACCTGTTAAAAAGAAAGTGATATTATAATAAAACTAAAATATAAGGCTGCTATTGAGAAAAAATATTAATAGGATGCTTCAAGAGCATATTAACAGGAAGCATCATAAAGAATAAAGAAAAGGGAAAATCAGTATATGGAAAAAACAGTACATTTTTGTTTTTGATGTCTATGAAAAGGTTTAGAGTAGCAATACTGAATTATGAGATTATATTTATATCTTCTGTTGGATTTTAAGACAGACAAACCCTTTAAAACTGCTTTAAGTAAAAAGCTAATTTAGGCTGGGTATTTCTTCAACAATACTTATTTTAACAGTAATGCACATGTCTATATTATAAAAGTTTAAAAATTATTACCATTACATTAAAAAAATTAGAAGGTGCTGACAAGAGGGTTCAGCAGGTAAGGCACCTGACAGCCTGAGTTCAACCTTGAGAATCCGTATGGGGGAAGAAAAAAACCAACCTCCTCAAGTTGTTCTCCAACCTCCACATGCACTGTGGCATACAGGCAAGCATGTGTTCATGTACACACACACACACACACCCCAACAAACAAACATACATAAATAATCAACAGGCCAGAAAGGTAGCTCAGCAAGAAAAAGCTCCTGTTGCCAGGCTGATGAGTCAAGGTGCACCACTGTGACCCACATGATGGAAGCAGACAGCGGGTTCTCAACGACCCCCATGTTTGTGTCATTACAAGTACACAAAATAAATTCTGAAAATGCAACAAAAAACCTCAAAGGCACAACATTAATTCTACCTGATGTTATCTACAGGTTCAACATATCTCTATCAAAATCCCAACAATTTAACAGAGGAACCAAATAACACTATATGTATGTATAAAAATGTCATAACTCCTTATTTTCTACTTGGTAATTAGAAAAGAAAGAATTCCAGTAGATTCTGGAATAGAAATAGAAAACCCATTCTAAAGCTTTTATATAGAATTTTAAGAGCTGTTTAAAGCCAACAATCCTGAGAAAAAGCTGGAAGATTCATATTTCTTGAGTCCAAATTAGAATGTGATAGCCATCAAGAGTATGGAATTGGAGTGAGGAGTGACTGGGGGTGTGTCCGCAGGAGGAGGTCCGGGTGAAGATCAAAGACCTGAATGAACACATCGTCTGCTGCCTGTGTGCCGGCTACTTCGTGGATGCCACCACCATCACAGAGTGTCTCCACACCTTCTGCAAAAGTTGTATTGTGAAGTACCTGCAGACCAGCAAGTACTGCCCCATGTGCAACATCAAGATCCACAAGACGCAGCCGCTGCTCAACCTCAAGCTGGATCGGGTCATGCAGGACATAGTCTATAAACTGGTACCAGGCTTGCAAGACAGTGAAGAGAAACAGATTCGGGAATTCTATCAGTCCCGAGGCTTGGACAGAGTCACCCAGCCCAGTGGGGAAGAGCCAGCCCTGAGCAACCTTGGCCTCCCTTTCAGCAGTTTTGACCACTCTAAAGCCCACTATTACCGCTATGACGAACAGCTGAGCCTATGCCTGGAGCGGCTGAGTTCTGGCAAAGACAAGAATAAAAACGTCCTTCAGAACAAATACGTCCGATGCTCTGTTAGAGCTGAGGTACGCCATCTCCGAAGGGTTCTGTGTCACCGCCTAATGCTAAATCCACAACATGTACAGCTCCTTTTTGACAATGAGGTTCTCCCTGATCACATGACAATGAAGCAGCTGTGGCTGTCCCGCTGGTTTGGCAAGCCATCTCCTTTGCTTTTACAATACAGTGTGAAAGAGAAGAGGAGGTAGGGGCCAGACTTGCTTCCACCCCCTCCCACCCCTCCCAGATATTTATGTGAAATTAACTGTGGCTTTATTTTTTGAAATAAAAGCTTTGAAAAAGCATTTTTCATCTTTCTTGGCTACTCACTGCACACTCAAGCTTTGGCCTGTGTTCTGGTTGCTCAGCAGTCTCCCTGGTATCTACCAGATGTCCTCAGGATGTCCTTTGTGACTTCTAGAAGGAGCTGGACAGAGGCCCGCGTGAACTGAAATCTGGCCTTTTGGGTGAGAGAAGGCCGTCTACATGGCAGCTCTTGCTGTCCTCGTGTGCTGCAGGATATGATAGCTGCCTCAGCGGAAATGTCACAAACGTGTCAAGAGAGGACAACCTGTGGCCCCTACAGGGCTGAAGAGGAGGAAAAGCAATATTTAAGGAAAAATCCAAATAATTGCATTTGGTTCTGTAGCCTGGGAACCAAAGTCAAGAGAGAAGACCCCACAGATGGCATCTAGTGGGGCAGTCTGAGCCTAGGACAGCTGTCTACAGAGGCAGCTAGCCTTGGGGAGGGGAGTCAGTGAAGCTGGGATGGGGAAGACACCAAGAGGAGCTTCACAGAAGAGGGGCATGGTCAGGCAAGGGCATATCTTGTCTCTAAAAGTCCACGGTACTTGATGAACTTTGGCAATAATCCCACAGTGTCCTGATTCTATGGATAGCTATGTGGAAGAGTCAAAGTATGTCCACACCCAAAAGAAAAAAAAAAAANCAAAAAAAAAAAAAAAAAAGAGTATGGAATTGGTATAAGGACAGACATGTAGACTAATGAACTAGAATGCAGCAGTTTCTCTGTAAATAGTGATGAAAAAGGCAGGCATTTACAGATACAAAGTATCTGTATCTTAGTATGAATAGAGAACGTAGATGCTAGGAGGTAAAACTATAAAGCTTTCTGAGGAAAACAGAGAATCATCTCCATGGTAGCGGATTTGGCAATGGTTTCTTGGATTCACATTAAAAACAAAGGTAACAAAGAAAAATTGAAGTCCATAAATAGGGACCAATCATAGAATTAATATCTACAATATATAAAGAACTCCTAAAATGACATAAAAAATATGAACAAATGAGTACAGGACTTGGATAGACATTTCTCCAAAGAAGACAAACAACTGTTCAGTACAATAAGAGAAGGTGCTCACTGTCGTCAGCTGTTACATCAATGTGAAGTAAAACTATGAGGATTCTCTGAGGAGTGGATATGGGGTGTGATGGGGGGAAAGTGAAGGGAGCAGGAGGCGGGAAGGGAGTGAAAACTGGGATTGGAATGCAAAATAAGAAAAGAGTTACTTTTTAAAAAAAATAAATTAATCAATTAAAAGAAAAGAAGAAAGAGGAAGGAAGACCATGAGGTTTGAGGCCATGTGTGTGTTGCACAGTGAGCTCAAGAAGAGCTGGGGACAGATAGATAAATTCTGCCACAAAACAAACAAACAAATTAACTACTTTGCACGTATTAGGATGTCTATAGTTTTTTTCTAAAAAGATTCAAATTAACAAGTATTGGTGATGATGTGGAAAGGCTGGGACCATTGTGCGTGTCTGACATGGATGTAAAGGGGTACAGCTGATGTTGAACATCCTCAAAAAGTTCAACATAGAGTGCAAACATAACCCAACAATGTTATTCCTAGACATATAGCCAAAAGAACAAAAGACAAGCATCTAAGCAGTATGATATGTTCATTGCAGTATGATTCACAATAGTCAAAAGGTGGACATAACCCGAATGTCTAAACATAGATAAACAAAATGCAGTAATACATACAATTAGATATCTGGACATATAAAACAATGAAATTCTGAGGTGCTACAACATACATGAAACCTTAAGAAAATTCAGCTAGATAAGACAGTACAAAGGACAAATATTGTATGCCTCTACTTATTATACTTCTAGAACTGGCAAATTATAGAGGCAGAAAGTATGGGGCAAAGACAAAAGAGTGTGAGAGGAAATGAACTGAGGAATAGGCTTATCTGCTGAGTGGTTTGAATCGAGCGCTGACCAAAAGAAAAGGAAGTACTATCACTTAACTGACTTTCTGCGTTTTCAGCCTGAGACTGCAGCCTAGAAAATGATGACACCTGCATTTGAGGAGGGGTGAATCTTCCCTCCTCAGTAAAATGCCCTGAGAATGATCCCTCCAAATCTAGTCAAGCTGACAATCAAGATTAGGCACCGCAAATGTGCAGGCTAAGACACAGAAGAAGGGGTGTTTGGGGCAATGCCATTCACCAGAAGTCCTGCATGTTTGGCTGTCCAGAAACTCTCTGATCATTGTCCTCTGAGTTCATATGTGGAGACTCTATGTCATTGGACTAAGAATATAACTAACGTACCAGATGGAGTGGGGGAACTCAGTAAAGCCTGTCTGTGATTCTTGTTCTGTATGAAGCATTCCTTTCCCATGGGTTTGGAGTGATAGATCTTCTGAAACGGGGATCTTAGGATTTACTTGCAGACAAGTCATGTCAAAATATTGATTTGAGGCTTCCAAGACAAAAGGTTAGAGAAAGTTTTATTTTTTCTTTCTGAGGCATGTTTCTGATGTCTAAAGTACTCTAACATAAAAATATATGCTTATTGTCTGACACTAATAATTCAGGAAATAACAAGGGCCAGAATTAAAAATGAACCAGAATTCATGGATAAAATAATGTAATCAAGATTGTAGAAATATTTTGTTTGTGTTTTAACAAATAAAATTTGCCTGAAGATCAGAGTACAGAGCTAAGCCACTAGAGGCCAGGCAGTGGTAGTACATACCTTTAATGCCAGGACTCAGGAGACAGAGCAGATGGATCCCTATTAGTTCAAGGCCACCCTAGGCTATACAAAATTCATCCAATCTATAAGAGAAATAGAGTTCATATAAAGATGATCCCAGTACTTGGGATCTCACGTCTTTAATCCTAGCACTAGGGAGGTGGAGACAGGAGTGATATGGCTAGGCAGAGAGAGGAATATAAGGTGGGAGGAGACAGGAGCTTAGACGCAGTCTAAAACAGTCAGGCAGAGGTTACAGTCAGAGGAAGCAGTCTGAGGACAGGATCACCCCTTTGGTCTGAGCGCTGGTAGAGGTAAAAGGTCTCTCTAGTGGCTGACCGCTTTCTCTGATCTTTCAGCTTTTACCTCCTAATATCTGACTCTGGGTTTTTTTTTTTTTTTATTGATTTTTATTGAGCTCTGTATTTTACTCTGCTCCCCTCCCTGCTTCCCCCTCCCCCTTCAACCATTGCCCAAGGTCCCCATGTTCCCAATTTATTCAGGAGATATTGTCTTTTTCTACTTCCCATGAGATTAGATCTATGTAAGTCTCTCTTAATGTCCTCATTGTTGTCTAAGTTCTCTGGGATTGTTGTTTGTAGGATAGCTTTCTTTGCTTTATGTTTAAAAACCACCTATGAGTGAGTACATGGGATAATTGTCTGGGTTACCTCACTCAAAATAATGTTTTCTAGCTCCATCCATTTTCCTGCAAAAATCAAAATGTTTTTTTTTTTTTCTGCTATGTAGAACTCCATTCTTACTCTGGGTTTTTATTAAGATCAATTAGAATTGACATTACACAGGATGGTATTGTCAAGAAAATAGATGTGTAGACTGAGGTAACAGAATACAGAATGTGTAAACAAGTATAAAAGTCTCAATATGGATACCAATAATACATGCAAGGAAGGATAATCTCTTCAATAAATAGAATGGAAAACCTAGATTTCTACATACAAACTAATAAAATGAGACTTGTATTTTCCACCATTCACAAAAATAAACTCAAAGTAGACAAAAGACCTAAATCTAAGTCCTGAAATGACATATGAGGACAGATACTTGACACTGGTTTTAGCAATTGTTTTGTTTTGTTTTTGGTTTGTCACATCAAATACATGTACTACAAAATCAAAATGATCAAAGTCAAAAGGAAAGAAAGGCAACCCTACCAACTGGATAAAACCAAACAATCTGCAAACCATGTATCTTATAAAGGGTTAATATCCAAATTTATAAGAACATTTACAACTCAATAGGCAGAAAAATAAACAGACAGTAAAAAATGGACAAAAGACCAGAACACATATTTCTCCAAAGAGGAGTTAAACCAAAGAGGTGTATGGAAAGGTAGGTGGTCAGGTCAGGAAGTTATTTTCCTGAGAATATGAAATTAAAATAATGACAGGCTTTGATGGACGGCTATTAAAGGAGGAAAGCACCGCTGTGCAGGGTGTAGAAATGGAGCAATCATGGAACACAGTAGAGACCGATAAGAAGAGAACTGCATGTAAACTACCAATCTCCCTGAGGACATGCGCAAAGAGGTGAAGCCACCACCCACTCCAGCTTCCTTTCTGTGAGAAAACCCTCGGACCCAAAGCAAAAACAGAGGAAAGGATTTATTGTAGCTTACAGCTTATAATATATTCCCAAAGGAAACAGGGCAGGAATTCAAGCATGAACTCTTCACAGACAAGAAAATACAGCAAGAATCATGGGAAATACTCCCTGCCAGCTCCGGTCCATTCTTAGCTAGTTTTTGTATTCAGTCCAGAACAATCTGCCAAGGATACAGAGTGGGCGGGACCCTTCTGTATCAATAATAATAATAACCACCTCTCCCAAAGACATATTTCATAGGCTAATCTGATCTAGGCAATTCCTCAACAGAAGCTTTCTTCTCAGATGACTGTAGTCTGTATTAAGTTGACAAAGTGAACTAGACTATGATCTCATAAAGGTATCCACACTTCCAGGTTTCTTGCAGAATATTCATAAAAACTAGGAAATGGAACAACCTATAGATCTGTAATAGCTAGCTTTATCGATCAATCTGACACAACCTAGAATCACCTCAGAAGAGAGTCTCAATGAAGGACTGGGTTGACCTGTGGGCATGCCTGTGGGAAACTGTCTTAAGAAAACTCATGAGGGAAGGACCAGCCCACTGTGGGTTGCACCAGTCCCTAGACGGGGGTTCCTGAACTATTAAGACTGGAAAAATTAAGTTAAGTAGAAGCAAGCAAGTGGGTGCACATGTGTGCATCACTGCTCTCTGCTCTTGACTGTGGATGATGTGACTGGCTATTTGAAGTTCCTGCCTTGACTTCCTCACAATGATGGACTGTAACTTGGAATCATGAACTAAAATAGACCCTTTCTTCCCTAAATTTTATCACAACAACAGAAATGAAAGCAGGACAGTATCCATTCATGAGTAATGGATACATAAAATGTGATGTGTGTGTGTGTTGAACTGTTGATTAGCTTTAAAAAAGAAGATTCTGTCATTTACAACATAAAAAAACCTGAGATTATGCTAAGACAAGTAAGTCAAACAAAGAAAAATTTGACCTTGTTTATGTACAGAATTTTAAAAAATCAGATATAAAAAACATATAATAATAAGCCAGATTTGTTTTGGTATATACTTATAATCCCACCACTCAAGATACTGGGCAAAAGGATCATGAGTTCAGGGACAGTTTGAACTACACAGCAAAACTATGTCTACAAACAAACCAACAAACAAATAGAAAAACAAAAGGCACATACCAAATGAATAAAAAATCAAAACCAAACCAAAACCAGCAATTCAGTTAGGGAAGGAAATAGGGAGATAAAGGTCTAAGGATACAAAGTAGCAGGTGTATAGGTTAACACATCTAGGAATCCAGTGAACAAGAGGATTGGTTCAATAATGACATTTTTGTCTTCAAAGACATTTTAGCTGCTATTACCACAGAAAAGTAGCTACTTAATGGATGATGGATAAGTTCATTTGCCTCATCACAGAAATAATTTATCACTTATATATTTTCTAACCAAAATGCTGTAAACTTCAAATATACAAAATAAATTTTATTAAAAACAGCAAAGTAAGCTAAAGAGATTGTGGCTAAGAGCACTTTCTGCTCTTCCAGAGGACCCGAGTTCAGTTCTCAGCAGCCATACTGGGTGGCTTACAAGGGTCTTTAACTCCAGTTCCAGGGAGATCTGAGAGCCTCTCCTGGCCTTTTCTATACTTGTGTACATGTGCACACTAACACAAACAACAGACAAAAGTGATTAAGAGGCATTGGTTAAAGAAACAAGCTCTTCATCCTTCAGCAGGGCTCTATCAATTGGATGTTAGTATTTTATGTGTTAATTTTCTTAACTAATAAGATTTAACTTCAACGTACTTTAACTTAGCACTTACTTTTTTGGTAAGAGAGTCATCAGAATCAGAAGGCATTCTTGTTGATACATGAAATATCACTTCTACTGTCGAGGTAGCAAAGTATGGCGTGGTCAGTCCAGTGCTTTTGTTCTTTTGTAGTCCTCCCATGAAACCACAGTGATTGGTAAGATTTACCTAGGAACAATGAAGAATTACATAAGCATCATCAACAACAAAATCACAGAAACACTGTTGAAAAAGAAAAAAAAACAATGTACAAAGATGTTAGGAATAAAGTCTTTTCATTCTGCTAAACTCATAGATAGTGTCTTGCTCAGCCATCATCAGAGAAGCTGGGCAGTATGTAGAAAATGAGACACCTGGGAGCACTCAGCCCTAAACAGATACTATCCATCAAATCCCTTCCCTTGGGGCTCAGGGAATCCCACAGAAGAGGGCGTAGAAAGTGTAAGAGGCAGAGGAGATGGAGGACACCAGGAGAACAAGGCCTTTAAATCAGCAAGACTGACCCACGTGTGAACTCACAGAGGCTGAGGCAGCATGCACAAGGCCTGCATGTGGAGTCCTTGAGCTGAAAGGAGAAATGGGTATGTGGCCCATAAACACTTGCAAATGAAAAGTTAATTTTCTCCAAGAAAGTTTCACTGGGGAAACCAACTATTGTTAAGGATATGTTGCATGGCCAGCAGTAAATGGACAAGAGAAAACAAACTCAATGGGATCTTTGGAAATTTCTTGTCTCATAATGTTATGTGTCAGAACTTTTTCTTTTTAACGTTTTAAAATATTTTTATCTTATTACTGTTTTACCCAACAGGTCCTTTGCATATTATATAACAGCTTCCAGTTTAGTGGGTTTTTTTTTTGTTTTGTTTTGTTTTGTTTTATGGGATTCTTGAATGTGTGAATGAGTGGGTCGCTGTTTCTTGTGCCTTCTTTTAGGTTATTTACCTTCTGGTTTGTTTTGTCTTATTCTGATGTGTTAGTTTTTGTTTTATCTTCTATTACATTTTATTATTATCCTCTAGAAACCTGTTTTTTAATGAGACAGAAAAGGGGTGGATCTGGATAGGAGGGGAGGTGGGAGGAACTAGGAGTAGAGGGAGGGATATAGTGTCAGGATATAGTATGTGAGATACATAATCAGGATATAGTATGTGAGAAAAAAAATCCATTTTCAATAAAAGGGGGAAAAGGAAGAAGGTCTTTTATATGCTACTGGCCAATATTAAGTCTAGCATTACAGGTAGCTCTCTGTCTCTGTGGGGTCCACATCTACAGACTATACCAACTATGGATTGAAGGTATTCAGAGAAAAAAAGAGCTTGTACCAAACAGGTACAAACTTTTATCTCCTGTTATTAATATTTCCTAAATAATATAGTATGGCAACTAGTTTGACACAGGGTCTCAAATAGCCCAGGCCTTGAACTACTAATTTCCTGTCTCTACCTCCCAAACGATGGGCTCAAAGGCATGTGCTACCACACATGGCCTGATGTAACAACTATTTACACAATGTTTACATTTTATTGGGTATTATAAATAATTCTTATATCATTTAGGAAAAATGTGCATTATGCTGTCATTTTTATATTAAGGATGTGAGTACTGTGGATTTTTGGTATCTGAAGGGAGTCCTCGAACCAATCCTCACATATACCAAGAGGCAACTTTATTAGAGGTGATTTGTTCACATCAGTAATTTTTTTTAAAAGTATTTAAGGAGCTTTAATTAGTAGAAGTTAAGAAAGAAAGCAGCTGTTGTTTACTATAAACTTACATTAGGAACTAGGTTTTAAGAGTAAACTAGAAAGGCTTTGCAGGGTCACTAAGATCAGAGTAAAAATCAGATCTGAGATGATTTAGAAGAATGTTAAAACAATGTCAACTTCAAAAACGATCAATTAGATGTCTCATATTTACTCATAAAACTGTCTTCCTAATACCCATTACAGACTAGAATAAAAAAAATTGAAAAAAAAATCACAAAATTTAACTGCACTTCAATTATAAAAACCTATCAATTGATCTGTATGAAGATCTGGAAACATTTTAGGTCATGATACAATATATAATATGTGTCAGTATCAGGGCTGTAGCACTGGATGGTCCCCTTGACCTATCTAATGCACAGAAGAGATGAAATCATTGGCTTTCTTGGCCTTCACTGATGCCATCTGATAGTACCTCATTACTGCCTTGTGGAGATAGAAGGCAGGTGATGGAAGTCTAGGTTTCCTATCTGACCTTCGGCATATATGTGCAGTTCCTCCAAGGGCTCCTTTCCTGGTTGTCTGGCTTTTATAGGTGTCTATATGTTTTAGGTTACTGGCTCTTCAGCTGAGGTGCACTGCATTCTCCAATCAGGAAGCAGAGTGCAATGAACACTCTTCTCGGCTTGCTTTCCTCTTTTATTCCATGGGGACCCCAACCCATGGAATGATATCATCCAAATTTAGAGTGGAGTTTCCCTCTTCCATCAATCTAGATTAAAAGGCTCCTCATGTCCAGAATTTGTTTCCATGATGATTTTAATTCCCATCAGGTTGACAATCAAAATTAAGCACCACAGCATTCATTCCTTTTTCTGGCTAATACTTGCTTGTCACAATACACTACATCTATTTACCCATTCACTCACTAATGAACATAGAAATGGGTTGTTTTGCCAATTTATTATGTAGCAATGAACACAGATTTTTAAGTTTTGAATAAGTTTAAACTTTTATTTTTCCTGGGTATGCATACAGCAGAACTATTTTGTTACAAGGTGTCCCGGCTAGTTTTATGTCAACCTGACACAACCTGGAGTTATCTGAAAGGAGGGAACCTTAAATGAAAAAATGCTTTCATAAGATCTGGTTGTAGGGCATTTTCTTAATTAATGATTGATCAGGGAGGGCCCAGCCCATTGTGGGTGGTGGCATCCTTGGGCTGGCGGTTCTAGGTTCTATATGAAAGCAGGCAGAGCAGGCCATGAGGAACAAGCCAGTAAGCAGCAGTCCTCTTCATGACCTCTACATCAACTCCTGCCTCAAGGTTCCTGCTCTGTTTGAGTTCCTGTCCTGACTTGCTTCAGTGACGAACAGCAATGTGGAAGTGTAAGCCAGGCAAATCCAAGTTGCTTTGGTCATAGTGTTTCATCACAGCTATAGTAACACTAACTTGAACAAATGGCGCCTTTATGCTTAACTACCCAATCAACTATGCTATAGCATGTTATGTCTCTAGCAGAATATGAGAGTTCAGATTGCTCTAAATCCTAGCCAAAGATATGACTTGACTTTTTAAATCTAACCATCCTGCTGGGTGTGAAGAGATACTCATTGTGGTTTCTCCTTTTCTTCCCTGATGACTCATGATATCAAGAGTCTTTTCATGTATTTACTAAACATTTACCTATCTTTGGAGTATATCTATCATGGTCCTGCGGCCATTTTTTAAATTGGAGGATTTAATACATGAGTACATTTGCATTATTTTCACCCCTCTCCTCTAAAACTCCTCTATGTCCCCTCAATAATCTCTTCTTGAATTCATGACCACTTTTTCTTTATTTTTGTTATTTTGAGTCCAATCAGTGTTGCCCATGTTTGCATGTTTAGGTAGGTATGACCACTTAGGACTGTGGTCCTATACCTGAAAACAAACAAACAACAAAAGCAAAAACCTGTTTTTTCCTCCCTCAGCAGACACTGACTGCCTGTTGTTATTTATCTGGGGAAATTTTGTGAAATTTCCTTCCATCTATGTTGTCATGTCCCTTGGTAAAGATTTTGGGCATTTTTTTTAACTGAATCACATGCTACTTTTTTTTTTAAACTTGTATGAGTTCTTCAAATATTCTATGTACAAATCTCTTCTCAAATATAGAATTTGCAATTACATCCCCCAATCTGTGGAGTTTTTTACTTTGTGGGGTCCTTTGAAGCACAAAAATGATAATTTTGATGAGTGTTCTTTTCTTCCTTGTTCATGCTTTTAGTTTTAGATCTAAGAAATCGTTATCAAATCTAAGGTCATAAATACTTGCACCTATATTATCTTCTAAGTGTTTTATAACTTTAAGTCTTTGATCCATTTTGAGTTAATTCTTATATATAGTATTGTTTGACTTCACTTAAAATTACTTTATTTTTAATTATGTGTATGCTGATGTTGTTAGTGTTTGTGTGCACGTGTGGTGGGGGAGGTATGTGCAATGATGGACAGGCCCTGTAGAGGCTAGTGGAGGGTTGTTGGATACTGTGGAACTTGAGCTACAGGCACTTGTGAGACTCCCAACATGGGTGCTGGGAATCACTCTCTTAACTGCTGAGTCCCCTGACTTTTTATGTGTGTGTGTGTGTGGGGGGGGGCAGGGGGTGGTATGGCTATCTGGTTATGCCAGCAACATTTGTTGAAAAGATTATTCATTCTCCACTGGATGGTCTAGGTAAAAAAAATGTTGACTATAAACATGTGTACTCTATGTTCTATTCCACTGATCTGTATATTTATCCTTTTGCTAATACCATACTATCTTGATTAGTATTGCTTAGTAGCAAATTTGAAATCAGAAGGTATATATAGCCCTCCCAATTTGCTCTTCTTCTCATGTACCCCTCACTCTTAGTAATGATTCTATAGTTCTTCAATACAAAAAATCCATTTGTTATGTTTTTAAGGCATATTTACATATACCATCTTAACTGATATTTTCGGCTTAGAGAGCTTACATAATCCACATAAGGTGAACTAGCTCGTAACCCATATAATAAATATAGAGTGGGATAAGAAAAGCTGACATATTAGACACTGTGGAAAGAAAGTACTGGTATTAAGAGCAGAAGTCAGTAAGACAGAGTGCCAGCCCTCGACAAGTTTGTTGCTTAGTTCAATCATCTTCAACAACTTTATCAGATACTCTCAATAAAAATTTTGTGAAATAACTGTCAACTATAAGAAAAAAATTTTATTGTAAGTTTAAATGGCTACCAAGGTTATTATTTCTATGATACTGCTTTAAATATACATCCATCAAACCCAAAGTTATTTGTTGAACCTGGAGTTTGTGGATTTGGCTATCTAGTGAGCAATCGGGATCTATTTGTCTCTATTGCTGCATTACAGACTCCTCCACTGTGCCTACCTTTTATATGGGTGCTGGGGATCCAAACTCAGGTCCTCATGCTCGCTAGGTAAGCTCACAAGCAACTGATCCATCTTCCCAGTCCCTCTTGTAACTATTTCTTTTTTTTAAGAATTTATTTATTTTTAATTTTTTAAAAATATTTATTTATTTAGTATACAGTATTCTGTCTACTTGTATGCCTGCAGGCCAGAAGAGGGCGCCAGACCTCACTACAGATGGCTGTGAGCCACCATGTGGTTGCTGGGAATTGAACTCAGGACCTTTGGAAGAACAGGCAGTGTTCTTAACCGCTGAGCCATCTCTCCAGCCCCCTTGTAACTATTTCTTAAACAGTATAGCAGAGCAATGGAATATACAGCATTTAGACTACTTTGGATAAGTAACTTAGGTATGCTTTAAAGTATACAGGGGGATACACATTAGTTTTAGTCAAGTATTCCACTGTTTTGTATGAGGGACTGGAACATCCTTGGATTCTGGTATCTGAAGGTTGACTGAGGGCTAAATATAAAATGATGGTTGGTATAACCTAAAAACAATACCTCCCATCCAAGACCAGCTACAAAATCTTCATATGCTTGACTTCCTCCTACATTGGTGAGAATGGAGTATTTATCTTCTTGTCCTTCAGCAACGTAAAATACTGCAATCTTGTGTGTCTCTCGGCTACAAAAACAAAAGGTTACATCATTCATTTGTCTGCTTATTAAATTCCATATACAGAGAATATGAAAAAGACTTAGATGCTATAGTCCACAGAAGAAGGTAACTAATTGCAATTTAAATAAAGGAATCAAAAAAGTAACAAAATTGCCACTGGACCAGAAGAAAGGTATGGTTACTTCTGACTGGAAAAACTAATACTTAAAGTAATAATGAATTAGGTAAAGGTACGAATTTGGAAAATGAAGGCAGAGTATGGACAAGAATAGATATATATGGATGCATGATCATCTAAAGAGTTGTTCATTGCGCAGCGTGACTGAATCTCAGCGTCACTGAAACTCAGTGACAGTTTTAGAATTAAGCAACCATCAGTAGGTAGTGTATTCCTTCAAACTGCATACAACAACAGAATATGAACATACATACATACATACACAGATACACACACACAGATACACACACACATATATGCATGGGTTAACTGCCAAATTCTTGGACATTTAACTTTTAGTTTTCTCTGAATTTAAAAGTGTTCACAAAGGCACCACACTACTGTTAATGTTATAGTACTCTCCACAAGCCTAGATTCGGTTCAGCCACTGTCACAATCTGGGCTTTCCATCTTACAAGAATTGTCAAACTGATTCTAAAATTCAGAGCAAAATATAATAGACTCAATAGACAAAACAAACTGAGAAAGATAGAGTTGACAGTTGAAGGAATCTTTTTTTTTTTTTTTTTTTAAGGCAGGGTCTCTCAGCACAAGGGCGTCCTGGAACTCACGCTAGACCAGGCTGGCCTTGAACTCAGACGTCTGCCTGCCTCTGCCTCCGGAGGACTCATACTTTACAGTCTCAAAACTTGTGGCAAAATGAATCAAGGCACAACCTGACAACAATCAAATGCCTAGAAATGAAAAGCTCTCACTATGGAGCTGAGTCCAGTCTAGAACTTACTACGTAGCATAGCTAGCCTTCCAAGTTTGCCTCAGCCTCTCCAGTGTTTACATTATACAATTGCCAAGTCTAGTTGGTCAGCTGTGTTTTGATAATGGTAAAACTGAAATTAGGTGAGGAAAAAAACAAGTGGTGTGGGAAAAGAATGAAGTCAAACTCTTACATCATTTAAAAAAGTTAAATCAAAATGAATCATAGGCCCAAATATAAGAGCTGAAACTATTCAAGTCTCAGAAAGAATTGCAGGATTCTGAGTTAGGTCAGGTCTTAATTTTATTAGTAAAGAAGAACCCTTACTAATCTCCACCATAGTATAAAAAAAGCCATTATCAGCCCTGAATTTACAGTGCTACAGATGATATCAAAAATAGTGAAATGACAACCTAAATCATGAGAAAAATATTTGTAAGTTATAACTAATGGAGAATTTGAATCTAGAAATGTATAAAGAACTCTTACAATGCAATACTAAAAAAAAAAAAGAAAAGAAAAGACTGGCAAAGATGAACAGGAGAAATGGCTCAGCAGTTAAAGGAATTGGCTTCTTTATGATGACTCAGGCTCAGTCCCAGCACCCACACAGAGGCTACAACTATCTATAAATCCAGTTCCAGGGCATCTAACATCCTCTTCTGGTTTCTGCAAGCAACAGGCACACACATGTTGCATATACATATATACAGACACACTATACATATGAAATAAAAATATCTTTAAAAAATGACAGGCGAAGAATTTCGTTTCCTAGGATGTCTGTGACAAAGAATATGAACTAGGTGGTTTTGACAATGCTGTCTCTGAAGGCAAGGGGTGGTGGCTGTAGCAATCCTCTGCATTCTTCACATTCTACTGTATCTGGGAATCTCCCTGGCCACTTACATTCTATGTACATGTCTCCTTCTTATAAGAACAGCAGCGAGATTTGGGAGCAAATTTAATCCAGTATGACCTTATCTTAATTTTAACTGTGTCCTGATTTCCAAATTACACTCTGAGTTTCTGGGTAGACAGGAAAAATTTGGAAGACATCATTTAATCCTATACAAATTTGAATATATCCTTTTCGATATTGTATATCCAAAAGATAAACTAATGGCTATTTTAATTACTTAAAAATGCCTCATATTATATGGCAAATCAAAAACACAAGATATGACTCCCTGTTCTACGAAGCTGAATTTAAAAGGTGGGCAGTAATGAGCAGGCCATGACAGAGAAGCAGAGCCTGCACACACGGCTGGTTAGGATCAGAAAAGCTGCAGCTTCTATACAAATCAGGTTGCCATTTACTCAACAAATTAAATGAAAATCAGCTCTAAAATTGGATTGTACTAATGCTTATTCGGTAAACACATTGCTATTAACATACTAGTTAATAACTGTGTTTCAATATTGGTCTGTCAATTTTAAAGCTGCACACTAAGACAACAAGACGTCAATAACAAGAGAAGATGTTGAGCAAGATGCCACATGGAAACACTTAATACTTTTCTTCCCAATTTTATTTTCAAACCTAACACTGCTCAGATTTTAAAACATGCCTAAATTGGAATTAAATTCAGTGGATATTGCAAATCAAACCAGGGCCCTCTGCAAGTACAACAAGTGCTCTTGGAATTGCTGTGCCAACTCTCCAAATATATACAGTTTTTATGCTGAAATATAATAGACACCAATGAGTTAAGAAATTCAAACTACAGGAGTATCTGAATGGAGGCTAAAAAAGAATTTTGAAGAGGAAAGGGAAGGGAGAAATGTTGCACTTATGTTATAATCTCAAAAATAAAAAAAATGATAACATATATCACCACTATTTTATTTTTATTTTATTTTAATATTTACTAAAAAAAATCCTACAGGATAAGCTGCTTTCATAGCATGATCAAAATGGTCTATTTTAAACAATCAATAGCTTTTCCTGAAGAAGGAAAGAAGAGGCACTCTCACTAAAATCAGGACAGACAAGGATGTCCATACACTTTTTCAACCTTACTTACTATTAACCTCAAAGTTCTAGTCGGCACATAGATATAATCAAAACTGACTATCAGAAAAGAGACTGCAGATAATGACTGTATACCTAAACAAATCTAAAAGAAAGATGACCAAAACCAAAAGATGCTTAAAAGCAGTATGAAAGCTCACTAAAGTGTTGGATACAAGATAAATATTAAAAGTGAAAAAAAAAAAGCCAATATAATATCAGGGACTGGAGAGATGACTCAGCCATTAAATGCTAGGCTCACAACCAAAATGTCAAAAATATAACATTGGAGATCCTATTTAGAATTAACAATAAGATAACAAAATACCCAGGAATTACTCACATAGGTATGGTTTGGGTCTCAAAATAAGTAAAAAGATATTAACATAATTATGTACAGAAAATGTATTATATAGCTGTAATAAACTAAACATTAATATATGTACAAAAACAGACAAATCAATAGAAATACACATAGCTTTGAAGTACAAAGTTTAAATGTTTGATAAAGGCTACAGTAAATCAATAGGAAAGATTATAGAGTTAATTTAAGAAACTATAGAAAAAATATTTATTTATGTATTATTTTTATAGATTTATTTTTATTATTGTTATTTATGTGTATATGTGTGTCTACAATGGGTATGCACATGTTCATGTTAGTGCCTGTGAAAGGGAAAGGAGGGTATCAGGTCTTCTAGACCTGGAATTACAAGGCAGTAAGTAGTGAGCCACCTGACATGGGTGCTGGGCACTGAGCTCTGGTCCTCTCCGAGGGAAATACCAGCTTTTAACCACTGAGTCATCTCTCCAACTCTACCCTTTCCTAAATTTTTTTTATTAACTGTTACTATTATTATTGTCATTACTATTATTATTATGTGTATACGTGTGCACGTAGGGTGGTCAGAGGACATTTTCTAGAAGTTGTATACGTGTGCACGTGGGTGGTCAGAGGACATTTTCTAGAAGTTGTACACGTGTGCACGTAGGTGGTCAGAGGACATTTTCTAGAAGTTGGTTCTCTTCTCCCATGTGAGTCACAGGAATTGAATTCAGGTCATAAGGCTTGAAAGATATCTTTATATGATAGATACTTTTATATACCATAATTTAAAAAATACATTCTAGAAAGAATAAAGAACTAAAAGTAAAATATAATTATCTTAAACAAATAAAGATTTATTAAAAATACAGAATGAATGATTTCAACACAGAACTCTGTAAGCACAATAAGTGATTGAGGAAACGAAAGAAAAATACTAAGAAAGATGACTATGCAAAAATGAATAAATTCCATCAATCTGAAGCTCAAAACTGAAAGATAAACAGTTTCCACAGACATAAAATAATCCTTCACACACACACACACACACACACACAAATAAATGCAAAAAATTTAAAGAGACCATGCTGAAGAAAGCCAAAAGCACTTCAACAAAAGCAGTTAGGAAATATAGAAGTGAGTTAATGGTGACATTTCCACATATATTTGGTAGAAAGCAGCATGAAAGGAATAAAGATTATAGCTTAAAAGCGTTGTAGTTTGTTTTTCTATTGCCGTGATAAAACTCTGACCAAAAGCAACCTGGGAAGGAAAGAGTTTATTTCATCTTACAGGTTACAGTCCACCATCCAGGACAGCCAAGGCAAAAACAAGGCAGTTAATGAAGCAGAGACCATGGCAGGACAATGCTTACTGACTTGTTCCCAGGCTCATGACCAGCCACCTTTGTTATACAACCCAGAACAACTTCCCTAAGGATGGCACTGTCCACAATGGGCTAGGCGCTCCTACATCAGAAAATGCCCCACAGACATGCCCACAGGCCAATCCCATGGAAGCAATTCCTTAAATGAAATTCCCTTTCCTGAATGTGTCAAGCACATTTGTGAATACAAAGAAATACAAGACAAAAAGATTCCTTTTTGAAGAGGACAATACCCAGGCAGAAGAGAGGCAAATTGGAGCAATGAGTGAATAAAAGGGTAACGTTTCCAGAACTGAAAGCGAATAAACGGCTCAGCACAGGGCTCTGAAGGATGCAGAGATGCTCATGTAGCAAAGGTACGTATCAGTTCAATTCACTCTGAATTACTGTACAACAGTGATGTCATACATAGCAGGCAGCTTTATTCAGACTGGCTTTCCAATCCGTCTCAAGCATCAGAACAAGGAGTGAGCTATGATTAAGTACTGTACAGAAGTCTAAGGATATTTTATACATTCAACTGGTTTTCTCCAATTCAAAAGATGATTGTGAAATGCATACAAAGAATATAAGTGATTCAAATATATCAAGCATCTTAATGAGGTTCTAAATTTTTCTTAAAATTAATTTATCTAAGGTCCACACAGTTTCCATTAAAAAGGCTGTAACTTGACAGTACAGCATTACAGTTTATACTGCTAATAGCTGAGTGTTTCCAGTTGTAAATATGAAAGTTTCCCAACAACTCACCACTGCCTTGAATCCAAGTTCCTAAGTTCTCTAAGCAGCTTTTCATTTTTCTTCAGGAGATGGAAGCTCCTCCTAAATAGAGAGATTTATAAACATTTTATACCTTTGCAGGGAAGGACAAGACAGTCTGAAAATACTTCCCATTCTACTCATACAACTTTTTACACTTTTCTTGCCTTTCCATACTTCTAACACAAAGGAGAACAGACCCTAAAAAAGATGTAAAGAATATATGTCATTATTCCTCCCAGGCTTTCATTCATTTGATGATGTACCATTATCAAGGCCAGTTCAAACTCTCCTTGTAGATGTTGTGAGCATCCCAAACTTACATCCAGAGGAAAGGATACAAGTACTTCTAAGAATTTGCTTTTCCCCCTTGTTTTATATTACAAGTATTAAAACATTTTTTTTGCTGTGTGTGTGTGTGTGTGTGTGTGTGTGTGTGTGTAGTGTAGTGTATGTGGTTCAAAAGTATCAAATCAGAGGCTTACATGTACCGGCAAGTATTATATCTATATATATATGTTGTCTTTCTTTATGTATAGTATACACACACCCTGAGTCTTGTTATTACATATACATGTGTGTATGTGTATACACATATTTTATATACCCTCAGTCCTATTAGGTGTTCTTTTAAAATATGAATAAATATGCAGCTTTAATTTATGTGTACTAAATATGTAAATAAAATTAATACTTACTGTCATAAAATACAGCTTTCTATCTTTAACTTTCCTTAGGAGACAACATATAGAGTGTTCCAAAACAAAAAACTACAATGTATTTCTATCATAACTAAAGAACAATTATCTGTAGTCAGTCAAACAAAAAGCAAACTGTGCTCTTCATATAAAATGGCTTAGGGGACGGTAAGGTGGCTCAGCAGGTAATAGTGTCTGAATCTGAGTGTAACCCCTGGAACTCACATGGTAGAACAGAAATGACTCTTGCGAGTTGTTCTTTGACTTCCACACATTTGCCACTGCATGCGTGTACCCTCATTCCTCAGAAACTGCAAGAATACTGTTTAACAAATGGAAGGTTTTTTTTTTTTTTGTTTTGTTTTTTGGATTTTTCGAGATAGGGTTTTCCGTAGCTTTTTTGGTTCCTGTCCTGGAACTAGCTCAGAGATCCGCCTGCCTCTGCCTCCCAAGGGCTGGGATTAAAGGCGTGCACCACCGCCACCCTGCCAAATGGAAGGTTTTAAACCAAGCAAAACATAAATACTAAGTTAGAGGGGAGAGCAAGTCCATCTTAATATCTCACATGTACCTGAAGTATCACAGATTTATTCTATTCTTCTGCCATTTCTAAGCATCTCCCTCCTACTATAAGCTGATATACTTCTATTATTTAGAAATGATATATTTCTATTATTTAATGATAAATAAATAATGTCACCTTCCATTCTCCTACAGCTTTTGACAGCACAAAAATTAAAAACAAAATATAGAGACTGTACACAGCATGCCTAAAGTCTGTGTTCAATTCCTAATAAAAACAACAACAAAACCGACAGGCAGCATGTCAGCACACACCCATGCTCTGAGCACTTGAAAGGTGGGGACAGAGGAACCAAGAGCTTAAGGTCACCCTCAGCTATGAAGCCAGATCAAAACTAGCCTGGATTACATGAGATCCTGTCTCAAGAAATCAGAACAAACAAAAGACTTAAATATTTATTAGCAATGCTTTACATAAAGTAATTCCTAAGTGTTTTTGTACATTATTTCTTTCTAGTATTGATATAAAAATTATTCTCAATTTAGATACTCTAGGCCAAAGTTCAAAGACAAAGTATCTTTAACCTAGATTTGATTTAAGTCCAACATTCTTTTCATTTAACTCCTAACTTAATTACTGTAGATATTTGTTTTTGGTATTTTCCGTACCGGAGGTTAAACACAAGGCTTTGCAGGAGGTAACTGCACCCTATCACTCCAGCCTTATCCTATAGCTATTTTGTTCTGATTTTCGAGAGAGGGTTTCTTAAAGCCCAGGCTGGCCTTGCTTACACCTTCAGAATGCTGAAATTATAGGTGTGGACCAACATGTACTCATTTCAATTTTAAGTTTTTATTAAGATCTTTTAACATTTATAAGAAAACAAAATAGGAGAAAAAAATTCTTTTCTTGATATGTTACTGAATTTTGAAATACTTTCTTAATTCAAATCTGAAACAAAAACAGTGACTGGTCTGAAAACTGATAAGCTATATAAAGGTTTATAAATTTGATTTTTTCAATTATATGAGTATAATTTCTAAGCTATATAGTTTTAGTAGTTACTATGAAAATGTTAAGAATGAATTGGATTAAATTATCTTTTTATTTCCCTGAATTTTAATATGACTCAACAGTTTCAAAACAAACCCAAACAATTTGTCTATTGCCTAAAAAACTGATTGGTGGATAGAAAATATCAGTTTTGTTTTCTTTATAAAGAATTTTTTAAAAAGATTCATGCTATTTCATATGTGCGAGTGTTTTGCTTGCATGTATACACATACCACATGCATGCCTGGTGCAGAGGTTAGAAGACGATGCTGAATCCTCCAGAAATAAAGTTACAGACAATTGTTAGCCACTATGTGGGTGCTAGGCATAGAATGTGGAGTCTTTGCAAGAACACTCCGAACCACTGAATCAACTCTTCAGCTCCCAGTGTTTTGAATTTTCTCAATTATGTGCATTGTGTATGCTTGTGTGTAGGTGAGCACAATGCCCAGCGAGGCCTGAACAGGGCACTGGACTCACTGGAGCGGGAGTCACGGCTATGGGGTGCCTACCAGGGTGCTAGGAACTAAATTTGGATCCTCTGAAAGAGCAGGATATACATTCTTAGCCGTTGAGCCACCTCTCTAGCACGGTAGGTAGAATTTAATAAGAAAAAGAATACAGACTTTTTTTTTTTTTCTCTTTTTGGTTTTTTTCAAGACACATTCTCACTATGTAGCTTTGGCCATCCTGAAATTTACTCTGTAGACCAAGCTGGCCTTGAGCTCACAGACATCCACCTCCTTCTGCCTCCCAAGTGCTGCTATTGCCTGAGACTAAAATTCTTGATCAGAAGAACTAATGTTTGGGGGGGAGGAAAACTTCTCCTCTCCTTACCGTTTGTCCCAGGAATTCATTCCCAATATACTAAGAAGCAATCTGCAGTAATAGAATGCTGACTGAGGCTTCTGAGGTGTTGGCTCATCTTGTTCTGAGGCTTTCATGTTCAAATCATTAAAGTGCTTCTCCACAAACTCCTTTTCTTCCGTGTATTGCTTAAGGATAGCATTAATGACATCGTTCTCCTGCTTTTCAGAAATGCACACAGGTTGTGGAGCAGGAACATTGAGGGAGACCCCAGTTCTCTGCAAGCATTCAGGACTTGTAGTGCCTAAATACTGCAGGAGCTCATCAAGAGCATCTTCCTCCTCCCTTATTGTAGACCAAGTTGGTACAGTTTCTCTAAATCTTCTAAGCTGGAGAGAAAGATCATCTTTTACTGTCATGTTTTCTAAGCATTCATTAGATGTAGGAGGCTCTTCTGGTTTCTCTTGGTGAGACATTGAAAGTATGAAAGATGTAGGTTCAGACAAACCACTCACAATGGGTGGCCCATACAGTATGGCAGAATCCCATGAGTACTTTCCAGAGAGGTCACGCACTATGATTCTAACGTTTGAGTTGGCTGACACAAGGCCAGCGGCTAGCCCTCCTCCAGGCATACTCTCTTCTGCTCTTATCTGGATACAAGACACCAAGGTTGTGTTATTCAGCACAAAGAACTGAATGTTCGGACTTTCAAACAGCTCAGGAGAAAGTTCAGTACTCTCACTGTAATGATTGTCATGGTTTTCACAGACCTGACTGGTCAGCATGGCAGGACCACCACTCATTGGGTAATGGCCCAAGTGATTCACCAGATGGGTAATAACAGTACGGGCTGCTATCGAGATCAATCCTTGTTGCATTTGAGTTTTCACTGAAAAAAAAAAAGAAGGAAAAAAATCACAAATGAAAGAAATAATACTGCTTCCCAGGAATCATAAAACATATTAGAAAAGAAATGAGGACTTTAACACATTGTTAACATCACAACCAAATATCTGAATAAACATTAATGCATACCATCTAGCTTTCTTATTATAGGAATAATGGCAAAGAGTAGAGGAAACTTTACTGATGAAGTAGTTTATTTTATAAGGAAGCCCTTTTGAAACTGTTGCTAATGGATGCACAATTTAAACAAAAGCTTTTAAATGTAGATCACCTTTGAAGATCAAAAGTATCAGAAATCAATTCCCTGAAATACACTAAGCATCCAAATTAAAAAGCCAATGAAATCTATCTAACTGATATGTTTATCTCATGAAGACATTCCAAATTTAGAGACATAGTCTGCAGCATCTTTAAATGTCATTTCATTCTGGGTTTTACTGATGATAAAAAGTACGTCAGAGAAAAGTGGTATTTAAATAGGGAAACAGTAAACCCTTATATGACAAGGAAACTTTAAAGGCCAAACTCCAAATATAAGCTGTGGGGGCTGGAGGAATGAGTCATTGGTTAAGAGTACTTGCTGCTCTCTCAGAGAACCCAAGGTTTGGTTCCTAGCACCCAAATCAGGAGGCTCACAACTGCCTGTAAGTCTGGCCCAAAGTGATACAATCTGCCTCTTGCTTCCATGGGCACTGTACTTATGTGCATATACCCTATAAGAGACATTTATACACATAATTAAAAACTAAACCTAAAAAAATATGGGCAGAGGTATAGTTCAGTTGTAGAAAATTTGCCTAACAACAGCGAGGCCCTAAGACTTTATAAAAAATATAAACAAATAAAAACAAAATAAAAATTAAAAGCTGATAATAAGTCTACTTGTTCAGATGTTACAGCATTTTAAGTAAGTTTTGTGGATCAATATGCTCTAGTCTAGAAGCATGTGAAAAGCATTTTTCCTTCCCTATTCACATTAGGAAACCAGCTGAGCATATTCATGAGTATGAATATGAAAGAGCAAGATAAGAAAAATCAGACAACGCAGTAGTTTTAGAGGCCTGGAAAAGCAAGATGTCTGACTTACATTAGGACCTGAAGGAGGACAGAGGAAGAGAATATGGGGAGGGAGGGTGGTTTGAATGAGATGACCCCATAGGTCTTGGGCATCTGCATACTGTGTCTATATCCAGTTGGAGGCTATTTGGAGGATTACGACTTGTGGCCTTGCTAGAGGAAATATGCTACTGTAGATGAGCTTCCAAGCGCCATTTCAAGTGAGCTCTCGGCTGCAGCTGCAGCACCCTGCCTGCCTGCCTCCATGTTTCCTGCCATAACTGTGATGGTCTCCAATCCTGAAATCAAAAGTTCAGATAACCCTCTTCTTTCTGGTCATGGCGTTTTATTACAGCAACAGAAACAGACCTAAGACAGAAGATGAAGACAAAAGCCACAGAAAGAGGTAGGGTACAAAGCCAACTACTAAAATGTTGGGCCATGATATATACAGACAAGTGCTTTGTCATTTTCCAGGGAATCATGGAGATGTACAAAACTAAGTAAATAAGTTCCAAGATGTATATGGGTTTATGGCTAGGTGGAGTTCCCTAGAGGGTGGGCTGGGTAGGTAGCTCTTAGAAGGCAGGTGGTCACCCAGCTGTGAGTGCCAATGGAGTAATAAACTTGATACTGAGGGACCTGTCCCAAAACAAAGCTGCTGCTGCAGTTCTAAGGTGAGATGATGTAGAGGCCGGTATTGGAGTGGTGTTAGGAGACTGGGAGGAGACTGTTGCTGGTAAGGATGCATTAGATTTCATGCCAGAAGAGGATGCTGTGTCATGAGGGGTGGGGAGGAGTTGGTGCTCTGCCTCTGCTAAGATTTAGACAGGAATCCTGTTGAAATAAGGGCGGCGGGGCTGCGTCCCCAACACCCCGGCCGCTTGGCTAGCTTATGCCCGAAATAACAACACACAAACTGTATTCATTTAAGAACTGCTTGGCCCATGAACTCTAGCCCTTACAGGCTAATTCTTGCACCTGGACTAGCCCATTTCTAATCATCTGTGTAAGCACCCCAAGGTGCGCTTACAGGGAAGATTCTAGCCTCCGTCCATGCTGTCGGGGAGCAGAGCAGAGTCTGACCTCACTTCCTCTTCCGCCCAGAATTCTATTCTGTTTCCTCCTCCCATCTATCTTTTAACCTATCAGGGCCAAGGAGTTCCTTTATTGCTTAACCAATGAAATCAACAGATTGATATATGACACTCCCACATCACTCCCACATCAGAATCCCATTATCCTGTAAGAACAGCCCAGGCTTACATGTCAAGATGAATTAAAAACTCTTATGTACAAGGCTCAACATAATAAATACAATATAAACTATACAATTTTGATAGCATTATAAGGGTACAACTTTTAAACATTTCTCTTTTGAACTTGCTTATAAATAAACCCCAAGAATGGTTCAGCTCATCCTGTAGAACATAAACCTCAAGCCTGGGCATTAGTCTCCCCTATACATCCTCTGCCCAAAGAAGGAGACAGAGAATTTAGTTGAAAAGAGCTTGTGGAACAGGACAAGGAGGTGCACGGATGTAATCTTGCACTTGGGCAGGCTGAGAATCAGGGGGAACTCAAGGATGGCCTGAATACATAGTAAGACCCAGCTCAAAATTCACGAAAATTAAAAAAAAAGACTTATTCACTTAAATACTCATCAAATGCTTTAAGTAGAATACAAAACCAGCAAGCCATAAAACTGCTATAATCTACTATAATTATTAACACTGAAAATACTTAAGGATAAATTTGAATTTTAAATATGAGCAAAATCATTTTTCTCATAAGTTGCTTTGCTAAATTCAGGATATATGTATATATATATGAAAAGACCAAAATCTTTTATCTTGTTAACTGGGTATTAGATTTATTATTGTTTTTGAGCAATAAACTAAAGAAATATCTCTCTCATACTTACCTGCTAATATAGAAAGAAGACAAAAATTCTCTAATTTAAAAATTAAAATAAAAATTTAAAATAACCAGTCTGGTGAGAAAATGCAAAATGGAGATACCAATGCTTCTAAGGCACTGTAAAACCAGCATTCATTAAATAAACCCAGCTAGTCAGGGTTATCTGTTCAGATCGTCACGTTAAACAAGCCCTACATCATTTGCGGCAAACCCATAATTACAGATTATTATGGCATACAAAAGCAGCAAGCCATAAAAAGCTGCTGCAATTCACTGTGCTGTAAAAGACATGCAGAGGAAGTTAATTTTGGCAAATGCTTTAAATATTAGCTTTGTATAATATGTATAGGTGAAACTATAATTAGGGAAGAATGGATCTTTGGAGCCTCCTTTCACTCTGGCCCTGCAAATGATGACTTTTTTTTTTTTCTAATAAAATACTGCCATTTGACAAAAAGCCAAATTCACTACCTTCCCTTGTTCTGTGGTAAATTTAATAATTATAGCCACTCTTGCCAATAGTTTTCAAATCACTTTTCAATCCAATACTGAGCTGATTATGGGCACTCTATGTTTAGAATTCGTTGGCCAAAAAAGTACTTGAAGACAATGAAGCATGTCTTAGACAAGGACACAATGATCAGTCAACTCTGCCTTTAAAAAAGCCTCAAAAAAATCCCTACAAAGCACCCACCCCAAACCAAGCAAACCCGCTGCGTGTAGTCCAGAGCCCAGAGGCTTGAGTAAAGCAGTGTCACCTGTTGATACATCACGCAGGTCCTCGATTCTGAACTGACGTGAAGCACAAAAGGGAGCAGCATGACAGACAACAAAAGGATGGAGTGTTTTGCTGTCAGCATTAAGCTCACCTTTAAATATCTTTTCCTCTACTTATTGTACTCTATAGTAAATTTTATATAAAATACATTAAAACTTTTTTGGGGGTGGAGTGAGATGGCTGAGCAGACAAAAACAATTGCTACCAGGCCTGATGACTTGAGTTCCATCCCGAGGCCCCACACAAGAGAAAGCACAGAACTGACTCCCACAAGTTGTCCTCTGACGGCCAACACATGTGTGCATATGGACTCTACATATTTTTTAAAGTAATAAAAACCCTTTCTATAAGCAAATTCTGTTTATTATTGTCTAAAATATACTGTCTTAGAATGTTTCCATTAAATATAAAGAACAATCATCTTTTTCCATAATATTGAGTAAAATAAACACTGTACTCTGTGATATCTAAAGAGAAAGATTTTCATTACTATCAATTATTGTCTAAGTTTTTTTTGTCCTATTACACTACCCAGAATGATTTTCAGAGCTAAGTAATAACAAATTTTTATGTTCCTATTATTTTATGTACTTGTGCTCTAGATAATTACTAGCAACTTATTCAATTATGTTCAACTCAAAGCTGGTTTGATCAATTTCCTTGACTTTCCAAAAAAAATTTTATTTATTAATTTAAAACCATTTTTTTTTTAAATTTTACATACCAATTCCGGCTCCCTGACCTCTCCACCCCATCCCCCATCAAAGGATAAGGCCTCCCATGTGGAGTCAACAAAGTCTGTCCACAACACTTGAGGCAGGACCAAGGCCCTCCCCGCTGTATCTAGACTGAGCAAGGTATCCCTCCACAGGAAATGGGCTTCAAAGAGCCAGTTCATACACTAGGGAATGTTATTTAATCTTGGCTTCTAAACTTCCAAAGAATCTGGTTAAGTTTCTACAGCTTGTATGATCAACTGCTATTTCAATGAGGTTTTGCTTGTTTGTTTTGTTTTCATTTAATTTTTATTTTATTTTAACAGAGGAGAAAACAAAACAAAACAAAAACCCAGAGTAGTTTCTTGATGTGAAGTACATGTAGGTAAGCGTTAGTGGACTTCATGTATATGCACCAGACTAGAAGCAGTTGTTAAACAGACAATCTAGAAGAGGAAACAAGTACTTCACTATATCTTTTTCCCTGTTGTTCAGAGTCAAACCAGCTTTTAAAGCATTTGTTGCAGGAAATATAAAGCACTCTGCCAATAAGAAGACGTATTTGTTAGTGTACTAGAATACCTAGTGATGCAGCAAATTATCCTCTTCAGATACTTTTTAAATGTGTCAAAACCCAACTTTAATATAGTAAGTGGAGTCCTGGAAGTTGAGACATAATTAAATAGATAAAAATGTTACTGCAGGATTAGTGTAGAGATTACAATGATCTTGAAGGTTTTACTGCGTGATCTGAACCGTTCCAGCTATACCCTGATGCACCTCACTCAGCGGTTAGCCATTCCAGTTAACAATCATGGTAGTCGCTTATGATTCTAAGCACCATGATCTCTTTAAGAACAGAAATACTTCCCCATGCAGGCTTGATTCTAATTCTAGTTTATTTAAAACATTAGTAAAACTGCTGGGTTTTCAATGTTACAATGTAAAAGAAAATGTCACCATACTTTTTTCTTATTTCTCTTTATTCATCAAAAATAAAGCTCCAATTTCCTTGACTTTTAATTTCATAACTTCAATTCTATGTATGTCATCAATCTATTATTAGGGTCAAGTCTTAACTCTTTTTAATCATTTGCAACTTTTTTTTTCTTTTTATGTTGGAAAAACCAAACTCTTCCTTCATAGACTACTCTTTAACCATAATTCCTAGTCCAATTGTGTAATTTTTAAAGGTTTATTTATTCATGTATTTTATGCATGAATGCTCTGTCTTCATACACACCAGAAGAAAAAATATGATCCCATTACAGATGGTGTGAGCCATCATGTGACTGCTGGGAACTGAACTCAGGACCTCTGGAAGTGCATCCATCTAATTGTATTTGAGGAGCCCTTGAAAAAAGCCCTGGAAAGGTGACTGGCTAGATCTCTAGGCTCCACTCTAGCGAAGCTTTATTTTAAAAAGTTTTACAAATTGGGCTTCTTTATAAAACTTTCTTGAAGAAATTCTACTCCCTAAAACACCACTGTATGAGCTGCTGGCATAGTAGACCAACTCTCAGTGACTCGCAACCATGGGTGCAGATGACTCACAGGTAATGATTGCTGCAGCCTTGGAAAGCCCAGCAATCTTAGAAGACAGACCATCAACATCTCTTGAGGGAACTGGAGTATCCATAGTCTAATGGGGGCTAAACTGAGAACCACTATTTTATTTTCTTATACCATCCACATCTACTTTCTCGCTAGCTGTTGGTTACTCCTAGAAGCAGTTCTTCACCAAACTTGGGTTCCAGATGTAAACAGCAAACCAATATTCTGATATTTATAGTTCCTTTGCCTGATTAGACTCACCTCACTAACTGATGACTAGTTCAACCAAAAGTTTTTGATAGTTTATTTTTCATTGGGTTCTTCATGACTCTTACCAATTCCTTTAATTCACTCTCATTTTTCTTTCCTTTCTAGTATCAAATAAGGGCAAATCCTAGCACTAATGAGTCCCAGTATACTTGTTCATGGACTTTATTCTTTAAATAGTACTCTACTCACTTATTTTGAGTAAATTCAATTACTTCAATATCCCTCAGTATCAATGGACTCAATTCACCAATAAAAAGACACAGGCTAACAGAATAGATATGAAAACTGGATTAATCATTCTGCTATACACAAGAAACGCATCTCAACATCAAAGATAGACATTATCTCAGAGTAAAGGGTTGGTAAAGTATTTTCCAATCAAATGGACCTAAGAAGCAAGTTAGTGTAGCTGTCCTAATATCTAACAAAATAGACCTCAAACCTAATTTAATCAAAAGAGATGGAAAAGGGCATTCTATACTCAAAGAAAATTCACCAAGCTGATGTCTCAATTCTGAACATTTATGCCCCAAATTTAAGGGCACCCACATTCGTAAAAGAAACATTACTAAAGCTTATCACATATAGAACCTCACACAGTAATAGTGGAGGATGTCAATACTTAACTCTCAGTAACGGACAGGTCATCTAGACAGAAACTAAACAGAGAAATAACAGAACTAATAGACATTATAACATAAAAGAATGTACCTTTTCAGCACCTCGTGGAACCTTCTCCAAAATTAACCACATATGTGGCCACAAAGCAAGTCCCAAAATATAGAAAACCATTGAAAAAATCCCCTGTACCTCATCGGACCATGACAGATTAAAGTTGGACTTCAACAGAAACAACAGGAAGCCTACAAACTCATGGTAACTGAACTCTCTACTTAGTTATCACTTATTTTAAGGAAATTCAACTCACTTCCTCCTTAAAAACCTCCTTCACATGATGGAAGGAGAGTTGACTCCCGTAAGTTGTCCTCTGTGCATATATACAGATACAAATCAAATATAAATTTTTTTTTAACAATCTGAGTGCTGAACTCACTATGTACTAAGGATTGTGCAAAGGATTTGCATATATAATCTCAATACTCAAAACAATTCATGCTGGAACTAATATTATTACCTGCATTTTATAAATGAGGAACTAAAATGTCTCAGGGACTGAGAGTCACTACAAATCCTGTCAGACTTCAAAATTTTCTTATTCTTCAAAAATACTATGAAATCTACAATAAAATATTTCTTAATGTAAGTCAGCCAGAATATAAAGGGAATATTATAATATGTAATATTAGTTAGTAATTGTACATATGAAGTTATTTCTTAAACTGAAAGCTATCTTATGGTAGGTAACTACATGGTTAGGCAAACAGCTATAACTAGAAACCTATTAATGAAAATAGGCCTCAAAGCATATATTGTCAGAACCCAAGCAATAACACTGACTTGAGGAAAATTAACTCACAGTACCTTCTGTTACAGGTTGGAGTTTAGAAGACCGTTCTGAATCAGGAGAGTGTAGAGGTTCAGGCTCTTTTAGACTTTCCAAATGCATAAAAGGATCATAATCTACAGACGCCAAATCAGAAAGGCTTATTGGAAAATACTTTGGATTGCTAAAACTTTGTGCTCCATATACACACCCATGTAATACCTAAGGGAAGAGAAAATGTGAAAACAAAACAAAGTAACCAGCAACATAAAAGCTTGGCAAAAACTTGAATATTTTAAATCATATCTCTTCAATGAAAATAATATTTAGCAACTCTTAAAAAGATGCATGAAACCTAATCAGTGATTCCCATATTCAACACAATCTAACCCCTCTCAAACTTCTGTGATTGAACAAGGCTGTCTTGTAAGAAGTACTCATAAATTACTTTAAGGTTCTATAAGCAAAGTCTATGTATTTTAGAAAATATCTAGTTTTAAATAATAAAATGTTATACTTAGAAATATTATTCAATACTGAATAGTGTTTCTGAAGTTTTAAAAACATTTGGTTATCAAAAATAATAAAGCAAGCAAAAATTTACCTTATAAATGCAGTTGAGGACAGATTTTTCTGTCTTATCATTTTCTGCTCCTGTAGCATGGAGTGGCTGGAGTAGTGTCTTTAAAGGTAAGGCCATGATCCAGTCCAGAAGGCAAAGAAGTAATGATACAACCAACTGTACCAACAATAAAACGAATATCAATGTAAACTTGTTAGAGAAGGGTTTCTCCACCACCACCCCCGCCCTGTGAGAAAGGGTCTCATGTAGCTAAAGATATAGGAGATGATGGTTTAATATTGATAATCAACTTGACAGGATCTAGAATCACCTAGGAGCCAAAACTGTTGTATGTCTATGAGTTTCTAAAGTGAATTGAGAGATTCTGTCTCAAAATAATAATAAGGTGGAGAACAATTAAAGGAAGACACCAAACATCGACCTCTGGCTTCAATATACATATGCACACATGTGTGCACAAGCATACACATACATACACACAGGAAAGTTGGGGAGATAAGATGGATGGGTACAACCTTAAATGTGGGTAGCACTTTGATATGCACCATGGTGCAAGACAGAATAAAAAAATGAAAGAAAGCAGGGTGTTAGTATTCTCCGCTTTCTGCTCCCTGACTACACACAGTCTGACTAGTTGTCTCACAGTCTTTCTTTAAGTTTGATTTGTCAAGTATTTTATTGAGGACAGAAGAAATACACCTGACACATTAGCCATGGATGACCCTGAACTCCTATCTTCCTGTTTTCACTTCCCAAGTGCTGAGACTACAAGCCTGTGCCAACATACCAGGTTTGTGCAGTGCTGGGGATTGAAGTCAGGGCTTTGTCAATGCTAAGCAAGCATGTTACCAAGTGAACCTTATCTCCAGATTGCCAATAAGACATTATTAGTAAGCAATAAATCACTTTACTTTTCTTGGGTTTCTAGAATTTATTACGGGAACCATAATTCATCCTAAATTCAACTATGAACACTGATATTGATAAACAATTAGTTAATTTTAACAGTAATATACATTGAGGCTGAGAGTACAGCCAGGGGACAGAACATCCTGAGCTTGACAAAAAAAAGAATAAGGAAAACATAACTGCATTCAAGTAACTAAACAAAGTTAATATATTAAAATCATGCATTTTTCCATTTTTTCTATTTGCTTATTTTTCTATGTGTATGTGGGAGCATATGTGCCAATAAGCTTGTGGAAGTCAGAGGACAACTTGTGGGAGTTAGTTTTCTCCTTCTATCATGCAGATTCCAGAAATTAAGCATAGGTCATAACCTTGGTAAGAAGCACCCTTACACACTGAACCATCTCATATCCCCAACTTTCCTGTGTGTATGCATGTGTGTATATGGAGGCCAGAGGTCCATGTTTGTTGTCTTTCTCAATTGTTCTCCATCTTATTATTTGAGACAGAATCAATCTCTCCCTGCACTGAGTGCTCACGGATGCAGCTAGACTAGCTGGATAACAAGCCCCAGGTAGCCTCTGCTTCTGCTTCCCTAGCACTGGGACTGCTGGCGTGTACCCTCATGCCTGGCTCTTTATGTGGTGATGGGGATCTGAAGTGGGGTCTTTATGCTTGCACATCAAGCACTCTACAGTCTAAGCCATCTCCCTAGCCCCCTCCATTTTCCTTTCCTTTGGTAATACTTCATTGAGTATCCTGCCAGAAAGCATTTCCTCCTTTTATTAAATAAAACCTTTCAGTTTAAAAATAATAGATACCATAACACAATACTTTTAGTCTAATACCGGGATTAGTTTTTGTGTTAGATTAAAAATCATAATTAATGCTAAATAAATAATAGTGTTATAAAAGTGGCAATCAGGCAGCAACTAGGATCTGTTCATCATTAAAGATAAACTCTCTACGTCAAGGTTTAATCCCGTTTTAACCAATGGAACCTCACAAAACCAAAACATTCCATACGATCATAAGATAGAAATTATCTATGGTGATTTGAGTAAGACTAGCTCCTGAGGGCTCATATGGAGACTCTGTTCCCACACAGTGAAACTGTATGGGAAAGATTAAGGGTGCAACCTTGTTGGAGGAGCTGCATCATCACATGCCATTTATCGGAAAAATACATGTTCTAATAAACCAACAATTGTTGAAAAACCAGCCCATAAGAAAAAACCTTTAAGATGTAATAGTATATTTACAAAGAGAACACAGGTTTGGGCTTTTCATTTGTTATAGAGGACATTACTGAGCTAGCTAGTGAAATCTAAGTAAGATTTATAGATTACATTACAATTAACAAATCAATGTTATCACCTAAATGTTGGTAGCTGTACTGCGTTTATAAAGAAGAACTGCTTGCATTTAGGAAGAACATAATGAAGTTTGTATCATACACTGTAGTATATAGAATGCATATACAACACTGCAGAGGAATAAAGTCAGTGTGGACTAAGGGGACAAAATATTTAACAAAGATTCCTCCTACTATTCTGGAAACTTCCCTATAATATGAACTTATGACCCCTGTGGGCTTACTTAACATGGAGGAGGCTCTGAGTTCCATCTTAACAAATCAACCCAAATTAGCCCCTGAAATTAATGTTCTAATGTAGAACTGAAATCAAAGTTCTGAATTGATGTCAATAGAGAGAGTAAAGGTTTTAGACTCGATCTGCCAATGATAGGCTCCTTTCTTCAGTTTCATATGTAGTAACAATTATATGACTTAACCTAAGTTTTATTTCTGTCAACTGGGGATAAAAAAATGTTTTGTTGTTATTTGTTTTGTTTTGAAGTAGCAAGAATCCCTATGAAGTGCATAGTGACAGGATTTTTTTTCTTTTTTTTTTTTTTTGAATCACCATATAAATGATCTTTACTCCTTTTTCTTTTGTTTTTCTGGCAGTGCTGAGGATCAAACACAGGGCTTCATGCAAGCTAGGCAAGTGCGCTCTAAGTGAAGTGTATTTCTAGCACGTTTTTAACCTCTGTCTACTAATATGTTTAAAATTACAATGTTATATTCACCAATAACAATAAATCTGAAATTCCTTGCTTAGACAGAGCTTACTCATGCTCTTATAAGCCTGTAATTAAGAAAGGTGTATAAACCGCATTGTAAGTGATTTGACTTAAGAAATGCCTCTCCATGCTTAACAATATTAATAGTTCTTAGATAAAATAGCAGGAGGCTTGTCTAAGTGTAATACATAAGCTTCAAACAAATTCTTGATGGAAGATGCTAAGGTAAAAGGATGAATGGAAAGGTATAAAGATGCAAAACATGGAGAAAAACCAGTGAAAATATTTTTAAAGTCAAAAGTCTAAAACATTTATATGGTCTCAAACATTCCTTATCACACATGTATGTATGTATGATGGAGGAGGGTCATACGGCCCAGGCAGTTTCTTTATTAACCAATGAAAGTAACACATAGACAGATGACCCTCCTCCATCATATATACGTAATATATATCTCCTTTGTACATACTTCTTAACCTTTATATTTATAGTTCTTAGTAAAGTATTCTTCATCTTTAAAAGGGATAGTAGAACACAGCAGTAAAAGTGGAGGAAGGGGAATAGAACAGGAAGGGTTAAATGGGGTAGGGAATGGAAGGGAAGGACAGAGGAGAGGATACAGGAAGGGACAAAGAATATTAAAGACCTTTTGGAAAAGGTCTAAAGGGGGCAGAGAAAATTCCTTCTCTTAAGAGGTGTACTTCTAGGCCTGGAATTTTGGCATACACCTTTCATCTCAGGATTCAGGAGGCAGAGTCAAGCAGATTTCTTTCTGAGTTTGAAGCCAGCCTGGTCTACAGAGAGAGTTCTAGGACAGCCAGGGCTACACAAAGAAACTCTGTCTCAAAAACAAAAACAAAGGAAGTATACTTTTAATATATTCTTGTACTCTGTTTATTGTAAATGTCTTTACCTTCCACTGATAACAGCTATAAAAAAACAAGTGACTCTTCAGTGGTAAATTTTTCTGAATCTCTAACAATATCACAATCTGGCAAGCTATATTAAAATCATTATAAGTAAACAAAATGTTTGCTAAGTTTCCTTACTACTCTGAGATTTCCAGATAGCCAAATGTTCATGAAATTAAAACTAAACTGAAATTTGTTTATTTCTTTTATTTAATGTGTATGAATATTTTGTGTACATGTATGTCTGTTCACCACTTGTACGCCTGGTGCCATTAGGTCAAAAGGAGTTGGATGCTCTGAGACTGAATTTACAGACTCCAATGAGCTTCCATGTGGTACTGGGAATCAAATCTGGGTCCTCTATAATAACAAGTGTTCTTTTTTGTTATTGTTGCTACTTTCTTTTTTCCTTTTTTTTTTTTTAAATTGATTTTATTGAGCTATACATTTTTCTCTGCTCCCCTTCCTATCTCTCCCCTCCCCTTCAACCCTCTCCCATGGTCTCCACGCTCCCAATTTACTCAGGAGATCTTGTCTTTTTCTATTTCCCATGTAGATTAGATCTACGTAAGTCTCTTTTAGGTTCCTCACTGTTGTCTAGGTTCTCTGGGATTGTGATTCGTAGGCTGGTTTTCTTTGCTTTATGTTTTAAAAATGTATGAGTGAGTACATATGATAATTCTTTCTGGGTTTGGGTTACCTCACTCAAAATAATGGTTTCTAGCTCCATGCATTTGCTTGCAAATTTCAAGCTGTTGTTACTTTTTTCTGCTGTGAATGTACCACAATTTCCTTATTCATTACCCAGTTGAGGGGCATTTAGAACAACAAGAGTTCTTTTTTTAAAGATTTATTTATTTATTATGTACACAGTGTTCAGTCTCCATGTATGCCTGCAAGCCAGAAGAGGGCACCAGATCTCAGTACAGAAGGTTGTGAGCCACCATGTGGTTGCTGGGAATTGAACTCAGGACCTCCAGAAGAGCAGTCCATGCTCTTAACCTCTGAGCCATCTCTCCAGCCCCCAGCAACAAGAGTTCTTAACTGCTGAGCCATCTCTCCAGTACATAAAATGAATGTTTTTGTATTTATGTAATAGAAAGCTATAGTTCCCCATAGTTGATTTAATACAGATGATTTATCATACAAATATTTGTACCTTTAAAATCTTAAACATTCAATACATATAATATAAATATATATTAAATTTCAAAAATAAAATTACCCTCTTGTCCATTTCATATGATGAAGCTTCTGTACTTGGCAAAAGGTGGGTGACAGTAGCTATTAGGATCTGTAGGCAAAAGATGAATAAGTAAATGAGTTTAAAACACATGACATTCATTGAATTCCCTAAAACTTAAGTACTACATGCTTAAGTGATAGAAAATCTATTGCTGTAAATTTAACATCAATATAACGTCTAAACACAGTTTCTAACCCATATACTGTTATATTAATTTGTACAATGTAAGTTTTTTAGTATATTTAACTGTTAATCATTTATAATCCTCATATACAGAATGAAAATTACAATACATAAGTTCTGTCAATGGTAAATAATTTTATACAAATTCAATTCACAAGGTCAATCAATGAGTATAAAAACAGATATTCAGGTCCATTAGAGGAAATCCAAAGACAGAGGTAAAGGATTTATAAAGATCTTTATAATCCTACCACCTCAAGAACTACATTCCTATGCCTTTCCAGATCTCCCTATCTATGCTGACTGAGCAGCCCACAACTGACATGCTTCAAAATCCAAAAATTTTACTATACACTCCAAAAGATTTTGTGGTTGGGGAGATCATGCAGTTGTAGAGTACTTGCCTAGCATACAAGACGCACTGGCTCACAGCTACAAAAACACATAAAAATGGTGGAACAGGCCAGTAATCCCAGCACTGGACAAGCAGGAGGATCAAGAGTTCTAGCTCATCCTTACTAGCCAGTAAGTTTGAGTCCAGCCTGGGCTATATGAGACTCTATCTCCAAATGTAGAAGTTTTGAGTTTTAAAGAATTTCAAAGAACATATTCCAAAGTAAGAAAACAAAACAAAACAAAAAATACTTGAAATCTGAAAATACTTCTGATAAACAAACATTTCACATAAGGAATATTCAAGATAGATATATATGCAACATGTAAATATAGTCTTTGAGATAAGTGTTTTAAATGAACACATATTAAAAGCATCAAATGTTACCTAAACACATATGAAATAGAAATATGAAATTATAAAAAGTCATTAAGGTAAATTTCATCTACTTGGAAAATACTTAAATTTCAATGACTTTTTCTTTTGAGATGCAGTACTGCTACATTGCCCAGGCTAGCTTTAAACTCCTGGGTTCAAGTGCCCTTCCGATCTGATCCTCCTGAGTAGATATCAGTATAAGTATGTGGCACTATTCCCATTTTTTTTTAAGAAAAGAGATATTTATTTTATCTACATGTGTATTTTGCATGTGTATTTGTATGTGTATCACATTCATGCATAGTAGCCCAGGAAGTCAGAAGGTGCTGAACACCCCTGGAACTCAGGAGCTGGAGCTGCAGATGGCTGTAAGTCACAATGTGGCTCTTGGTTCTTCTAGAAGAACATTAAACAGTGTTAGCCACAGAGCCATCTCTCCAGCCCCACCCACCTTTAATAATTTTTATTTTGACTTATATGTACATGTGTATGTCTGCAGGTTTGTATGCTGTTTGTGTGTGGGTGCCTGAGGAAGCCAGATAATGGTACTGATCCCATGGAGCCAACACTAAAGAAGTTGGGAGCACCTAATGTGAGTGCTGGGACTGAGTTTAAGTTCTCTGGAAGAGCAGTCAGTGCTTATAATTGCTAAGCCATCTCACCAGCCCAATCCCTAGCCTTTTTTTCCCCCTTAAATTTCTGTGTATGTTTGCCTATTTGTGGGTATGTGTATGTGAGTGCAGGCTGTGTGGAGGTCAGAGCCATCGGATCCTGTTTTAGCTGGAGATTCAGGCAGCCATAAGCCTTTGATGTATGTGCTGGGAACTAAACTCTGGTCCTATGCAAGAGCAGTAGATGCTCTAACTGCTGAGGCAGCTCTTTAGCCCCTATTCTTAGCTTTTATTTAACATTTCTTTTGTAGTAATGGTGATTGAATCTAAGCCTTGGCATGTTAGGCAAGTAATCTACAACCATGCTACTTCGTCTTTTAAATTTACTAGTTATATTAGTTAATTTTTAATTAATTAAAATAGGGTCTCACTAAGTAGTTCAGGGTGTCCTAGAATATGTAATTCTCCACCTCAGCATCCTGAGTAGCTGGTATTACAGACACCAATCACCACAAACCAGCTGTGGTGGTTTGAATAGGTACGGGTCACATAAACTCATGTGTTTAAATGTTTGGCCACAGTATGTGCCTTGTTTGAGTAGGCAGGGCTTTGTGGTGCACATACATACACGCACATAGAATAAAGATATCTTAAAAAATTGATTCCCATGGGAGGCCTGTCCTTTTCTTAACAGAAACAGAGTAGGTGTGGATTGGGCGGGGGAGGGGAGTGAAGGGAGAGAAGAAGGACTAGGAGAAGAGGAAGGAAAACTGCAGTTAGGATGTAAATTAATCACATAAATAAATAATTTAAAAATATAAAGGAATTATCAGGAACTTTGATACAAAAATGTAAGAACACCAAATATTTACCTATGAAAAAACAGCACCTATTAAAATAATTTCATATTTAAGGTATCCATATCTAATAAATTTTAATATACGGTTATAATAAAAATAAAGAAAAAGTTGTTCACCTGAATAATTTTCAAGGGCGAGTCAGGCTGGTAGGTCTGCAGTCTAGGTGCATAGTGAACCAGCATGTGAAGCATGTGACACGCCACATGCGCAACTGTTTTATTCGTGAACTGCAACAACAAAAGTCACTGTTACAAAACCCTTCTTTATGCCTACTCATCAATATTAGCTTCTGGTGATTTAAACCTCATGTTTCCTTTTAGTATAAATATCAGCGGTTGTCCCGTACATCTCTCAAAGCTGTACCTACTGTTTCCATTTTATTCTTCACTTTGCTCAGCAAAGCGCCTCAAACATAGCACATAATCAGAATTATTGTCAGTTCACTGGAGTTAGTCAAAAGTGCTTACTATGCATATCACATATTTAGCCTTAAACAGATGCTGTGGTATTAAAAGCTTTAAGACAAGAATAATAAATATTCTTTCATAAGTAAAAATACTCATATAAGCAGGGAATGGTGGAGCATGACTGAAATTTCAGCATGCAGAACGCTGAAGCAAGAAAATTCTGAGTTCGTGACAGTCTGAGCATTCTACTGAATTAGAAGGTAGCCTGGGCTAAATAGTGAGACTGTCTCAAACAATAATAGCAAAAACAAACCCCTAAATAATACTGAAATTCAGTAAATTTTATAATTTTATTCGATATTCTACTTGATTAGATTATCACTAATTTTTTAAACTCTTTTTGTGTTGGTTGCCTGCATCTATGGATGTACACCATGTATGAGCTTGGTAGGCAAAGAGGCCAGAAAAGGGTACTGGGTCTCCTGGAACTAGTTATAAGGAGTTCTGAGTTGACACATGGATGCTGGGAATTGAACCCAGGGTCCTCTGAAACAACAGTAAGTGCTCTTAATCACTCAGCTATCTCTCCAGCCCCTAGATTACTACTTTTAAACAAATTTCTATTCTGGTTATAAAGAGGATATTTATTTTGATTAATAAAGTCAAAAACTCAGTAATTTAGGGAATAATAAAGATCAAAAAGTAAGTCACAAAACTACTAGTTAAAAATCAAGAGGGCTGGGAAGGTGGCTCAGCTTGTGCCTACAGCTGAAGTGTGAGGATTTGAGTTCAAGTCCTCAGCATTCTATGAAAAGCTGCCCATGACTTTGACCTCAGCACACAGCATACACATAAACATACACCATACTTCTCTCCCTCTCCCTTCTCTTATGCGTACACACACACTAAATCATCTCCCTCCTATGTGCTATTCTAAGTGACTGGTTTATTTTTAAGATGTCAATCACATATTTTCTAGGAAAGAAATCAAATATAGAAAAGTTCAGACATAAGAGCTCATCACAAAAATACCTTAAATTCAAAAGTGGGACTATTCTTAAAGTGAGTCAGAATCAAGGAGTTAATGTAATAATACATGATGAAAATGACTATTGAATATTGTAGTCACAGGGGCCCAGGATTATTAAATGTGTGGGGAAAAATCCTGTGTCCTAATGATCTCAATATTTTTCATGAAATAGATTTCTTTACCTTTAATGAAACACAAATTACATTCAGAGCTTCTTTAATTTGAGGATGATGAGATTCATGAACTAATTCTTCACAAATCCAAATACCTAAACTGCAAAGTGCTACACATCTGAAAAAAAAAAAGATACCCTACAATGACTTCAAATAAAACACAACATTCAGTACATTCACTGTTTAAATGAATCAAAGACTTTAATAGTTAGCTGATAAGTGAGGAAAAGCAGAAATAAAAACACTGCCAATAGAAAGCCAGTTTTCTCCTGTAATCCATCACCAATAGTGATACAACAAACAGAGCAGGAGTGCTGGGAACAGCATGCAGCATCTTTCTGACAAATACCTAAGATTAAATTGACAAGAAGTCTTCTTCCCAAACAAACGGAGAGCCTGCTTTACAGGAGAGAGTTTAATATTCTTGACTAGCAACAGGACAATTAGCTTAGATAAAAATAAATTGGTGGAGTAAGTAAAATATTTTTGTTATTCAAATTTAACACAATTAGCCACAATTTTCTTAAACAAACTAAAAATGATTTTTAAAAACTCCAGAAGAAATAGACCTTGTAGGGCTTTACTTGCTTCTCTAACCTTGTGGGGTTTTATCTTCCTAAAAGTGACTCAGCTAAAATTCAGCTGGAAGTTACTTGGTAATGAGAATCAGGAAGACTTCAATGTACTCAAGTTTAGGCTTCTGATAAACTGTTTAACAGTTCTCTCCAAGTATAAAAATAGCCTACTATCTGTAATTCTGGCATATGTACATGGATTAATACTGATATTCTTACACTACATTTTAGAATAGTTCAATGAATTTTTTTTCTTCTAGAACAGAGGAGTCTGAAGTCTTCTCTTATGGGGTAGACTGTTGTTACCCAACTGTTTACACCAGAGATGACCAAGACGTCTTCAGAGTAAGGGCTACTGCCTTATTTTCACTCCTTTGGCATCAACCCATAATTCTTACATAGTGTTGATAGATCTAAGCAACTACGTTCAAGGTTTCAGCAATAGCACTATATGAAGTCATAAAGCAATAATACATTTTGAAATGCAGCAAAATGTTCCATAAACTTAATTAACCAAAAGCAGAGACTGAGAGTACCAATATGAACTAGTTTTTGTTGGAACCCAAGGGTTGGCTATAATCCTATAATCCTAGCACTTGAAAAGCTGAGGCAGGAGAATCAGGTCCTGTTCAAGGTGGCTATATAGTGAGCTCAAGGCCAGCCCATATTTACATGAGATCATGTCTCAAAAAACAAAAATCAATGAATTAAATTAAAACACTGAAATATTAAATAATAGGCTACAAACAAGATGTTTCTAAATTTGTGTGAGTACACCAAGAGAAAGTAAGTAGAGGGCATAAAAGAGACTATGGTGTTTCTTCCCTAATTTATTAAAATAATTAAGATTATTTTGGGATTGGGAGATGGTTCAGTGGGTAAGAGTGCTTACTACAAAGCATGAAGACTTGAGTTCAGATACCCAGCGTTCCATACCTGTAAAACCCCAGACACGTCTGTGTAAACCAGCAACCCCAATGAGAAGAGGGGACAACAGCCTAGCCAAAACTTGGCAAGTTCTAGGTTCAGGGAGAGATCCCATGTTTTAATGGAATAAGGTGGAAAGCAACAGAGGATACCTGATGTCTTCCTCTGGCCTGCACACATGCATGCATGAGCACCTGCATAGATATGTGTACACATACATATATACACATACACACAAAAAGGAAAGTAAAAATCTTCTCATAGTCTATTAAAAATCATGATCAAATAGGTGGCTATTAAAGTATACTATTTTCTTAGATATATCAATTTCTGTAATCTAAATATTTTAATGAACATTGATCTCTACTCTGTACTTCAAAGCACTATATAAATAACCAATGAAACATAATGATGAAGTAAAAAGTAGTCAAATAAGATTTTAAAAAATTATTTTATTTATGAAAGATGAAGGCTTTTAGAAGTCTGGAACAATTTGAAGTGTTGTAATTTTTACAAACTGCTAGGGATAGCTGTTACATTAAGAATATCTGACCTACCTTGCAGGACCAGAGGGCTCATCTCTTGCTGAGCTTAGTACAGTTTTAATTATAAGTTCCTAAAATAAGAAGAAACAGAAGAAATGATTACAATTTCTAATGTACTAGTATAAGGAATGAATTAGTACACTGTACTAATTCAACAAATATTTATGAGTTGGCCATTCTGGACCAGACAGTGCTCTGGGCATTAGAAATAGAGTGGGTAAGTGAACAATCCATTCTTAAATTTACTTTTAATAAAAATCCAGAATTATTCTAAAAGGTGGCTAACAAATCATGAAATTTATAACTAAAGTATCTTTAAAAATAACTTTTTTCATGATTAGGAGAATAATAAAGAATCACTACACAATAGAACTGATACCTAAAAGGCATGAATACCTTAAATGTTTTTTAGATATAGTATTTGAACAGCAGGGCCAGATGGTTTCAATGGCCAATTTTTATCAAACCCTTTTAAAATCTGAAGAAACAAGTGCATCTTCATGCTCATTTCATGAGGCTTCATTATCTGAATACCCAAATCCATACAGATACCACTCTATTTTTTGAAAAGTTTTCAAAAAAATTACTAGTATTCTATACCAAACTGAGCAGTACATTTTTAAAAAACTGTACATGATTAAAAAGAATTTATTCCTGGAAAGAAATGGTAGTTAATTTCTTGGAAGTTAATATTTTTAAAACAGCCATTCCATTCTAAGCAATCCCATTTATACTTATCTATCTAGGGAAACAAATCAGTATGACAGAAAGACCACATAACATGCAGGTATTGTGTCATGCTTGTGTTCTCAGAAGCCAGAGGCAAAGGGAGAAGGATCACAAGGTCCAAGCTAGTCTAGGCTACACAGGGAAATCTTCGTCTAAAAACACAAAACAAATTAAAAAGTTATCTTCCAACGGTATTCCTGGTGCTATAAGCCTGTGATACCTGTACTTGGGAGGCGAGGGCATGAGAATCTCTACCAGTTCAAAAACACTCTGGGTTGCAGAGTGGATTCTAGGCCAGTCTAGGATACTTGGTGAGACCTTGTCTCAAAACAGCTCAAAATATGCTATAATGAAACCCATACTCTATATACTAACTAAAAACATTTTTAAATGCTTAAGAAGAGATCCAACCCAAAACTTTCAGTAAAAGCAACTTGGAAAAACAAAGCATCAGCATGATCCCCCAGGAGCCACAGTGTCTTCTCCTCAGCTCTTCTGAGGCTAAAGACCAAGTCAGTTACTGTCATTGTACATTTTATCAACAGAAGTGCTAAGCCTTTGGGCATTGAGAGTACACAGGCCTATAGTCAGAGACAATGACCTAGTCACAGAATTGTTCACTAGGGCTCACATTGCTGAGCCCAGAACCTTAACAGGAGAATTTTCACGCCAGCCTCCTCTACCTTGGTCTAAGAGGCATTGAGTCATAGGACCAAACATGCAATCAAATCATATTTCCTCTTTAAACAGAGGCTTAGAATTACTCTTCACTAGTTTTCTAACCCGAAAACTTTGAGAAGTATACAATCACAAGTGTCATTTGTCATGCCTGTTCCTGATGAATGTGCAAGCCCTTTAATGCTTAAAGTACAGGAGATATTCCATATTTCATACAAAGCAATAAAGTTCAATCAAGAATAGAAAGTGGAAATTAAAACATTTAGCTTTAGTGTGACATCTCAATCTGAGAAGTCTTGTATTAGCAGCATAGGTCTTGGGTCACATATTCAGTGAGTGAATTAATGACTCGTAAGGGACAGACATGTGAGCAGACTTGATAATGAGAACAGGTTTCAAAGTTTTCAGGTTTAAACCTTAAAAAGGCTTTGTTCCTAGCAGACATTCGAGATTTATGACTGGAATATTAACATTCTTTAGTAACTAGATTTCAAAAAGAAAAGGGAGATGGCAGATTACATCATATATGCTAAATACTAGCATCTGATTTCTTACCTTAACGTCTGTAAAATGAGACACAGCAATCTCAGGGATGTTGGGATGGAGAGCAGGCAGTTCACAGTATAAGTTGGGAAAGCAAACTAAGGATCCCAGGAGAACTTGTGCTTCCACTCTTGGTGCCTGTGTATCAGATGTAAACACTCTATAAAATGCTAGCTGTGTTCTTAAACTACCAGTAAATATTCTGTTCTACCATTAAATATTTTGTTCTATAATTATATTATACAGGGCAGTGAGAGCATTCAGTGATTCAAAGGGGAATGTTATAAAAGATTTAAGTTTCCATTTAGAACTTCTAAAGAGAGTATGATTATTCTCAGTAAATACAATGGACAAATAGCAAAATGTTTTTTAAAAGCAACCAATAAGTTCTATGTTTTCCATCAATAACTTTATACTTGTTAATCTATAAGTTTCACATATAAAACTTAAAAATAAAACTTTATCATTTTGATTAAAAAAAGCAACCAATAAACAGAAACTATCTGGAGCTAATGACCTTTAAATAGGAACATAAGATGGTAACCAGAATACATTTAACATGATTAAAGAAAAAAAATGAGTATTTTATTTCCTTATTTATTTAGAGTCAGGGTTTTGCTACATAGTCAAGGCTGGCCCTAAACTCACTTTGTAGCACAGGCTGGTCTTGAACTTGCGATTCTCCTATTTCGGCATCCTAAGTGCAGGGCTTACTGGCATGTACAACCATGCCTGACTAAATTACTTTAAATGTAGTTCAAATTTCACTACCTATTGTTCAAATAAGTTAATGACTTGATGTCACTACTTTAGAGTGCATAAGAAGAGATTAAAATGTTAATTCTGTCTTTAAGAAATAGGTACCAGGATAGATGGTTTTTTATATATTTATGTATATGAACAAAACCACTATCCTTAATATTTACTAACATTATAATTCACGTCAACATAAATCATAAGAAGTATTTCATGTTGTCTTTCATTTTATTAAGTCATCTCTTAAGTATCAATATTGAACATTTCCTCTTCTGCCCTCTTGCATGTCCACCAAACAGGGACCAACGCATTAATTTACAGACTAATTGGTTTTTAGGTTTAAGAAAAATGTGAAACACCAGTATATTAGTAACACAGTATTTCCATTCACATAAATCAAGACTCAGTGTCTAAAAGATTTTCATCTTAGTATGACTTAAGCTTATATGACTTTCAACAGAGCAGAACAGCTCATTTTTACAGGACCTGTTAGAGTATATCAAAATCCCCACCCTAAAGAGGCTGGGGCAGAACGATTGCAAGCTGAAAGCCTGCCTGTACGACCAGAAAGACATTGTCTCAAACAAAACAACAAAACAAAAGACAAAACATTTCATGTCCAGATTGAAAGACAATCTAGACTTACAGATTTGAAAGGGCAGGGTAAATCAATATCTACTACCCTGCTTTAAAACTATCCTATACACCAAGATATTTTATGCTATTTGTAGCTATTGTGAAGGGTGATGTTTCTGATTTCTTTCTCAGCCCATTTATCATCTGTGTAAAGGAGGGTTACTGATTTTTTTGAGTTTAGGTATATATACAAAGGATGCTCAATCGTGCCATAAGGACACGTGCTCAACTATGTTCATAGCAGCATGGTTTGTCATAGCCAGAACCTGGAAACAACCTATATGCCCTTGACCGAAGAGTGGATAAGGAAAATGTGGTACATTTACACAATGGAGTACTACACAGCAGAAAAAATTGACATCTTGAAATTTGTAGGCAAATGGATGGAGCTAGAAAACATAATTTTGAGTGAGGTAACCGAGACTCAAAGACAATTATCATATGTACTCACTCATAAGTGACTTTTAGACATAAAGCAAAGAAAACCAGCCTACAAATCACAATCCCAGAGAACCTAGACAACAATGAGGACCCTAAGAGAGACATACATGGATCTAATCTACATGGGAAGTAGAAAAAGACAAGATCTCCTGAATAAATTGGGAGCATGGGGACCATGGGAGAGAATTGAAGGGGAGAGGCAAAGAGGGAAGCAGAGAAAAACGTAGAGCTCAATAAAAATCAATAAAAAATATAAAATAAAAACTATCCTTTACAAATAAAACTAATTTTTAAAGACTCGATATTTAGCTAAAGGTATTAGTTGGGTAAGGTAACTGTAATGTCTGAATATGAAGATACAACAGGAACAAGTGATTATGTAATAGTTAAGAAAGACAAAATTCAATCACTTGTAATCTGCTTAAGGAAGGAAGGAATCATTAACAATGAGAGATGATATGGATGGGATCTAAAATGAGAATTGAAAGAGCCAAGACCTGAAATTAGTATTTTTAACACCATCCAGAGGAAGACTGCCTCTGACCTTACAGGGCACATGTGAGTGTCCAGCTGCTTTCTTATAATGATTTGGTTTCTACGTAGCCTTCCTCAGTAATAGGCAGCATGCGAATTAGCAGAGAAAGGGGCTGTTGCTTGCATTATCGAAAGGATGCTGTTATATAACCAATATCTAGATGTAGAGGAGGAACGTTAGTCACATAAAAAGCATCAGGGTTTATTTCTACAGAACTTTGAGAGAAGTTGCAGAAAATATGCTTAGTAATCTGGAGTAACTGGTTCATTGATAAAGAAAAGTTTTCACAGTAACTTAAGAAGTGACAGTTATTTGAATATCAATCTCCTTTGAGTTCTATCAACTTTTGCCAGTCTAAGAGGCTGATTATCTGGGTGCTGTAGTAATACTACAATGGATTTGTAGCTTGTGTTTCACCTTTGGTTTATTTTCCATATAATCTACTCCAAAAGTAATATATTTATTTAATATTCTCAAGACAGTTTAATTATCTCTTTACTTATTTTAAAGTATTTCTTTAAGTCAGTATAGCACTATAACCTGGTCCATAGCACTTAAAACATACTAAGATGCATCCCCCAATGATATCATTCATCATCTATAATCTCAACACAACCTAGGTTCTGACTCAGTACTTCAGCATTGCTAATGAGCACCCAGACCATAGTACATGTTGTTGTGCTGAGCATGCTTTCAGTGATAAGAAAGGACAAGTTCCTGTTCATCTGTAAACCATCCTCTGCATATATAAACACGAAGGAAAAGTTTATAAACCACCAAAGTCTAAGCACAATGTTGAGCGTATACTGGTACTGGATAAGTACTTAACATTTTCAGCAGTATCTACTAAGCACTGCTCTGTGCTAGACCCTGGAGATACCAAGATACAAGACACTGTGAATGTTTTCCAGGAACAGTGGAAACAAAACTGTCTAGAAATGCAGGTTTTTTTTTCCTTTTCATATGCACATTTCCTCTGGGTGATCAATTGTATCCATGTTCAGGGCTTTAAAAATACTTCTAAAACATCTCTCTTGACCTCCTGACTTATGTAACAATTATTCTATTGACCTCTCATCAGTATCCAATACACACCTTACATCAGGCCACAAACAGCACTTTTCTCATTCACTGTTGGGCTTTTGCAAAACAGAAATAATCTATTAAATGGTTATGCATTCTTTGAAATTGTATGCCAGTATTTTCTCTTCCATATACCCTAATTTTTTTTCTAACAGGACATTAGAAAGTGATCTTTCTAAAATACACATTTGATCATGTTTCCTTAAATGATGACTCAATTTTCATTGAGAAAATCTAACCCATGCTAGCACTACATCCTCAGCTACTATCTTTCTAGCTAGCTCACTTCTGCTACTTATGTAGGAAATATTCCACCTACCCTTGTTTCTGTGCAATTATCTCACAGCTTCTTAACATGTAAAGGTTACTCCAAGGGCATATTTCTGGGTTATCCCATAAATGTTTGTTCTTTGTATTAAAATTTTAATTGTCAAATAAAAATTCCCACTAAAAAAGTGATGATTTAATAAACATGCAGTAATGATTACTCTCCATGGTTCCTTATCTTTTTCAATAACTTGCAACCCTTTCTTCACTTCCGTCCCTGTTTCCCTACATGTCCCAATCTTAAATCTTTTTTTTTCTATCAGATGTAAACCATTTTTTATAGCTCTTGGGGGCAATTCACCAACTAATTTTATTGATTTCTTAACACATCAGAATTTCTTTCTTTTTAATGTGGGAGAAGCAATCAATTCCAAATAAATGCTAAACTTTCCTGGACATAAATTTGTTATATTTTATCAGCAATAACACTTTTTGTTGCTTTGTGAGCTGAGTCTTGATAAATAGAGTTTATTACTTTAAAAGAACTAGAAATAAGGACTTACATTAAGAAAAGCTGAAGAAGCCACTCTCCCAGCTGCTATAATAAAATCCATAATCAGCATTGTGGCACCAGGCAAACCAAGTGAAAAAAACTGAGGTGAGCAGTGCTTGATGATTGTATTGACAATGTCCTTAGAAGAAGGAAAAAAGGAAAGAAAGATGATCACATATGTATTATTGGGTATCAGTTAATCAATTTCATTAAAAATAGGTAAAGTATGAAATAAAAAAATATACTGACTGACTATCTGGAAAGACTAATTTTAATTCTTTCAATTAATACGTGTTTCATATATTTTGTTAGGAAAGTAAACTTAAAACACATCTGATTAAATGACATCAACGATAGTTCTTTTCCACATTAGAAAGCAAGGAGGGCTCTTTGCTTCACAGCAAATTTTTGCCCCACATTTCCTAAAATTACAGAGCAGTTTCTCCAGCCACCTAGTTGCCTCTGTGTGAAAATTCACACCCTATATCTACACTCAACCTATGTGATCTGCTATGTGGCAACTGGAGAAATTGGAAGTCCTTGAATAATAGATATATAGCTTCATAAACCTAAAGGTAGGTGTTTTTAAGTGAATATTCTTAATATGGCATTATGATTCTGGATTTGCCAGGAAAGATGCAGTGCATTTGGTTGTGTTGTTCAATGTGACTTTTCAGGAAAGGTTTTAATTAGCCTATATTGATGTGGAGTTCCCCTCTATATGCTGTGAATACCATTAGTTAAAGAAACTGCCTTGGCCTGTTGATAGTGCAGAACTTAGGTAGGCGGGGAAAATGAAACTGAATGCTGGGAGAAAGGAGGCAGTGAGAGAGAAGCCATGCAGCTGCCACTGGAGACAGATGTGCTGAAACTTTGCTGGTAAGCCTCAACCTTGTGGTGATGCACAGATTAATGTAGATGGGTTAAATTAATATGTAAGGGTTAGCCAATAAGAAGCTAGAGCTAATGGGCCAAGCAGTGATTTAAATAATATGGTTTCTGTGTGATTATTTTGGGGGCTGAACTGTTGGGTGGCCAGGATGAACAAGCAGCCCCCTGCAACAACATATAATATGTTTTATTATGATATTTTCACATAGGTACATAGTATACTTTGGTCATATTTACCCTGAACCCGTTCTTGTCATTGCCCCACCTACTCTTACTGATCCCCTTCTCCAACCAGTCTTCCTTCCACTAAATATGACTGACCTTAAAGGAAAACTCTACTTTTATAGTAGAAAGTATGTAATAGTATTTGAGATATGTTTATAAGGTTTGGACACTACAATTATTTTTAAATTAATGAAGAAAGTTTTCTCATTTGCTCAGAAAGAAATATAACTATCAGCTTTGAATAATAGTGTTCTCCAATGGACATTTAAACAAATTACAGTACGCTTCCACACTTTTTAGTTTTCCAACTAAGATCAAGATCGCTCAAATATGTGTCCTAGAATCTTATCTATGATTATTCAATGATCATAAATGATACAGCTCCCACGTTAATGTAATTATCATTATGGCAATGTAATTTAGTAATAAGAAAATATGAGGTAAATTTTAGAGTAGAATAAACCTTATAATTGCTGTATGAAAAGGTGAGCAAATTCATATACCTCAAATGTTGATTAAGAATTAATTATAAAATGCTTAAAAATGGACGCATTAGAGTATTAAGAAAAACCAAAGTAACCAAAGGATGGTTTAATCGCTTCAAAAAGTAAATTGGTTAGTATGTGAAAGCTAAAGTTGTAAGGCTTGGGCAGTCTGTGAGGCCTAGAATTAGCGCTAGTGCATGAACTGGCTTTTTGGAGCCCATTCCCTATGGAGTGAGCCTTGCTTAGCCTAGTTAAGGGGGAAGGGTGGTGCCTTGATCTTGCCTCAGTATGATGTGACAGACTTTGTTGACTTCCCATGGGGAGGCCTTACCCTCTTTGAGGAGTGGATGAGAGCAGGGGTGGGGAGAAGGTGGGAGGAGCAAGAATAGGGAAAAGAGGGGGAATTGGGATTGGTATGTAAAATAAAAAAAGATCGTTTTAAAAAATAATACAATAATAAAAAACTGAATACTGACGTCAGTGCATTAAGTACTGCAATAGTTTGTTTTCAATCACCTTTCAAGAATAAAAGATGTCATAAAGTAGAAATGAATTATAAATAAATTGCTACATATGAAAGACAGTTTTAACTCTATATCTTCTAGAGCAAGAGTTAGGCATAATTAAAAACCAATGTCTTAGTTTCCTTTCCTGTTGTTGTGATAAAATACTTTGAACAAAACAACTTAAGAGAGAAATGGTTTGCTCAACCCAGACCTCTAGGTTCCAGTCCATCACTGCAGAGAAGCCATAGTAACAAGAACTTGAAGCAGGTGGGCACATTAGGTGCACAGACAGAAGAGAGCAAGGAGTGAACTCATGCCGTCCCCAGCTTCCTTTCTCTATCTTACACAGTCCAGGATACTCTGCACAGGAAATGGTGCCCTTGACATGGGCAGGTCTTTCCATCTAAGTTAATGTAGTCAGGGCAATCTCTCACAGACATGCTCAGAGGCCCATCTCCTATGTGATTCTAATTTTTGTCAAGTTGACAACTAACACTAACTGCCACAGCTGATAAAACAATGTTTTAGTAGGTACACATATTTACCTGATCAATATGAAGCAATCCACAATGCATTATATTGTAGAAATGTGTTAAAAAATCTCTGTTTGGAGATACATCTTGTCTTCTCTTCATTGTATTACAAATAAGTTTATATGCATGTAATTTACCTTGTTTATACTTATCAGTCAACATGGTTGCCTAAAATGAAGAAATCAGTTTTAATACTAACAACCAAATATTGTTTATAAATATTTAAACAATCAAATATAATAAGCAGTATCTGTTTTCATATATTTCTTTGTTGGTCCAATTCTATTACCCAGCTAGAAGTCAGGACTAGGAACTAGTTTGTGCTTTATTTTTATCTAAATACAATGAAGACAGCCTCCTCTAGAGCTGTGGATATAGCTCAGTGCTACAGCACTTGTCTAACACATGCAAGGCTGTGGGTTAGATCCCTAACAGGGGAAAATGGATAAAAATAAGTACATTTTAAAACATTTTTGGCATACTTTTCTACACTTGCTTTTGCTTGATTACATAAATAAACAAGCAAATAAAAAATGTAATTCTGTTATGTATAACTGTCCTTTCTATGCAAAATTTCTTAGAGATACTGGCTACAAACTAAGTGTTCTTGAAGACCAAATAACTGTTTAAAATTTCTATCAGTTGCTCAAGACTAATTTAGTAAAGAATAATGTTTTATATGTCAAGCTTACCTTAAAAAGCCAAGGTGTAAGAATTCTTAATGGAGGAATCAAAACAGGTGGAGAAGGTGAAGTCAGGTTATCTGCTGAAATGCCAAGATTATCTCTGATCTATAATTTTCAAATAAACAGTAACAAACATGTATTAAAACTATATCTTCTTTTAGTTGTTTTACCTTAAACAGAAGTCAAATCCAGTCTCTACCATAACAACCTATTTCATTACGGCTAATTATGGCCAAGTGACTTCATGTTGAGTATTTGTTTAATTCAAAGCAAGATCAAGGTTGTAATTATGTTCTCAAACGCCTCTTCTTTTTTTGTTGGGGAGAGGAGGAGAGGATGCTTGTTGTTCCTTCAGACAGAATAGACAGGGCTTGTACAGAGCCTGCTATGTAGCTTAGCATGGCTTCTACCCTGTCTCAGTCTTCCAAGTGCCAGAATTACAGGTGTGCACCACCACAACCAGCCTTCTATTTATTAATACTTTATTTTTCTTTCCATTTCCTCTTATAGCCTTTGTTTGTTTGTTTGTTTTTTTCTCACCTTGGCTAGATTCTGCCAAAGTTCACAGAGGTAATCAAAAACTTGAGCATGTATTTCAGGATCCATAATAGCATTGACATCTCCCAAAATGCCCAGCATTCTTCGCCACATAACAGTAGCAACATCAGCATGCCACCCAGTGAGAGTACCTCCTGCCATTACGCTACAGCATTCAGATGGAAATTCACTGATTTCTAAAGAAAAAAAAAAACACAATAGTGTTAGTACCCGAAAGAGACAATTTAAGTGAATAATCTCAAATATCTACAAATGTGAACTAAAGGACTGTAAATATAAGTAACTTTTTTTGATGCCAAAATCTTTCCAATACATAATTCCCTATGTAATAGGGTTTTTATTGGGATTTACTGAGGAAAAATATGCAACTACCACTTATTGTACAGCAGCTACCAAAAGGAGAAATTATTATCCGTATATATATATACACGTAAAGTATGTCTGAGAAAGCACGCTTAGAGGTGGTTCTCCTCTTACACTGTGGGTCTGGGGACTGAAGGCAGGTGGTGGGGCTGGTGCTACAGTGCTCTTACTCACTGGGCCATCTTGCCAGCCTGTGATAGAGATAGTATGTGGGACATAAATATCAATTTTATAAGCACACACTCTCACTTCTATATAATAACTAGACTATATAATCAAGAAGAAAATTTTAGGCTAAAAGTAATTCCTGTAGGAAGTCTTCATAAGCCAATTTCTTTGAAGTTAGAGCATGCAAACAGTAACACTGAAAGAAGTATCACAACATAAAAAAGATACTTGAACTAAAATTTGAACATAATAATAGTGTAATTAAGCCTTGTTGTTGTTGTTGTTGTTTTCTGAGACAAAGTTTCTCTGTGTAGCCCTGTCTGTCCCGGAACTATTTCTATAGACCATGTTCAAGTTGGGCTTGAACTCAGAGATCTGCCTGCCTCTGCCTCATGCCACCACTGTCCAGCATAACTGTGTTTTTTATCTTTAATACTAAAAAGGTGAAAAGTAATAAATACAGGCAATCTTGATCTTTGTCCCATTTCTTCCACTAACCACGTTAAACAAATTATTTTAAATACTTAAGGCTATACTTCCTCACTTATAAAATAGATAGTTTTGCTAGTTTTTTTACAGCTTAAAAAATCCATTATTACATGCATACAATTGTATAAGAAATTATAAGAAAGTATAAATGGTGCCTAAGGCCTGTAATCCAAGCTCTCAGCAAAACTGAGGCAGAAGGATCTTTGCCAATTCAAGGTCAGCCTGGACTTTTGTTTCAAGAGAGTTCAAGGCTAGCTTAGACTACACAATGAGACCCTGCAGTAAACAGCTAAACAAAAATAAACAAAAACGTTAATGTCCTTACAGCTAATGCATTTAAGAAACCAACATTTTATGGACAAAAGGAATTTTAACCGTTTTTTTTTTTTTTGGTGGGGTGGGGTTGTTTCTGTATAGCCCTGGCTGTCATCGAACTCACTCTGTAGACCATGCTGACCTCAAACTTAAGAGATTTACCTGCCTCTGCCTCCTGAATGTTGGGACTAAAGGTATGTGCCACCATCTCCCAACTTAAATAGGATCTTTCATATTTGATAATATCCCAAATATATTGATAATTTATAGTTGGTCCATTTTTGCAAGAAATTTATCTTATATTTGTAATGCTTAAATTTTCTCTTTGTATATAAATTATGCAATAACTAATAATATTTAAAAGGTATTATATAGTTAATCTTCAGATTAAAAATTGACATTCAGTATAAAGCCAGTAAGTAAATCAAAAGAAAGAGACTGAGTTCTAACACGTAGAGTTGTAATGTTTTCCTGTTCTACAGCTTCTTTATACATGTGTGTGTATGTGTATGAATATTGAGATGAATCAATTCATTTGTCTCTGACTTAACTTTCACAAAGTAAACTACAAAATATTAAATAACAAAGAGGGCAAGAAATAATAAATAACAATTAGTTACGATCTGGATCAAGCTGTATGGGGCAGCTACAAATGCCATTGATGAGATAACTGAGGAAAGTACTGTAGTTAAGAGACCAGCAATTGATGTTAAATATTGTGAGTGAAGCTAATACACTGTGGCTATAAGGGAAGTATGTCTATATTATTGGGACAGATCTACTTAAGTTTACAGGTATAAAATATTAAAAAATTTTAATTTTATATAGAAAAACAGGTATAAACCAGCAAAATAGTAACAGCCTGGTAAAATTTATTTGAATGATTTATGGATTTTTTTAACTAGTCATGTTAACTGTCTTGTAATTTAAAATTTTTCTTCCAAATGGTAGGAAAACAATATACAAACAAATGTTAAAGGTCACCATAATCCACGAAGCAGAAACATATAACTGCATGCTAAGGAATGAGCCCTTTACTCTACAGGGGATGCATGGACCTCTTTAGGAAGAAGAAACATTTTGCAGGTGGGAACTGGAAAGGGAAGGATCAGGTATACGCAGGGAGTAGAGGGAGACAGTGCAGGTAGAAACCTAGTGCAGTGGAAATTTCCTGGAATTTATGAGGGTAGCGCTAGCGAGGACTCCTAGTAATGGAGGATATGGTGTCTGAACTGGCCATCTTGTAGCCAGGCAAGGCTTCCAGTGGTGGGATTGGGTTGTATTTGTTTGAGCTGTTGGCCAAAGGGGTCTTGTGGAGATCCCTGAATAACCTAGGCTGATGCTGGAATAAAAGATCATTCTCTGAAAACTGACAGCAAGACACCACTGCAGAGGGCAACATCCACACAGCTCACTGAAAGTTGAGAGATTGAGTTGGCCCTGCATCTTGGAGCCTTTACCTCTACATTCTAATCTCTTTAGTGCAGGAAAGTATTGTGCAGGCTAGAAAAAGAGATATCAACCCAGCCACAAAACCCTCCACCTACAATCTGCCTAGCCTGCCAGATGTGCTCGGGCAGTGGTGATATAAAACTTGTGGGAGTACTCAGCTAATGTCTGGTTTAACTTGAGGCCTATGCCATGAGAGGGAGTCAGTGTCTTATACTGCTTGAATGGCCATGAACAGGAGACTGGAGAGCCCAGAGACCAAACAACTGGCACACAAACAAACAAATAATAAAATCATTGAAATAATTCCTAATAATATTCTGCTGTACTCATAGATTGGTACTGTACTCATAGATTGTAACCATCTATGAGTACAGATATGAGATATATGTATTCATAGATGGTTGACCAGCCATCATTAGAGAGGCTTCCTCCAGCAGTAGATGACAGCAGGTACAGAGAGACCCACAGTCAGACATTATGTAAAGAGAGAGTCTAAATTGGAGGTTTACATCAGATCCCTTCCCTCAGAGATCTGGAAACCCCAGGGGAACAGGGAAAGGAAGGGTTGTAGGAGTCAGAGGGGATGGAGTATACCAGGAGAACATGGCCCAGCGAATCAACCAGCCAGTGTTCACACAGGCTCCTGGTGAACACTGTGTGACAGTTAGCACAGGGCCAGCATGCAATATGCACAAAGTTCTCTGTGCATACATATGGCTGTCAGCCTGGTGTTTTTGTGAGACTCCTAAGAGTGGGAGCAGGTGTATCTCTGACTCTTTTGTCTGATCTTGGGACTCTTTTCCTCCAATTGGATTTCCTTCTCCAGCCTCTATATGAGTGCATTGTCCTGTTTGGCTGTCTCTTTTCTGAAGAGGAAATGTAGCGGAAATGGATCTGGGAAAGAGAGGAAGTGGGAGGGTTCTAGGCTAAGTGGAGAGAGGGAAAACTATGCTCAGTATGTATTGTATAAGAGAAGAATCTATTTTCAATAAAAGCAGAATACCAACAATAAATAGAAAAACAAATTAATATAATTTCAGGAGCATATATATACATATATATGTGTGTGTATATATATATGTGTGTGTATGTGTATGTATGTATATATATATATACATATATAAATGGAATGAGCCCTTTAAAGTAGTCCAGGAATTAAGCACCTTTCATTTCTTCCTTTAATAAGAATAAATGTGATATATGAATAATAAAAAATGGGCTTTTACTATGACTTATAAATAAATATTTGGTCAACTACTTCATTAACTAATTTTCAAAATATGTGGCCAAGTATTTATCTGATGCTTTTTATACTATGCAGGACTTTAGTTCCCTGTACTTAAAAAAAAAAAAAGGTAAAATTGCTAATTTGACAAATTGTTTTACTGAAAGTTTGGCTGACAAAAGATAGTACTGCTACTTCCTCCTGTGAGTGAGCAATGTATTCAAGTACAGTATTAAGAGACCTGAAACATAGTGAGCACACCTAGAACTCCAGCACTTAGGAAGCTGAGGCCGAAGGAGTTAGAGGCCAACCTGGACTACAGCACAAAACCCTGTCTCAAAGTCAAAATTTAAACAAGGAACCAGACATGGTGAAACGCTTTTAATCCTAGCAATTGTGAGGCAGAGGCAGCAGAACTCACTGTGAGTTCTAGACCAGGCCACTTAGGGATACACAGTGAGCCTCTGTCTCAAAACAAGAAAGAGAGGGAAGGAAGGATGGGGGGGGGGGTAGGGAGAGGGAAAGAACAAATATCAGATCAATAAATCAAACAATCCCAAACAGTGCAATCACTATCACCAATTAAAAGCCTTAATTAAGCCGGGTGACGGACACCTTTAATCCCAGCACTCGGGAGGCAGAGGCAGGCGGATCTCTGAGAGTTCGAGACCAGCCTGGTCTACAGAGCTAGTTCCAGGACAGGATCCAAAGCCACAGAGAAACCCTGTCTCGAAAAACCAAAAAAAAAAAAAAAAAAAAACCTTAATTATAAAAATGTTTAAAACTATGATAAAATGAAAAAACCAAAAAACAAACAAAGCAAAACAAATCTATAAGAATAATAGCCCCTTTTAAGGGTAAGAAAAACAACAGAAAACTCAGAAAAATTCAAAGACTTTAAATAAGTATAAATAATCACAGCTAAGATGACTTAGGTTCTGATACTAGTACTCTGTAAGAACAGCAAATATCTGAGTTGCAAACATTGCCTAGATCATCTGGTGTCTGCAGAACGGAGTGGTGGAGCTTCTCATCCAGCTGCAGATCCTTCTGTTCCATGTGGTCTATATTTAGTGTAGATGGGGAAGGTGTCTGTGACCGGGATCCCAGAGCTGAATGTATTGGGGAAGCGCTTTCTGAACCTGCAAAATTAATTTCATAAAATCACTGTGAAGAATATAGTCAGGGTACTTTCAAATACCAAAAAGATATAATTTTAAAACATCAAAAGATAAACTAGGTTATATACTGTCCAAAGATGTCAAAAATATCATGATATTGCCTACCACTGGATGGACACAGGATCAGGAATACAAGATAACGGGAACCACCAGTGACAGTGGCAACCTCTGTCTTGATTCTTGGCCTAACTATAGAAACTCAGGTACCACTGCTATTATTCTCTTTTTCTCATTTGAATTTGGAACAGGTCAATAGTGACGGAGCTATTCTTCTATATAATAATATAGATCAATGCTAGCTTGGTTTACACTAGTTCCCAGCTCCCAGGGAGCCCTTATCTCTACTTTTCCTACCAATCTATTCTCATAAAACATCAAAAACGCATGAAAATGCAATGATTATATCCTCATTACAAATTCTCTTGAAAATAACATATATGCCTATAATCCCAGCACTAAGAGCTGTCAAGAGTTCAATGTCTCTATTGTGTGGAATAATTTGAGGAGTTTTGGTATTAGTTTTTCTTTGAAAATCTTGTAGACTTCTGAGCTGAAACCATCTGGTCCTGGGTTGTTTTTGGTTGGGAGACTTTTGATGATGTTTCTATTTCTTCAGCAGTTGTAGGTTTGTTTAATTTGCTTATCTAGTCTTGATTTAATTTTGGTAAGTGATATTTGTCCTGAAAGTTGTCCATATCCTTTAAGTTTTCCAATTTTGAGGAGTACAGGTTTTCAAAATATGACCTGATGATTCTCTGTATTTCCTCCATGTCTGTTGTTATGTCCCCCTTTTTATTTCTGATTTTGGATATTCTCTCTCTGCCTTTTGGTTAGTTTGGATAAAGGTTTGTCTATTTTGTTGATTTTCTCCAAGAACCAACTCTTTGTCTCATTGATATTTTGTATTGTTTTCTTTGTTTCTATCTTGTTGATTTCATCTCTAATTTGACTATTTCCTGCTGTCTAGTTCTCTTGGGTGAGTTTGCTTCTTTTTGTTCTAAAGTCTTCAAATGTGAGACTAAAATTACCCTGATACACAAGCCACAGAAAGACATTACTAAGGAAGAGAATTACAGTCCAATCTCAGTCATGAACATTGATGCAAAAATACTAAATAAAACACTGGCAAATTGAATCCAAGAACACATCAGAACCCATCATCCACCATGACCAAGTCTGCTTCATCCCACAGATGCACGGATGGTTCAATATATAAAAATCTGTCAATGTAACCCACCACATAAACAAACTGAAAAATAAAAACCACATGATCATCTCAGTAGATGTTGAAAAAGCTTTCAACAAAATCCAACATCCCTTCATGATAAAGGTCTTGGAGAGAGCAGGGATACAAGGAACATAGCTAAACATAATAAAGGCAATATACAGCAAGCCAACGGCCAACATCAAACTAAATGGAGAGAAATTCCCACCGAGCCCACTGAAATCAGGAACAAGACAAGGTTGTCCACTCTCTCCATATCTATTCAATATAGTTCTTGAGGTCCTAGCGAGAATAATATGATACCAAAAGGAGATCAAGAGGATATAAGTCAGAAAAGAAGTCAAACTTTCACTATTTGCTGGTGATATGATAATTTACATAAGCCACTCCAAAGATTCTACCAAGGAACTTCTACAACTCATAAACACATTCAGTAATGTAGCAGGATACAAGATTAACTAAAAAAAAAAAAATCAGTAGCCCTCCTGTATGCGGATGATAAATAAGACGAGAAAGAAATCAGAGAAAAATTACCCTTCACAATAGACACAAGAGCATAAAATACCTCGGAGTAACTATAACCAAACAAGAAGAAGACTTGTATAATAAGAACTTTAAATATTTGAAGAAAGAAACTGAAGAAGATACCAGAAAGTGGAAAGATCTCCCATGCTCTTGGGTAGGCAGAATTAACATAGTAAAAATAACAATCTTACCAAAAAGCAATCTACAGATTCAATGCAATGCCCATCAAAATCCCAGCAAAATTCTTCAAAGACCTTGAAAGAACAGTACTCAACTTCATTTGGAAAAGCAAAAAAACCCAGGATAGCCAAAACAATCCTGGGCAATAAAAGAACTTCTGGAGGCATCACAATCCCTGACTTCAAACTCTACCACAGAGCTACAGTACTGAGAACAGCCTGGCATTGGCCTAAAAACAGACAGGAAGACCAATGGAACCAAATAGAAGACCTGGGTATCAATCCATACACCTCTCAACAGCTGATTTTCGACAAAGAAGCAAAAAAAAACATCAAATGGAAAAAAGAAAGCATATTTAACAAATGGTGCTGGCATAACTGGATATCAACATGTAGAAAAATGAAAATAGATCCATATCTATCTCCATGCACAAAACTCAAGTCCAAATGGATCAAAGACATAGCCACACTGAACCTAATAGAAAAGAAAATGGGAAGTACACTTGAACGCATTGGCACAAGAGACCACTTCCTAAATACAACCCCAGTAGCACAGACACTGAGAGAAACAATTAATAAATGGGACCTCCTGAAACTGAAAAGCAAAGGACATGGTCCTTTAGAATGAGAAAAGATCTTCACTAACCCCACATCAGACAGAGGTCTAATCTCCAAAATATACAAAGAACTCAAGAAATTGGTCATCAAAAGAACAAATAATCCAATAAAAACAATGGAGTATAGACCTAAACACAGAACTCACAACAGAGGAATTTAAAATGGATGAAACACTCTTAAGGAAATGTTCAACATCGTTAGTCATCAGAGAAATGCAAATCAAAACAACTCTGAGAGTCCATCTTATGCTGGAGAGGTTGTGGGGCAAAGGGAACATTCCTCAATTGCTGGTGGGAGTGCAAGCTAGTACAGCCCCTTTGGATGTCAGTGTGGCAACTTCTCAGAAAATTAGGAAACAACCTTCCTAACGACCCAGTAATACCACTTTTAGGTATATATCCAAAGGATGCTCAACTGTGCCACAAGGACATGTGCTCAACTATGTTCATAGCAGCATTATTTGTCATAGCCAGAACCTGGAAACAACCTAAATGCCCCTCGACAGAAGAATGATACAGAAAATGTGGTACATTTACACAACAGAAAAAATTAATGTCAGCTTGAATTTTGCAGGCATATGGGTGGAGCTGGAAAACATCATTTTGAGTGAGGTAACCGAGACACAGAAAAACAATTATCACATGGACTCATTCATAGGTGATTTTTAAACATAAAGCAAAGAAAACCGGCACACAAATCACATTCCCAGAAACAACAATGAGGACTCTAAGAGAGACATACATGGATCTAATCTACATGGGAAGTAGAAAAAGACAAGATCTCCTGAGTAAATTGGGAGCATGGCGACCTTGGGAGAGGGTTGAAGGGGAGGGGAGCCTTAGGGGAGAAGCAAAGAAAATTTAGAACTCAATAAAAATCAATAACAACAACAACAACAAACTGAACAAGAGTTCAGTGTCATCATCCTCAGCTACATAAGCAGTTTGAGGCCAGCCTGGGCTTAATGAAACCCTGTCTTTATAACACATGCAATTGGAGTCTGCAAGATGACTTAGTCAGTTAAAGGCACCTGTTTAAAAAGTCTGACAACCTGAAATCCCCAGAATCTACATGATAGAGGGAGGCCGACTGATTCTGGTAAAATCATCCTTCTACCTTGGTATGCACCACAGCTCATACCTTTACTACATACATACATACATAAATGTGAAAAACGTCAACCCTCCCCTCAAAACCTACCAAACAGAACACCAACCAAACAACAATCTTAAAAATCAATAGGTATGGTGACATATTCCTGTAATCCTGGCACTTGGATGGCTAAAACAGGATGATCATGAATTTAAGGTCACCTGGGCTACAACCTGAGACCCGGTCTCAAAAACAGATAAACATCCTCCAAGTTTTCTCACTGATCTTAGTAAACCCTCCAATTCATTTCCTAGTGTTCAGATGCCTCTGAAATGCTCTTGTACTCTACAATCTACGTATTTTTGTATTCTAGCCAAATGAACAGCATTTATTAAAATCATCATAGTCTAGACCTTTTCCATGTTTTCTTTTCTTTGGACAGAATCCTGATTAAATTCTTGGTTTAGACACTGTTTTCTACTGATGCCAACTCCTGACCTTACCAAGTGTAACTCCCTGCCATATAGTCTGGTTGATTTCATACCTTCACATTATACCACTATCATACTGATTTCAACATGCCTGTTCAGTTTGAAACACCCCTCAGTAGCATACAAATGCCTTAATCACAGGCTTGCTACTTATTTTATACTGCTGCACTGCTAGTGTCTACCAAAGTGCATGACACACAGCAAACCATCTTACTACTGTAAGTAATGTGTAGCATAAATTGCATTACAAAACAGCCGATGGTAGTTGCAGAGGAGAGTCCATTGGCACTAAACATTTTCTAATGTTGAATTTCTAGCTCAGAAATATCAATGTTCTAGACCCAATAATTGTAAAATTCTGCCCTTTTTACTATTTTCTATACAGTAAAGCAAAAATCAACTTAAGTTACATATTTGTATCAATCTCCTAAAGTATGGAACACATTTTAAAAATGGCACAATAAATGCCCCAAATAATAAAGAACTATATTATATGTACCATGTTATAGCAATCACATAATTGGTCATATGATAATTATATATCAAAAGAATTTGAATCTACCTAGGATTAATTAGATGCAGGAATCACATTATTAACTAGGTGGCTGTTCCTTTTACTTGACATACAAGAAAATTATTTCTACGATAAGACAGCTGCAGAAACCTGAGGACTCAGAAGCTTAGCATAAGCACTGTCACATGAGAGGCACATGGAGAAAAATCTCCTTAACACTTATTAAAAACGTCAAGCATACTCCAACAGACAATATTTTCATCAAATGCTTTGGAATCCAAATCTATTTCTTTTATCTCCATGTGTTATCCTGTTTCATAACAATCACTGCATTAGATATTTTAGATTACTCTCTGTGCGTGTGTACTCATTGACCACAGGATGTGTGTGGAGGTAAGAGGACGACTTGAGGAGCTGCTTCTCTTCTCCCACTATATAAATCTGGGATTCAGGAATGGAAGCAAGAACCTTTTCCCAATGAATCATCTTGTTATCCCTAAATTCATTTTTTTTTTTAAACAGGGTTTCTCTGTAGCTTTAGAGCCTCTCTTGGATCTAGTTCTTATAGGCCAGCTGGCCTTGAACTCAAGAGATCCTCCTGCCTCTGCCTCGCAAGTGCTGGATTAAAGGCGTGCACTACCACTGCCCGGCCTAAATTCATTTTTTCAGACCTAAGATTTTAAAATCAGTTTATATGAACTATAAGAGAGTCAATATTATCTTTAATTTTATTGCCAAGATTCTATAATAACTGACAAAGTTTTTCCCTGTTAAAAGAGCTTTTTACAAGACATTTTTTACTGATACTCATATGCCAAATATGCATAAAGCTTATATTAGCTATATTATTAAATGTCATATCTTTTAATATTTCCCACTAGATTTCTTGTAGTATCCAAAAACTTCTATATTAACAGAAGGGAGGATTCCAGGGCAACTGGCATCCTTCTGAAAAAACACAGTTAACAGTGTGATAATGCACACAAGCTTGACCATCAGAAAAGACTATGTCCAAGTTTTATATATTAAGTATATGAAGTTATACTCACTATTTATTTATTTATTTATTCATTTATATTTATTTATTTATTTATTCATTTATTAAAGATTTCTGTCTCTTCCCCACCACCGCCTCCCATTTCCCTCCCTCCAATCAAGTCCCCCTCCCTCATCAGCCCAAAGAGCAATCAGGGTTCCCTGCCCTGTGGGAAGTCCAAGGACCACCCACCTCCATCCAGGTCTAGTAAGGTGAGCATCCAAACTGCCTAGGCTCCCACAAAGCCAATACGTGCAGTAGGATCAAAAACCCATTGCCATTGTTCTTGAGTTCTCAGTAGCCCTCATTGTCCGCTATGTTCAGCGAGACGGGTTTTATCCCGGGCTTTTTTCAGACCCAGGCCAGCTGGCCTCAGTGAGTTCCCGATAGAACATCCCCATTGTCTCAGTGTGTGGGTGCACCCCTCGCGGTCCTGAGTTCCTTGTTCGCCGGTAGTGGTGGCGCACGCCGGCATGATTTGCTGAAGGAGGCAGAGGCAGGAGGATCACGAGTTCGAGGCCAGCCTGGGCTATACTCACTCTTAAATATTCTGTTTGTGAATAAAAACACAGCTGTCTTCAAACACTGCTGCACTACTGACAATGTCAGTGATTAAGGTTATTATTCCTTATAAAGCCTCCCAATAGGGTAACAAAATCAGCCATTCAAGGTAGCACATAGTTGCATTCCTATTACAAATTCTTAGACATTTAGTTATTAAAAAAAGAGACCATATAAACCAATTCCTTGAAATATAAATTTTAATTTTTAGACTTTTTTGTTTGAACTACTGATTTACTTTTGTGTGTGTACATACATGTGCATGCAAGTACACTCATCCACATAGGCACATGTGGGAGCATGGAGAGGCCAGATTATTGATAATAGGATGTCATCATTTTCTATTGCTATCCAAATTTATTTTGAGACAATACCTCTCATTCAACCTGGATTTATTGTTTGGGATAGACTGGATGGCCAGCAAGCTCCTAGAATCCACCTGTCTTAGTACCCCAAAGGTGGGGTTAGAGGAATACACTGCCTGGGCATCCAAACTCAGATCCACATGCTTGCTAGGCTAGAACTTTACCCACTGAATTGTCTCCCTAACTCTTGGAGCTTTATTTTTGATGAATAAAGAGAAATAAGAAAAAAGTATGGTGACATTTTCTTTTACATTGTAACAACCTTTGAAAACCCAGCAGTTTTACTAATGTTTTAAATAAACTAGAGTTAGAATCAAGCCTGCATGGGGAAGTATTTCTGTTCTTAAAGAGATCATGGTGCTTAGAATCATAAGCGACTACCATGATTGTTAACTGGAATGGCTAACCGCTGAGTGAGGTGCATCAGGGTATAACTGGAACGGTTCAGATCACGCAGTAAAACCTTCAAGATCATTGTAATCTCTACACTAACCCTGCAGTAACATTTTTATCTATTTAATTATGTCTCAACTTCCAGGACTCCACTTACTATATTAAAGTTGGGTTTTGACACATTTAAAAAGTATCTGAAGAGGATAATTTGCTGCATCACTAGGTATTCTAGTACACTAACAAATACGTCTTCTTATTGGCAGAGTGCTTTATATTTCCTGCAACAAATGCTTTAAAAGCTGGTTTGACTCTGAACAACAAGGAAAAAGATATAGTGAAGTACTTGTTTCCTCTTCTAGATTGTCTGTTTAACAACTGCTTCTAGTCTGGTGCATATACATGAAGTCCACTAACGCTTACCTACATGTACTTCACGTCAAGAAACTACTCTGGGTTTTTGTTTTGTTTTGTTTTCTCCTCTGTTAAAATAAAATAAAAATTAAATGAAAACAAAACAAACAAACAAGCAAAACCCCATTGAAATAGCAGTCGATCATACAAGCTGTAGAAACTTAACCAGATTCTTTGGAAGTTTAGAAGCCAAGATTAAGTAACATTCCCTTGAGTTGTTTTACCAGTAACTGTTGCAACTTCAGCAGAGAAGGCTTGCTGATTAAGGCTGCTTGTTTCTGAATCTAAATGAAGTGTTGTTAGGCTAGCCACTTCCTGCTCCTCAGTGCTCTGATGATGGCCAGAACCTGAATCCACATCAGCAGAGGAGGGGATCCCAATGTCAGTCCCAAAGCCAAAGTCTGTAGGAAGAAGAAACACTAGTACTTCAGCAACACAATAAGCAAATATTCACATTCTTCCTACTCTACTCTGCATTATTTCATTCTGGAACATATAAGCAGCAGTAAAATTTTGAAGATCTCAACTAGAAACACTATAAGATTGTAACAACTTATTATTAACAATAATTGCTGTGGGACAATGGTCTTGTACTTTATAAAGATTTGTTACTTGCACTGGTTTAATAAAATGCTGATTAACCAGTAGCCAGGCAGGAAGTATAGGCAGGGCCACCAGAACAGGAGAATTCTGAGACGAGGAATGGCTGAGTCTGCAGTCGTCACCCAGACACAGAGGAAGCAAGATAAGAATGCCTCACTGATAAAAGGTGCAAGGCCTCGTGGCTAATACAGACAAAAATTATGGGTTAATGTAAGAAGTAAGAATTAGTTAATAAGAAAGCCTGAGATAATAGGACAAACAGTTTGTAATTAATGTAGGCCTCTGTGTGTTTCTTTGGGACTGAATGACTGTGGGACTGGGTAAGACAGAAATCTCTGTCAAAAAATAATTATTTTAAAATGTCATTCTTATGTAGTTTCTGATAGCTGGTAATAAAATACACTTACTACTTTTTAAGTATTCTTATAAATCTCTCCCCCCCACATCATCATCATCATCTCTTAAAATCTCACCTGTTTGAGCTCAGAATAGTATATAATCAACTCATAAAAGAAGGAAACATATAATACTCCAGTATACCTAACTCACAAATTTGATTCCTAAAGTTTTTAACTTTATTCTCTGAATGCTAAGTCTACACTTAGAATTACACAGAACTTCAACGGCATGATCACGTAGTAACATATGGTACCAAATAATAATAGATGATATTTAACATAGAGGAATATTCAAGGAAGAGTCTGGGTAGAGAATTGGACAACAGACAGCAAATATGAGTGGATTAAAGAATAGCATCTCATAACTATGTTGGCGCTTTATTTTAACATTAACACCATTCTCAATAATTTTCTTTTCAATAATATCTCTGTCTTTAAAATGCAATTTCTTATGAGGGACAGTGGTTTTGGTTTTTTAAATAACTCCTGCTCCCCCATTTTTTTTTTCAAATTAAAATGGTCTCAACCTGAGATGATTCCCTAAAACTTCAGAAATTGTGAAATCAACATATAGAGTAACTTCCTAAGTAACAACAGAGAGTAAAGTAAAAGCTATGCAACCCACAAGTCAGAATACAACTGACTGAAAACATATGCTCAAACAGTAAACGATACTTACTGTCAAATTTTCGTCCATCACATTGGAAAGCACTGAAAGAATCTGAATGACTATCAGAGCTCATAAGATCACTGCTCCCTGCACTGGCAGGAGATGTCCATTCTGAGGGTACACCTGGGTCATCAACAGGACGCATCTGGCTCTGCTTGTTTAGAATATCAGGGAGATCTTTCGGAATTTCAAGGCTGCCTGGACTACTTCCCCTTCTTGTCAAAGTCTAAAACAAGAAACATTAAATTTCTTGCTTACAAATTAGAATTTTTAAAATTTCAAATCAAGCACCCAAAAAACCTTTAGTTTTCAAGATAATCATCAGTATAAATGCTGATATTTAGGACCTCCTCTGGAAAGGAGAAACATACTTATTGAACAATCTAAAGAATACATAATGATATGTACCTGACACCTAAGCTACTGTAGTTCTACTTAAAGCAAAGCCCCAAGTGTCAGGTGAGATGGTGTTGCATCTAAAGCTCTTAAACAGAAGAAAAATAAAGTTTACAGTGGGACAAAAAAGCAAACAGAAGAGACAGTAAGTGAAAAGATAGCAAAGATGTCAATTTATGATTCTAAAATAATCCCTACTCACTAAGAAAGAAATTCAAATAAAAGGAAATGTAACAGTCACAGACAAATTAAAATCCAAATGAAATAAAACAGTTTTTAAAAGCAATTCTGCAACTGAGAACTAGAGATACATTAGCTTCTATTTTCATTCTGATATTTAATATTTAAGATAAAAGGTAAATTTTAACATGAACTCTAGAAGTTATCTGAATTTTTTAAGCAATGTTTGTTATCAAAACTATGGGAACTGGGTAAGTGACTTCTGTTGTTTTTTCCTATTGACAGCAGGTGATACCAACTGGAAAGACAGTTAAGAGGAACTAGGAAAGAAGTGGCTCACAACTACTAACAGATGGTTCAGGATGTCTGCAGTGAAAAGCTACATGCTTCAATGTTTTATGTCTTTGAAAAATATATAACTTAAAAACTTTAATTTAAAACACACACATATTCCTCCTCCCACCCCCTTCTGGGACCTGACCTAATGATCTGTAAATGTTAGACAAGCACTCAATCACTGAGGTCAGTCAGCTCTCCTTTTACTTTTTATAAGACTGGATCACACTAAGTTGTACCGGCTGGTTTTGAAGTTACACTGCACCCAGGCAAGGCCTTGAATTAGTATCCTCATACCTCAGTCTCCTGAGCAGCTGGATAGAACTTTGTACCACTAAGTCCAGCTTTAAAAAGTTGTAAGGACTGGCAAGTCAGGGGTGAAGATGTTTACTATAAAGGTTGATGAACAGGGCAGAAGCAGAGAACTTCCTCTCCGAAGCTGTCCGTGAACCTTCACATGCATGCTATAGCATACAAGCACCATATATATACACACATAAAATAAATTTGTTAAAATTTTTTAATTACTTTTTAAGTGAGAGCTAAATTTCAGGAAAATAAAGTTTTGAATAAAAATCACCACATATACATTATACCTATTTTTAGTTCTCTATCTTTATCTCAAAAACCAAATAAATTAAAGAAAAAGCAAGCTCACCGAGGTATTCCCACTTCGAAGCCGCTCTGCTATGAACTCATCCATCAGATCAGGAACATTGGCACTGCTGCCACCAGTGTCACTATTAAGAGGAGGCAGTTTGGGGCTCGTGTCCTCTTTACTTACTAGAAGCAAATAAATAACTACATATAGTGAGCAACAATTTAACTGTACCTTCTAAATTTGAAACAAAATAATCCAAAATAAAGTACCTCTGCCATATCAATTATTTGCCAAACATGCACTTATGAATAATTTCCCTCCTTTTGGATTTAATATTTAAGAATTAGTAAATTGTATTTACTTTATTTAACTAAGCAGATGTTAGTCAATCTTCAGTATGACCTTAAACAGCAAGAAAGCTAGAGGTAAGCACTAGCTGAAGTCAGGTTAATATTGCCTATAAAGAAACTGGTATATTATATTTTTCTTTCTTCCTACTCTATGCTGCTCCAGAGCCTTAATAATTCACAACTCCCTCAGATTTTCCCAGAGAGTAACTGTAAGGAATATATCCTTTCAAATCATGCAAATTTCAGTGAGACACAAACACACTTAGGTTTGAACACAAATTAAAATTTCATGATTTGGTATACTGTTTTTTAGATTTAGTCTAAAATCTAACCTCAATGCTTAAAGAAAAAAAGGTTCAATTTTCGCAAGATTCAAGCAAAAATAAAACCAAAATAGTTACTAGATTTGCTTAATATTAACACTACAATATGATTTTATAGTAACAAAATTATTTTCACTTGGGAAACTAACTTGTGGGAAAAAAGATAATTATGTCAGTATCATACTGTTGAAAAGTTCATTTCTCTGTAGAAGAAAAACCAGTGCTATTTATATTCCTACTGAACCACAAAGAATTTCAGACTGTGTAATACCATTGTCTTTATATTACCGGCCAGGCTTTGCTAAGCTGTAATATACTGCCCTCAAGTGGCATTAATGGCTCAATGCAAGATGCATTATACAGCGTTGTTAATCATGCTAACAAAAACCATGTTAAAACAAATGAAATCAAAACCTACCTTACTGCTGAAAGTTAAAGTTTCTGTATCTGTAAAGTTGTTTAATTTTGAAACAAGATGAAGTGGTTACTACAATCTTGCTTCCTTTTTCTAATCTGCACATTTAGGTTCCACATTGAAATAACATTAGCTATTATGAAACCTTAGTGCACATTTAAAATCTCATAATAAAGATTTAAATCTTGCAAAGATTTAACATATTATATACACAAGAATGAAAATCTAAAGGCCTACAGCACTTTTTTCAGAAATGCCTTGAACGGAAAGTGATTAAATCTTTGAGATTAAAGAAAGGGTTTCCTCTTCAATTATAATGTTGATGTTGGTTGTAGGACTTTGATTTCTGTCATGTTAGATGTCAAAGTAACCATCTACCAAGGAAAAAATACAAGACCAACTCAGCAGTAAGAATAAGCGAATTCAATTAGATACAGCTAATGCCCATTTTGACATAAAGTAGTGGGGCAAGAGAGAAAGTACAGCCAACTCCTCAGTAAACTTCAAGACTCAGTGCACACTCAGAAAAATCCTTGACCTTTGAAAGGTCATTAAATTTGTTTCTGTATCTTCCCCTTTCTATTTTATTGTTCAGCAGCAAAGAGGTTTAACTAAATGCCTCATAAGGGAAATTAGTAATTTAAATAAATATTGTATGCTGGGAAAAATACAGCTGGGGAAAGGCGCATGCATAACCAAACAGAGAGAAAGCAGTGACCATCCCAAAGCTTTTTGATTGCTTATAGCTTGCTTCAGTTGCATTAAGCCAAACTGGTGCTGTCTTTCTCCTTTTGCGCTCTGCACACTGTAAGTGCTCACCTGCAGCTTTCCTTCCAAAATAGCCCATTACATGACTGTACAGATCCCTCAGTGGAGCCTCTGGTGGCATTCTGTTCTGCCTCTGTGGGGAAACATTTGCCTTCGGCTTCGAAAGAGCATGTACAACAGTTTTATAAACGCCACCCAGGGAGCCCTGCTGTAGTCCTGCCTCGTGACTCGATGACCTAAGAGTACTGCGACTCCCTAACTGGTTACTTGCAATTCCTTCTTTCTGTAATGTGGCGGTGGGGATCTCTGTGGATTCCTTCACTGTTTTGCTAACTGATGCTGCACCAATCATATCTAGAGGTCTGTACACACCAGGTTTTACAAGGTCTGTACCACTAGTTGAGCTGGTCTGTGTATTGCTGGTACTGCTATTGCTACTACTGCTAAAGCCACTGAGCTTCCGTAGTCTCATCTTCCATGGAGCCTCTTTATTTTCCAGTGGATTATAAAACTGAACAGACTCAGTAGATGGCCTAAAAGTAACATGAACAGTATTTCGTTTCTTAGCAGCAATTTTCATGATTTTGGCCCTATGAGTTACTGTTTCAGACAAGCTCCTCTTGGTTGGAGAAAGCTTGCCAGTGTTGGAAACATGAGGCATTCTGCGGTTTACTGGTGCTTTTAGTGCAGTTTTCTTGGCATGCATAATATAAGGGGTGAATTTTTCATTAACTTGTATACTCTTAAGCTTTTCACCTAGTGTTATATCTACACAGGCATCTACTTCTGTGGCTGTTTGTCTATACAGAGGTTTCTTTTTTTCTTTATCACAAGGGCTACCTAAACTAGGATCCAATGACTGTTCATCAAGATTTAGTTGTTTTGATTTTTCAGCAGTTTGTGTTCTCGCAAAACTAACTGACTGGTTAGGTGCAAGAGTACTCGTGGAGACAGCTGAGCTTGGTTCTTTTTGAAACGCTGTATTTTCAAAAGTCCCAACACAAGACATTAGATTTTCTGGTTTTATTTCCTGGCCTATGCACTCTAATTTATCTAAAGATGGTATTTCATCTCTAGTTACTGCAATAATCACCTTCTGAGAAGCTGTATCGTTACCTAGCTCATTTTTACTATGATTTTCCTGGTTTTCCTTAAAGTATTCTTTCAGGGAAGAAAGAAGATCCTCATCTCCTTCAAGGTCAATGTACTGGATTTGTTCGAAAGCTGCATCTGCAAGTTCTACTGGACCTATTAAATGACAAAGATGGTCATATATGCTATCACCAACTTCCAGAGAAGACTCTCTGCTATGAGTATCAGTGATGTGGCTTTCAGTGGATCTAGTTATTGAAGAAGCCTCTGTGGAGTTCTGCAAGCCTGGAGCATGACGGGATGAACTGTCAACGACAGGAACTGCACCTTTGGCTCGCTCAACACTGAATGGCTCCACGATGTCAGAAGTGCTGCTGCTTCGAGGCAATGGCTGGTCCTCATGCAAAGCTCCGAAAACTTCATTTCCAGTGTCTTCACTCTGTGAAAAATGTCGGACTCTGGTGGAACGGGGAAGGATTTGAGCATCATCAATATCTGCAAAAGAAAAAAATTATTTATAGTAGAAACTACAGAAACATAAAAAAAATTATTTCATCCACAACCCAGGAATATGCTTCCCAATAAAATTCTGATTCATTTTGTAAGTTCAACTAAAGAAAACCAATTAAAAAATATAGCTGATTTTTCAAAACTATGATGGCCCAAGGCATATGGTGTCAATGCATTAGAAAATGACCAAGATACACGTGAGATGTTAACATGCATATGGAGAGTGGAGATGAAACACTTGGAAGTGCAGTCTAAGATAGAGCTGTGCCAATACACCGAGCAATTCAGACCAGTTAGTTTTTCCTATTCAGGTTGTGAGCAAGGGAGAAAAGAGATCATAACATGCAAAGCTGATCTAGGTGTTCCATGCAGACTTTTAGAAATTCTGCTCCACTAGGCAGGAAGAAGACATTGCCTTTTCCCAACTGCGGCTATACATACTGTAGTAACAGAAATCTCCCTTGTCCTTAACATTCTCTCTATCAAGACACTGTATGCTCTCTTCTGTTTTACTTTATTTACTATAATCTTAAGTTCTATTCTTTACCATCTAATATAATCAGTAAAAAACAAAGTATGATCAGTATATAATTAAGTTATTTTTTGTTTTTGATAAAAATATTTAAATCTGCTATAGAGAAATTTTATCTACCTATGAGAGGCCCTTCTCATAAACAACCACTGTGCTGGGTAGTTTTTCATCAATTTGACACAAGTTAAGAGTCATCTAGGGCCGGGTGGTGGTGGCTCACGCTTTTAATCCCAGCACTTAGGAAGCAGAGGCAGATGGATCTCTGTGAGTTTGAGGCCAGCCTGGTCTACAAGCGCTAGTTCCAAGACAGGCTCCAAAGTGACAGAGAAACCCTGTCTCGGAAAAAGAAAAAAAAAGTCATCTAGGAAGAGGAAACCTTAATTGAGAAAATGCCCCCACCAGACTGGCCTGTGAGCAAGCTTGTGGCACATTTTCTTGATTTGATTAATGACTGATATAGGAAGCCTGAACACTGTGGGTGGCGCCAGCCCTCTGCAGGTGGCCTGAGTGTCATAAGCAAGATGTGACTGCCTCGCTGAAAAAGGTACCAAGCCATGTGGCTAATACAGACAAGAATAATGGGCTAATCTAAGTTATAAGAGTTAATAAGAAGCCTGAGATAATGGGCCAATCAGTTTACAATTAATGTAGACCTCTGTGTGATTTCTTTGGGACTTAATGACTTGCAGGAACTGGGTAGGATAGAAATCCCTCACCAACATATGTGTATACACACACACACACACACACACATATACATACATATATTAAATTTTTCAAAGTGTAATTGTGGAAATTAACACCATGCCTATGACCTCATTATAAAGTCTTGCCAGGCAGTGATGGCTCACACCTTTAATTCTAGCAGTTGGAAGGCAGAGGCAGATGGATCTCTGCATTTGAGGCCAGCCTGATCTACAGAGCAAGTTCCAGGACAGCCAGGAATTTTACATGGAGAAATCTTGTCTCAAAAAAAAAAAAAAAGCAAATAAATAAATAAATAGTCTTTAGCTTATTTAGAAATTAAAAATATGTATCTACCAGCAAAACAAAATGAGAATTTTAAGAGACTATCATTGCTATTTATTACATTTGTAATGTAAATGCTAAGTAACAGAACTAAACCTGCCAAGGTGGCTAGCCCAGGGATACAATCTAGCACTTAGGAGGCAGAGGGATGAAGAGCTGAGTTCAAAGCTAGCCTATGCTACAAAAGAGCACCTTTGTCTCAAAACAAAAAAGTAATAAACTATCACAGAAGCATTCTAATTAAACATTTAGATCAGAGTAAAGCTATCATTTATCTACAAATACAAAGTAATTTAGATTTACATCCTCTAGAAGGTAAGGGCAGTTTCCTTGTTTACAAAAGGTAAACTGTTAGTCAGTGTAATTTCAGAATCCATAAGACAGCTAAAATGGTGGTATTTCTGCTATCTTAAATAACAAGAAAAAAATTCTTGACCACTGAGTCAATGCTTCATGGAAGCCTATAACTTGTAGATGTGGCACGTCTTATTTTTACGTTTCCTTGGTAATATTTAGCATTAAAGCATTGAAAATTATTTTCTGTATTAAAAGGTACATCTTTCTGGATATTGTGTTATTTTGCTAGTTTGAGAGGTAAATTGTGCATTAAAGTATTACTGTTAGCTTGCAGCATATAAGCATGAGACTGTCTCAAACAACAAGGTCACCTGATCTGAGGGGTAAGGAGGAAATATTTCATTTTTCTTTTAGCATTTAAAAACACATTTTACTGCTGCTTCTGGTGCTGTTTGTGTGTTCCTTCAGGGTAGACCTGATGCCTCTTCTGTGGAGTAGTAGCTGAGAAGATGCCAGTAATTTTTATGGCAGATGAGAAACCCAAAGGAGTCAAGACTGAGAACAATAATCATATAAATTTGAAGGTGGTAGGCAGATAGTTCTGGGGTGCACTTTAAGAAGCAAATACCTCTCAGTGAACCAATGAAAGCCTATTGTGAATCACAGGGCTTGTCATTAAGACATTGGTTTGATGGATAACCAATCAGTGTAATAAACACACCTGCGCAGCTGGAAATAGAGGCAGAAGATAAACTTGGTGTGTTCCAGCAGCAGACAGGAGGTGCCTAATAAACAAGGAGACTGCTACTTTACTATAGCATTTTGTTATAGACCAAGAATATATTCCCACATGTCTTTAATCCCAGCACTTGGGAGGCAGAGGCAGGCAGATCTCCGTGAGTTCAAGGACAACCTGGTCTAAACAGCGAGTTCCAGGACAGCTAGAACTGTTACACAGAGAAACCTTGTCTCGAAAAACAAAACAAACCAAAACCAAAACCAAACAAAATAAAAATGAAAGAATACATTCTCAATTAGAAAGTAGAAATTTAAAAGAAAGAAAGCAAACAAGCAAGCAGAAATATGGTTCCAAAATATCCTGACTACTGAAGTATAGATTTCTGTTTTTTTTTAATTTCCCCATTCCTATTTATTTATTGTACACAAATAACTGGTGTGAATCCTAGATAGTTTTCCCTTCAAGTCAAGCATTTTTTTAAATATTTATTTATTTATTATGTATACAATGTTCTGTCTGCAGGCCAGAAGAGGGCACCAGACCTCATTTAAGATGGTTGTGAGCCACCATGTGGTTGCTGGGAATTGAACTCAGGACCTTTGGAAGAGCAGGCAATGCTCTTAACCGCTGAGCCATCTCTCCAGTCCTTTAACCGCTGAGCCATCTCTCCAGCCCTAAGTCAAGCATCTTCTTGTTTAAATAAAATTCCTGCTTTTAAAAATTTTAGCACCTATGATAATTATTTGTAAAATATAAAGTTTCTGACAATAAATTTTCTAAAGCCCAAAGGTTCTAAAAACAAAAAAGAAACTTACTAACAGTTTTTAAAATAGGAGACTATCTTATCCAACCAAAAAGTTAAGAATTAGTAACCAAAATAATTTTTAATTTTTCTAAATAAGTAAAAATTGTGTTTTTTAAGATTTTAAAATATTTTAAGTAGATTGCTTTTAAAAGCCTAGAGCAAAATAATTATGTTTACAATAAACAAGGAGGTTCTCTTGAATTGTATCTAATTCCGTTATCAGACAGAAACTTTGCCTTGTTTGCTAATTTAAAGAAATCAATTATAGTAACACATACACAAATGAAAATCTGTGCTGTTTGCATAGAAATATTTGTTATTTGGAAGGAGCAATGAAAAGGCAAAATATTTATATTTTTTATGGCTAATACTTATAGCCGAAGACAAACTATTTATTCATTCATTTATTTAGAACTAAGGGCCACATTTAAGAGAAATATGCATCACTTTCTCTCATGAATTAAAGTATATATTATTCCAGGTAAATACCATCCAACTGTCCTACAGTCTGCACTGAAGCCCTAAATTTTACTGATGGATTCATCAAATAGTTATGGATCATCTGGGCACAGTGGCTCACATCTTTAAACCAGGCATTCTCTGAGGCAAAGACAGGTGATCTTTGAGTTCAAAGCCAGCCTGGTCTATAGAGTGAGTTCTAGGATGGCCAGTACTCTGTAGGAAAACCCTGTCTCTAAAAACCTACCAACCAACCAAACAAACAAACAAAAAAATCTTATGGGTCATCAAGGTTTGGATTAAGGCCAAATTGCCCACTTTACTTTTGGCATTTAACTGCAAGTTCAAATACCGATTTAATTATACACTAGCTCTAACTTATTAGATTATGGTTTCAAAATAATACTTGAATATTTTCCAAATACACCATAATATGAGATTGGGCATGGTGGCTTGTGCATGCTGTCCCAGAACTTAGGAGGCTGAGGTGAGAGGATCATTGTTGTAGGCCAGCCTAAGCTACGTAGTTTTACATTAGTTTGAGCTACAAAGTAAAACCATGACTCAAAACAAGAACAGTATCAGAATACTATTCAGAAGTACTTCTTATATATTCTATCTAGAAATTGCATATATCTAATAACTAAATGCTTTGTTGTTCCATTTTGAGAAATGTAAATATTTTGCCTTTTATAATTCTTCACAAAGCATCGAACATAAGATATATTTAGACATTTCGGCACTTACATATAAGTAATTCTCAATTACTGGAACCCTGATAATTTAAAAGAAAATTTGATCTTGCCGGGCAGAGGTGGCACACGCCTTTAATCCCAGCACTCAGGAGGCAGAGGCAGGTGGAACTCTATGAGTTCAAGGCCAGCCTGGTTACAAGAGCTAGTTCCAGGTCAGAGAAACCCTGTCTCAAAACAAAAACAAACAAAACAAAACAAAAGAAAGAAAAGAAAATTTGATCTTGATGGAATACAGACGAAAGAGAAAAATTAACTAAAATATCATTAGCACAGATCTTTCAGTCCACTAAACTAAAGATAGGCTTTAAAAAGAAAAGATAAAAACACCCTACACACACACACACACACACACACACACACACAACCAAAAGACGCCAGTACCTCTTAAAACCAGCAATGTCACAGAAACACCTAAGAAAACTGCTAGGAAAAGTACCTCATAATGCCCAGGTAAGTTCACTGAAATACCACATTTTTCACAATAACTATACTCAAGTTTGCTTCTGTCCAAAAGATATGATACTGTATAATTTTATATATAAGCAACATAAATTAAAGGCAATACTAACTGTGGTGATGAAGTAAACAGCAGTCACTGTGGAGATGAGTGGTTACTGGCATAGACTAACTAGGGAAATTTTAAGGCAGTGGAAATGTTCCATATTTATTTGGATGGATGGTATATTATAATTCTCCAGACTCACTGAGCTGAATACATGCATTTTATTAAATGATAACTGTTTTAATAAAAGAGCATGCCATCCTGGTACTGATAATCAAGATCTAATCCAAAGGGAAAGCTGAGGTTTTTAAGTTCCTTGGAATTAGGGCTACATGAAATGGCTTAAAGAGATTTGAGAGCATCCTTTGACTTTCTACATAGTGTTTTATCTAATACAAAGTAACTATTAGATTAAATGTTTTCTTCAGTGATTATATACCCTTAATTAGTTCCAAAAAAACAGAAGGGAGGAAATAATATTTAAGATTTGCCATATTGTTAATCAAAACAATGAAACATTCAAAGTCTATTATCTGTCATGAGACATCTATGATACAGGTATTCATTACTATATCTTTTAATCACCTGAAAGAAAAAAAATCAAATGTAACAACTTGACCTTTTACAATAAAAAATATAAGACATTGGCACAGCACTAAACTTAGCACTTCCAGAATGAACTGCAAGAATAGTTCAAATAACTCAAAATGTTGATTTCTCAATTATTTTCCAATTTCCCATACCTCCCCCCAAAGAAATTAACTTTTGAAGAGTTTATTTGATTAAGCAAATTGGAAAGCAGAGGATTAAAAAGTGAACAGGGTGGTGCAGAAATTAGCAGAGGTGGCACTACCTGAAAGCTCATCAGAAAGGGGAGTGAGAACAATATCAGGCAAGAAGGGTTTGGAAGTATGGATCAGAACAGGAGCACTTTTAGCACTGCGAATATAGGCCGATGGCAGAGCACATTCACCAATGGATCGGCTTCTCATGGCTTTAAAAAGGAAAAGAAAGAAGTGGGGAGGAAAAAAGAAGAGTGACTACAATGAAAGGCTGTGTCACAGAAAAAGCAGCAACAGAGAAAACTAAAAGATCCAAAGGAAGGAAACTTTAAATTAAAAACATTTCAGCACGGCAAATACTGGCAAGCTGTAAGAAAAGAAATCACAACACACATTTTGAATGTAATTCTTTTGGTGTAAAGCAGGAAAATGCCTACTATTAGCAATTACAATGGAACAGCATTAAAAAAAAAACAGCAGACACTTCAGCACATTTAAAAAAAAAAAAAAACAAGAAATGAGAGAGCTATCAAATGGAATCACTGAAAAATACTCCATATTATTAGACCAAAACAAGACTGGTACCCTAGGTGGTCATTTCTCTGAGCAATTCTTTTTAAGAAAGCTAAATTCTACTAGCAAATCATTCCATTTTCATATTCTTACCCAAATAAAGCCTTCTAATTACTAATAGGTCCTTTTATGCAGTTTGATTTGTCATGACTTACTCTTGTGTTTAGTAGTTGTTCCAGGTGAGAGAAAACTTAAGCAAACCAGTGTCTGTCACTTACACTAGAGTACAGTAGTACAACTTTAAAGCTTTAATTAGAAACATTTATAGAAAGTAGAACTCTCATCAACATGAAGAATCACTTTCCTGAGTGGACATGGGTGGACACCTGTACTCCCAGCACTAGGGTGGTTAGAGAAGGAAGATCAGGAGTTCACAGTCATTTCCAACCACACAGTGAGCTCTAGGCCAGCCTGGTCCACAACATACCCTCTCTAAAAGCAAAGCAAACACACAATGACAACAAATATAGCACCACGCTCTTAAGAAAAATACAGTTTGTGCTCATACAAATAATAAACACATAAAAACTTCAAAGTCTCTTTTTAAAGACAAAAACTGTTGGGTACTTTCCAAAACCTGTACTTTTGGTTGCACTGGATAGTTTCATAGAAGAGTCACTAGATCACAAAGGTAGAAACTTTTAGTTCCCATAGCAGTAACTAGTAACTTAAACTTTCCAGTAATTTCTGCTTCAGTTAGAAACTATTGACTATATGAACTTATAGGCACTGCTATGTAAGAACACTGTACTTAAACTGCACTGCATAGTATTCAGTGCAAATGACAGAGGCAAAAAGAAACAGAAAAAAAAAAAAAAAAAAAAAAAAACTCTTGGCTTCAGGGATTTTACATTTTCCCTTTGCCCAGAATGTATCTCCTACAGATTCTTCCAAAGTATGCTTCCTCAAATCTACGTTCTCAAATTGTATAATACAGAAGCCTACCTTGATCTAAATCTTGCTCTCCCTCCTGCTATTCTCTAGTCTTTGACCTTGCCTTGCATTTCTTTGCAATTTCCTACTACTTATGTCGACTGGATCTGTAAGCTCAACATTAAAACTGTAAGTCCCAGTGACTGTTTTTAAATTTTGATTTGATCACTTCCTAGGTTTTTAATCAAGATCAAGTATTTGTTCTTAACTATATCCTTAATGTTTAGAACAGTGTATTAATACTGAATATTTAACTTTCTATCCATTCAAACGTATAAAATCCATGGTTAACCACAGTATATAAGCAATGCGTGTTAGGCCTCTAAGGGAATAAAGGGTCTTCAGAAGAATGTATAAGAAACTGGTAGGTCTGCCTCTAGTGAAGTCAACGGTGAAGACAGGGCAGAGGATGCTAGGAGGGCTTAATGGAATGCATGGGTTTTAGACTGAATTAAATAAGCACATTAATTCACCATGGCCATAAAACATTAACTTTAAAAATTAAGAAATTAGTCAGTCATGGTGGCTCTTATCTGTAATCCCAGTACACAAGAAGCTGTGACAAAATTACCGAAAGTTTGAGGTAAAGTGTTTCAGACCAGCCCAGGATATAGTGTGAGACCCTGTCTCAGAAAGCAAGAAACAAACAAACAATATTTAACTCTAACTTTCAAAGCACTTTCCAACTTTATGCAGGTACCTTTCTTCATAAAACTTTTCATGATTTACTTTTTGTTTACTGGACTTGAAACCTGAAACAATATCATACAATTCTGTTTCAGGTGGGAGAAGTAGTGTCGCTACCACTAAAAAAATGAAGCACTTAAAACCTAGGAAGGGGAGCCTAGATGGTCAGTGAGTCACCAAGCCTGACAACCTGAATTAAATTCTGGGACCTACATGGTGGAAACAGAACCAACTCAAGAAAGTTGTTTGCTAACCTCTTTATGCACGGAGTGGAACACACACAAACACACATAAATACACACACACACATGCACACAAAATCATTTTTAAAATATAAAACCTAGAAAGATTTGGCAAATTGTCCAAGGTTACCTAGATATTTAGTAAGAAAAAAGAGTAAGAAAGAACTTATGGCATAAGCCCTCCCTTGAATTTCTGGCAGAATCCTCTCTACTATATAATTTAGTCGAGATATATGGTTCTTAGAAAAAAATAAGACAGTTGCTAGTTCTACAGTATGCTGCGTTGCCTTAAGCCTACAATGCTTCCCACAGTGTTCCTACACCACTTTTTATGACATTATAAAAACTATTTTATGTGCTTAAAAAAAAAATAAAAGCATAGATTTCTTCTTGACCTCAGTTGCCAGCCAACAGAGGGAGTGAATTAATTCCTGGTTGAAAGTTCCTAAAGCCAATAAGACTATGTAATTTTAATACTACAAGTTCACTAACATCTCCATATTTGTGAAGATAATTACTTAATAAAAATATACCAGCTCTTGCTTAAGTTCTGCATGTTGAATACAAGTTCTACTTTTTGAATTCTATAAAATATAGATTTTGGATATATAATATATATAATAATATAAAATATAATTTGGAAACAAGGATACCTAGAATGAAGTAAACTGCATAAACACAAGAGTATATATATATTAGGCTTATAGGCATGCTACTGAACTATGCAAACTACTGGGGAAGGAGGTGCTAGAAGTTTTTTATCTCCCCAAAGAAAAAAGCGTACGCAGATAGCATCTATCCCTGTACTGCTCGTCTAATCCCATGATTTTAGAGTACATACCAACAGTTTTTTGCCGTACTATACTCCTTGCCTTTTCAGTTCCTGGGGAGCCAGTGGTTGTTGCACTTCTTTGTCTCATGGGTGCTTGGCCAGGCTGATCACGACTCCATCCTCTAGAAAATGACTTGTCAACTGAAACTTTCTGAAATTCATGTCCAACTCCTAGAAATGCAGTATTAGTATGTAGAATGGTGGTTGCCTGGGTTGCCATCTTTAAATTATCAGGAATACATTGTTGCAGAGTCTAAGGTTGCCTCACAATACATTAGAAAGTCACTATAAAGATTTTTTTAACTTTATTTTGCATAAAAACCATAGTCAAAACTTAGGAAGATTTTCAAAATTATATTAATTATTTCATCAACAATAAACTATTATAATGCTCTACATCTAGAGATAAGAAATGACCTAAAGGAAAGTCATCTTGTAGTGACAGCTTTTAAAATTCTCCAATAACAGCCACTTGAGAAATAAAAAGTGCAGGAAAATAGTTTGGAAATATCCTTAGTTATCATGACTAAATATAAAATATGACAAGTATAATTTCTAGCTGGCAACTTATTTTTTAAAATGCCAAAGACATGATAGTGATATAATAATTATGCCACTGCCCCCACTTCACTTTAATATTACATAAATACTATTTCACACCTAGAGAATGTTTACTTGTAGTTTAAAATAAAATGCTTTCAAGAGAATTTTCCAAGTAATTACTCTATACTTTAAACATAGAAGAAAGTCATCTTTTCAGTTCTATATAAAAACTGCTTATACTAAAAGGCAAATACAGTTTATAAATTTTGACTTGCATTAATCATTTAAAATAAAAGTTAACATTCTATATTATTTAATTTTAGTTAAATATAAGACTGACCATAACACATATAAATATACATATAAACATACATACACACATATATATGATATTCTTTATCTTACTAATTTTAAGATTAAGAAAATATCAATATATTTCTGAATTTTATTGTCGGAAGTTTTAAACCTCCAGGATAAATGAAGGGAGAATAGAAAAAAATCTTTCTGGCTTGGTTTTCCCCAACTCAATTATTTAAACAGACTGGTATGGAGAATCTTTGAACAACTCTTACCTTTCCCTTTGTGCTTTTTTTGTTTCTGTTCACTCAGCTTATCCAATGGCAAATCACTGAGATCCAAACTATATAAATTCCTGGCTAAAACTTTAGTTAGTGTCTCCATGGTCAGAGACCACTCCGTGGCCAATTCCTCCCAATAGGTCAATGACGACAACACTGACAGTAAGTCATCCCAGAGTTCTCGAGAGATGTATACATTTAGATTTGCTTTGATCCAGGCAACAATGAGAGTCTACAAAGACAAATATTCAAAAGTAACAATGAGATTTGTTTAAAGTGTGACTTCAAAATCAACTATTCAATTCTTTTTATCTAAAAACCAAAAAAATTTTATCACAGAATATGTTGTACAAGCAACTAATGCAATTACTAATACCTGATAAGAATTCTGGGTAACTACTAATTCGCAGTAACATTAAGGCATAACTTTTATGTTGCACTGCATTATTGCTAAGTAAAACTTATGTAAGAGATGGTTCTGTATTATTTAGTGTTGAAATTGTGCTGAAATTGAGTTCTTAAGTGAAAAACTTCAAATGACATTCCCAAACTAAAGATGGAAATGACTATAATGTGGAGGTTTGTTTTTCTACTACAACTACAAAAAAGGAGGGGGTCCTAGAGATGTACTTAATGAAATATCCTTGAAAAATAATACACAAACTAAAGGTTAAAATTACATTTTATTTTAAAGATACAACAGAAATTAAGAGCATTCTGTAATAAATCCAATTACAGTATTAAAAGTTTATACTTTAGAGAGCAGAAAATACTGGTTATCTGGTATCCCTTGAGGTTTTATAGATTGTTACTAAATATTTATCCTATTAATGATTAAGTAACAAAATAAAAAGTTTTCAAAACTGTAACTCCATGGATTTTGCTAAGGAATTATTATAAATTCACACATGAAATGTAAAGACAGCACTGAAGTGACTAGTGACCTTTCGTTCTGTCTCTAAATGTTCAAACTTCAAAAGAAGTTATTTTGCACAGCAAGCTAAATTTCTATCTTTTTGTGGCTCCTATCACTAGACTACTTATAAAAATGAAGAATTTTCTAAAAGTTTAGATAACACGTTTCTATTTTAAAAGTTAATTTACCATCAGCAGAGTTTTTAGGTAGTGACTACGAGCTGAAAAATGCCAGTTATATGGCTACATTTATGGTTAAGGATTAGATAGGAAATAGTCTTTACCTCTGACATAAAGAATTATTTTAATCATGTAATTTTATTTAATGTGTCGCCATAAAAATATTTCCTGTTTTCAGAGTTTATAGTAAGTTTAAAGTCAGTACATTACCTTCATGTTGAAAAAATATGCAATTCCTTTATAATCAAAAGTACCACTGATCAAATCAACTCGAGGAAGGAGAACAATAAAAGTCTATGGGGCTGCAGCACAAGAATGACTCTTGGTTATGTACTACATTTTTATTACTACAGAACAAAATGAAAAATGTTTTTCCTAATGATCCCAGAGATTCAGAAACTCATAAAACACTCAGGTATTATTCCTGAAGCCCTTTGCTAGCTCTCTGAAATGATAAGCATGCACCACACTGGAGGGAAAATAAGGCCATTACTCTTCGTCACAACGTTTCTCTTCCATTACGTGGTGAATTTGTGTGCATGGCTATTCAGCTGAGCAGCTTTTAATTTAGCTCTATAAAAGGTACTTAAACAGATTTCTGATTTAAAGCATTTTCCCCTAACAAGCTCAGCTTCAGTGAATCTTTTAAAAATGAACACACTTCTAGCTATCTATTTATTTTTATTGCCTGGAAAAGTGGTCCTGCAAGTCGACCTGCCAGGGTCATGGTTTTTTTCCCCTGGAACTGCAGAAAAGCTTGTGATGACATCTTCAGCACAGACTCTGTGACTCTGAGCAGCACGAGCAGCATCTGTTCCCTTAAAGAAAGAAGATCCATTAATGTTTCTTCCTGCTTTGGGTTACTGATCAATTTTCATATCCATATGTTGTGAAAATAACATTACCACTGGAATAACTCAAATACTAAATCTTTGAAAGAGCACCAAGTTTTTAGTATTCTTTAACATTAAAATTAAGAATTGAAGTTTGTAAGCCTTTATGAAGCTATCATGAAACCCTTTAGGGTACAATACCTTCAGGTACAAATTTTATGCTGTATGGTTTTAATAATGAACACTTGGGAAAAAAGAAAAGGCAAAGATATTGCTTCTCTTCCTCCCAACTCCCCCTTCCCATTTGTTTCTTGAGACAGAGACTCATAAAACCTAGGCTGGCTTCAACATTCCTATAGAGCCAAAGATGACTTTGAACTCCTAATCCCTCTGATTCCATGTCCCTAGGGTACAGAAGCTTGCCACCATACCCTTTCCTCCCTTTTAGTTTCAGTGATTTAGAAAATCATTTATATGTTTACAGGTGTATCTGTGTGAGTATAGGTCACATGTGTGCAGGCACCTGACGAAGTCAGAAGGCATCAGATTCCCTGGAGCTGGAGTTACCAGCAGTGGTGGACCTCCTAATGTGGGTGCTGGGAACTGAACTCAGGTTCTCTAGAAGGGCATAAAGAGCTCTTAACTGCTGAGCCCCATTTAACAACTGTTTCAGTCTTTTGTTCTACATGTGTATTGGAAATGGAACTAATTCTAACATTGTCTTTACCTTAAACTCGTTCTTCGAGATGCTTCCTGCTGATACCATAAAACTACAGCTGATATTTGGAAACAAATTCAGCAACATACCGACATATGAGGCTGATAGCTAAGCATAGTGGAATGCACCTGTAATCCTCAGGGGACTGAGGCAGGACGGGTGGTATGTTTAGGACCACAGTAAGACCTTGTCTGCCCAAAAAAATAAATAAGTAAATAAAAAAGGAAGGAAAAGGAAAGAAAGAAAACTGACAAGAGAGTTTTAGTTGAGTATAGAGGCAAGCCAGAGTCCAAGCCCCGATCAGTCTCCACCACAGAGGCTACTGTACAGGCCCTATCTAGGTAGGCACAGCTTTAAGGATGGTCACTGTTAAGAAATGTGGGTAAAGCAGTAAGATGTCCCAGATCTAGATGTCATTTGGAGGGAGGAAGTGAATCAAATAGAAAATTAACAATCAGATAAAAATAAAATTGCCTGAGGCTAGAGGCAATAGCAAAGCATTTGCCTATAGTGTGTGAGGTAAGGCTCAACACCATAAAAAAAAAGCAAACAATGCAATCTTGTGCAACCACTTTGGAAATCAGTGTTTCGGTTTCTCAGGAAATTTGGGATCAACCTACCCCTGGACCCAGCAATACCACTCTTGGGAATATACCCAAGAGATGCCCTATCATGACAAAAGCATTTGTTCAACTATGTTCATAGCAGTATTATTTGTAATAGCCAGAACCTGGAAACAACCTAGATGCCCTTCAATGGAAGAATGGATGAAGAAAGTGTGGAATATATACACATTAGAGTACTATGCTGCGGTAAAAAACAATGACTTCTCGAATTTTGCATGCAAATGGATGGAAATAGAAAACACTATCCTGAGCGAGGTAACCCAGACCCAAAAAGATGAACATGGGATGTATTCACTCATAATTGGTTTCTAGCCATAAATAAAGGTCACGGAGTGTATACCTGGTGAACCTAACGAAGCTAAAGAAGAAGGTGAACCCAAGAAAAAACATATAGTTATCCTCTTGCCTAAGGGAAGTAGATAAAATTGCCAGGGACAAAATTGGGATCTTGGGGGTGGGGTGGGGATAAGGGGGGACAGGGAGAGAAAAGTAAGAAGGGGAGGATTGGGGGAACTTGAGGAAACAGGAAGATTGGGATAAAGGAAGGTTGGATAGGGGAGCAGGGAAGCACATATCTTAGTTAAAAGAGCCACCTTAGTGTTGGCAAGAGACTTGAACCTAGAGTGGCTCCCAGGAGCCCAAGGCGATGTCCCCAGTTAGTCCCTTGGGAAGCTGAGGATAGGGAACCTGAACTGACCCTATCCTATAGCATTACTGACGAATATCTTTCATATCACCATAGAACCTTCATCTGGTGATGGATGGAGATAGAGACAGAGACCCACACTGGAGCACTGGACTGAGCTCCCAAGGTCCCAATGAGAAGCAGATGGAGGGAGAACACGAGCAAGGATGTCAGGACCACGGGGGGTGCACCCACCCACTGAGACAGTGGGGCTGATCTATTGGGAGCTCACCAAAGCCAGCTGGACTGTGACTGAAACAGCATGGGATAAAACCGGACTCTCTGATCATGGCGAACAATGAGGACTGATGAGAAGCCAAGGTCAATGGCAAGGGGTTTTGATCCTACTTCATGTTCTGGCTTGGTGGGAGCCTAGCCAGTTTGGATGTTCACCTTCCTAGACATGGAAGGAGGGGGGAGGACCTTGGACTTTCCACAGGGCAGGGAACCATGACTGCTCTTTGGATTAGAGAGGGAGGGGGAGAGGAGTGGGGGGAGGGGGAGAAGAGTGGGGGGAGGGGGAGAAGAGTGGGGGGAGGGGGAGGGAAATGGGTGGCTGGGAGGAGGCGGAAACTTTTTTTTTCTTATTCTCAATAAAAGAAAAAAGAAAAAAAAAATAAACAAAACACAGCCATTGCTCAGAGAATAAAATCTGTTTTTAGATTTTTCTATAATTATTTTCTAAATCTTTTTTAAAAACTTTCTTTATATTTATTCTATGCATATTTTACATCATATATCTTGATCCCATTCATTTCTCCATACCTTAGCAGCTGCCCTCTATACCTGCACTCACCCCTTCCCAAAATAAAACAAATTTTAAGAGACAAAAGGGGAAAAGGGGGAAAAATTAAAAATCTCATCATGAAAACTGCAGTGTGACACAGTGAGTCATGCATTAAACCCTTTGTCCATGCACTGTGAAAAGTCATTGCTAGGGCTCAAGCCTCTGGCTTCTGCTACACTGCAGATGCTGGTGGGCCCTCACTAGGACTCTTTCTAGATATCCTGTTGTTGCCTTGTGTCATGGAGATCCTGCAACTTTGGGTCTGTGAGTCAGGTCCCTTCACATGCCCCAGCAAATCACTGACGAAGTGGATGTTGGGGCCAGCCAAGTCATAACTCTGGTTCTGGGCCCTTGGTCTGCCTACCAGTTCTCCCCTGTCCTCACCACCAGGTTGAGCTCTCTAGTATTGCCCCTACTGATTCGTCTCTTGCAGCAATGAGTGAGGGGTGGGGCCAGTTCTCCTATTTTCACACTCAGAATAGGCCCTCTCACTCCTACACCATTAGGGCCAGCTCTAGTGTGTTGTCCAGGTGAGGAATAGGGGCCACTCTTCCGAGTCCTGCAGCTGATAAGGTCAGCTGTCTCATATGCTGCAGGTGGCAAGGGGTAAGGAGGAGCATCTCTCACCCTCCCACATCACCACTTGACAATGAATAATGGGGGCAGCTCTCCCATGCTTACAACTTCAGGCTGGCTCACCTACACTGTGCAGGGCCTGCTCTCCCAAGTGTTGCAGCTGGTGGGCAGCAGGGACAGCTCTCCAGCTCTTGTGACCTTAGGGCCAGTTTTGCATCTGCCTCAGGCACTCATGGGGAGGGGGCAACTGTCCCCTGCCCATGCTGCAACAGGACAGATGGGTGATGGGGACAGCACACTCTTGCCCACTACTTCAGGGGGCTCACCCATACCTCTGCCAACATGGTTAGCGCTATTGTGTCTCCCAAGTGAGGTGCAGGACATGCTCTCCCTAATGTTGCAGCTGGTGGGGGTCAGGGTCAGCTCTCCCATTCTTATGACCACAGGGTCACCAGAGATTAAAATTTTAAGTTAAATATTTGTTACCTTAGGCTTCTAGCTTAGCTATATGAAATGAAAATCTAACTACATACAACACAGTTTATAAATAAACCTCATCTTATTTACTAAACTTTAATTCATATATAAGGTGACTCATAATTTATACTACAAAAAGAGTAACTTTAATTAGCACAGAAAATCTCATAAAATCAATGAAAAATATGTGTACTCATATTGCCTTAGGCACTATGACTTCAGCTTTAAAGGAATTTCAAAGAATTCTGAGGGCTAGAAAGATGGACTCATCAGTGGAGAGCATGAGCTGCTCTTCCAGAGAACCTAGGTTCGATTCCTTGCACCCATATGGTGGCTCACATCTCCTTTAATCCCAGACCAAGGAGATCCAGTACATTTTTCTGGGCCTTTGCAGCACCAAGCACACGTGCAGGAAAAACACTCATATGTGTAAAAATTAAATTTAAATTTTTAATTAAAACTATGAAATAAACTCTAAAACTGTGTTTCACATGGCAACATTCCTGGCTCATCATTGATTCGAAACTTATAGAAAAAAAAATCATAGGACCAAAAGAAACATACTTCATGATGGGCAGTGATGGCACACGCCTTTAATCTCAGCACTCTGGAGGCAGAGGCATGCAGATCTTGAAGAGTTTGAGACCAGCCTGGTCTACAAAGTGAGTTCCAGGACAGTCAAGGCTATACACTGAAACTCTGTCTTGAAAAACAAAGCAAACTAAAGAAAGTAAAGAAAAAACTCTACTTCAGTTTGGTATGATTTCCTGGTTTTGTTTTGGAGAGAGTATACCTCTTTGTAGCCCAGGTGAGCCTCAACTCTGCAATCCTCCCACATCTGCCTCCCAAGTGCTGGATTACCAGTGTACACATCCATGTTTGGTTTTTAAAATAGAATACTTTTCAAAAGGAGAAAGACTATAATGCAAACTCTGTTTATCACTCATCATGAGTTCCATAAACAAAATCCAGTCATTGAATCTCCTGTGGCAAACTCAAGGAGACAAACATTATTAAGGAACAATGTGATGAGAATGCATGTGAAATGCTTGAAAATGTCTGGAGCACAAAGGGTTCCAAATATGTTAATAAGCATTTCTACGTGCAATTCTATAGAGACTTCAGTAAAGAATGTAGCTAAAGTGCTGGGAGATGGTCCAGCAGTTAGAGCACTGGCTGCTCTTGCAGAGGAGCCGGGTTCAATTCCAGCACTACATGGCAGCTCACAAGGCTCTTTAACTCCAATTCTAGGGGATCGGGAAAGGGAGGCCCTATTCTGGCCTCCACAGAACCTAGGCATAGTGTAGTTATAAACACGTAGGAAAAACACTTATACATATATAAATCTTTAAAGCCATTTCCTTCTCAGTAAGGAAACATAAATTAAGCACACCCTTTAACCAAGTGTTCCCACTTGTTAAAAATAACTCAAAAAAATGTAAGGTCCTATACTCTCCTGCCCCAAAATAAGAATACATGTGTGTGTGTGTGTGTGTGTGTGTGTGTGTGTGTGTGTGTGTGTGTGTGCCCATTAATAGATGTCGGTTTGTCGGTTAGGATAGTTACAGGCTTGTGTTTCCAGCTACTAAGGAGGCTGAGGCAGGAAGATCATACATGTAAGGCCTGCCTGAGCTACAGAGTGAGATCAAGGCTAGGATGGACAACTTAATGAGACCCTGTTCAAAATCAGTAAGTTGTGGTAGTTTACAATCATAATCCCAACACTCAGGAGACTAAGGCAGGAGAGTCAAGAAGCCCAGTCAGCCTGGAATACACAGATAGCAAGATCTTTCTACAAAATAAGTCAAAAAGTAAGTAAATAAATAAATAAAATTTTAAAGGAAGAAAAAAAAAAGGACCCAGGGATATAGCTATTAATTGTGTGTTAGAGAACTTCTTAGCATGTGCAAGACCATGGTTAAGTACCTAATACTGAAAAAAACCACACAATAAAAATATGCTTCACATGCTATATTACTACGCAATTGCATTGTGAACTAGTGAGTCAAATGTATACAAAAGGACAAACACCTCAAGAGAATGGGCTATGGGAACTTTAGGCTTTCCTTTTTGTTTTTTAACTTTTCTTGTTTTTATTATAACCATTATAAGCATTATTCTAACAAAAGCAATAAAACTGCTCTCCCTCAAAGGTCTACTTTTCTATTTAACTCACCAAGTACATAAAGGACTAAGTATATAGTATTACACTAAGTAAAGTAAGCATACAAAATTAAGATAACTGTATTATTCTTGGTGGTGGTTCCAACACATATGACTAAACAGACATTAATACAAGTAACTTAGGAATCCAGACAATTTTGAGAACTATACAGTAGTACCCATCTAGAACAAAAGGAAGTGAGGAAAAACTACATAGAAAAGAAATACAGAAAGAGGAAGGTGGAATCCACCACCTTTAGTGACCACAGAAAACATGGTAGACATTCTAAAGCAAAATTCAGAACACGCTCAGGAAAGATCACTTTGACAATTCTGGGAAGGATGCAAGGTGTAAGTTAAATTTAAGAAGTCAAACATAAGGAAAAAGCAGGAAGGGGCCTGTTAACACAAGGCTTTGAAAGCCACAGTAAAGAAATAGGCTTTAAAAGTTCAGTCAATCATCTACTAACATCTTCAATCACTTAACACAAGCAAAAATTAATTTCTCTATGTATATAGAAATACATGCATTCATTCATAGGAGAAAGAAATGAGGACATACACATACTTTAGATAGTTCGAGGGGTCTTATGGAAGCTTAATCAAGGATGTTTGGAATAAAATGAGACAGTCTACTGTCACTATGATTAGTATATAAATATTTGTACTCATTCAGAAATAACACTCTAATATTGTCACATACTCTATTCATAGACATTATCCCTTGAAAAATTACTATACTTATACAGAGAACAATAACTATATAAAGATAAAGAATTGTTACCAGGTCTTCTTGTCCATTGATACTTGCACAACCATGTATCGATAAATGTTAAGAATACGTTTACACATATCTGTGTGCTCATCCAAAAGATTTTTTATTTCATTCGCAGGTTCAAGAAGAAATATATTTGATGAGTTTATAATGAACACCTATAATAAGAGAAATCATTAATTATTCATAATGACATTTCAATGGTGGTTTTCATTTTCTCGTTTCTTTAGAACAGGATCTCACTCTGTAGCCCTGGTTGGTCTGAAACTAACTACACAGACCAGGATAAGATGAAATGAGTTGTAATCCTGCTGCTGCTGCTGTTGCCTCTTGCGTGCCAAATTATAAGCATCAGCCAACACATCTGGCTGAATGATAAATTTCTTATTTAAAGGAAAAATTAGACTGGCATGCAGGGTTAATACCTGTAATCCCAGAACTCAGAAAGATGACAAGGAGGCTGAAGGTGTGAGACCAGTCTGGGATAAAAAAATAAGACTTGATCTATCTATCTCTGTCTGTCTCTGTCTCTCTCTCTCACACACACAAACACACAGAATGAGAGACAGAGAGACAGAAAGAAACAAGTACTGATCTAGAATAAATTTAAAACCACGATGTATTAGTTAATACTCCTATTTCTACTACCATTTTGGCATATGATATTTAATCTCATTAACACTCAAATAAATGGATCCATATTAAAAGCATATTTCTAAAGTGAGTGGTCTATAGTCATAATCAAGTACCCATTTCTAGGTACTTCCATGAGAACAGTCAGGGAGACACAAAAAAATCCATGTGAAATCATCTACCTAGAGAGCAGTCAGTGAGAAAAGAACAGGAGGATATGCTATTCTGAGGACAGTGTGGGAGGATCTCAGGGAGAACAACTCTCTCTCTCTGCATATGCTCCTCACCAGGCCAGCAGTCAGGTAAGAATGTAAATGTACTTTTAGTAAAACTCAGATGTGTGTACCTTTAACCACATTGCTGCAAAAGCAGAGACAGATGATCTCTGGGAGTTAGAGGCCACCTGGTATATACAGTGCAACTCTACCTCAAAAAAATAAAATAAAAAAGGACTTTTGATTTAACAAGATAGATGTTAGAAGTGGTTTCGACAAGAAAAAAGAATTGGTGAGAGCACAGCTCTGTGACAGGATGCTCAAGCATCATGTCCTAGGCCTTGGGTGCTGTACTAAGTACCATTAAAAAAAAAAAGCACAAACTGAAGAGAAGGAAAAGGAGAAAAGGAATATAAGAAACTCCTGCAAATCCTTTAAAAGAGCAAACATCTAACAGTGGGAGAAAAGCATAATGAAACACACAGCAAGTCAGATGAGATGTGCAGATGGAGACCCAGGAAGCATTTATGGATTCCTATCTCTGTACACCCACCCATTACATGAATTATCATATTGTAGTTCTTCACTGTCTACAGAGGATGTGAAATGTTGTTTTTTAAAAATTCTGAGGCTAGTGACATGGTTTAGTGGGCAAGGCCCTTGCTGCCAAGTCTGATGACTCAAGTATGATCTCTGGCATACACATGCTTACACATGGTTAGAAGAGAATACACTGGCACAAGTTATCTACTGACCTCCGCATGGCAAACACACACTTGTACCCCCAATACACACACTAAGTGTGAAAACAAAATTATATTTTCCTAATTCAGTTTACCTTTCCTTTATTAGTCTTGAATTTCAACATCTTTTTCCATCTATGAACTATGTAATGTTTGTCAGTATTTATTTTATGAAAGACAAATATGGCATAGTGATAACTCACAGATGTGAGTGGTATATATATAAATTTAATATAATATGAAAAACCAAACTATGGGCATTTCAAATATTTAATGACTTTTTTTTTTAAGCTGAAGGGCTAGATATGTAGTTCATTGGTAGAAAACTTGCCTAGCATGCCACAAAGCCCTGGGTTCAATCCCAGGAACTATAAATATACACACAAACAACAGTAAGTATAAAGCTACCCACCTGCAAAACTGCCTGTGTACCAGCTTGAATATTTTGTTCTGTGGCTTCTTCAGAGGCATGAAAAGCAACTTGATAAGAACCATTTTTGGTCCAACTAGAATTTCGAACATGCTCAGAAATATTGGTCCCATTTTCCTGAAGCAAAATGTCAAATATTTCATCAATGAGAATGCTGCAACAAGTCAGTAACATAAAATGTGTATGGAATTATTAGATCCCACTGTTAAACTGAGTCTTTACTTCAAAACAGATCGTTTTAGGGGGTGAAGAGATGACTCAGCAGTGAAGAGCACTGACTGCTCTTCCAGAGCACCTGAGTTTAGTTCCTAGCACCCACATCAGCAGGCTTACAACTCTCTATAACTCCAGCTCCACAAGACTCTGGGGCTTCTGAGAGCACCTGCTCTCATGTGCACATACCCACATGCACACATACAGACCTATACATAACTAAAAATTAAAAATAAACCAAAAGATTAAAAAAGGTTTAACTAATAAGTGATATGTATTCACTTTAAAAAATTTTAACAGAAAAAATTATGGATAATGACTAGCTAGAGTTAATATCACATCATATATGGAATCATTTGTGTATATTCTCACATACTCAACAATCACATTACACTATTCACTGCTTTATAAAAGATTAATTCTGTTCTATACTGAATGCCAAAATCTACATAACTAGAAAACAGATTTTTAATAACAGTAAAATTCTTAAAAACAAGAGGCACTGTTTCAGACAACTACTACTGAAGCTTTCTGAAACTCTATTACAGAGCTTCAGTATTGAAAACAGCTTGGTATTGGCATAAAAACAGAGAAGTCGATCAATGGAATAGAGTAGAAGACCCAGATTTTAACCCACAAACCTATGAACACCTGATTTTTGATAAAGGAGCTAAAAGTATACAATGGAAGAAAGAAAGCATCTTCAACAAATGGTGCTGGCACAACTGGATGTCAACCTGTAGAAGAATGAAAATAGACCCATATCTATCACCATGAACAAAACTCAAGTCCAAATGGATCAAAGACCTCAATATCAATCTGAACATACTGAACCTGATAGAAGAGAAAGTGGGAAGTACCCTACAACAGTTGGGCACAGGAGATCACTTCCTATGTATAACCCCAGCAGCACAGACATTAAGGGCAACATTGAATAAATGGGACCTACTGAAACTGAGAAGCTTCTGTAAAGCAAAGGACACTGTCACTAAGACAAAAAGGCAACCCACTGACTGGGAGAAGATCCTCACCAACCCTACAACAGACAAAGGCCTGATCTCCAAAATATATAAAGAACTCAAGAAACTAGACTGTAAAAAGCTAATTAACCCAATTAAAAAATGGGGTACTGAACTGAACAGAGAATTCTCAACAGAAGAAATTCAAATGGCCATAAGACACTTAAGGTTATGCTCATCCTCCTTGGTGATCAGGGAAATGCAAATTAAAACAACTTTGAGATACCATCTTACACCTGTCAAAATGGCTAAAATCAAAAACACCAATGATAGCCTTTGCTGGAGAGGTTGTGGAGGAAGGGGTACCCTCATCCATTGCTGGTGGGAATGCAAACTTGTGCAACCACTTTGGAAATCAGTGTGGCGGTTTCTCAGGAAATTCGGAATCAACCTACCCCAAGATACAGTAATACCACTCTTGGGAATATACCCAAGAGATGCCCTATCATATGACAAAAGCATTTGTTCAACTATGTTCATAGCAGCACTATTTGTAATAGCCAGAACCTGGAAACAACCTAGATGCCCTTCAATTGAAGAATGGATGAAGAAAGTGTGGAATATATACATATTAGAGTACTACTCAGCGTTAAAAAATAATGACTTCTCGAATTTTGCATGCAAATGGATGGAAATAGAAAACACTATCCTGAGCGAGGTAACCCAGACCCAAAAAGATGAACATGGGATGTACTCACTCATAATTGGTTTCTAGCCATAAATACAGGACATTGAGCATTTAATTTGTGATCCTAGAGAAGCTAAATAAGAAGGTGAACCCAAAGGAAAACACATAGTCACCCGCCTGGATATGGAAAGTAGACAAGATTGCCGGGCAAAAACTGGGAACTTGGGATGAGGTGGCACGGGGCCAAGGGGAAATGGGGTGAGAAACGTGAGAAGGGGAGATTGGGGGGAGCTTGGGGGAATGGGATGGTTGTATAAAAACTTATTGCCAGTGAAAAGAGTTTACAAAGCCCTGATCTACACAACATAACCTCGCTGTTACTTGTTTATTTTTTGCTTTTAGATTATAGCATCAAAATAAATATAAAATAAAATTGTCACATCACAGAACTTTGCAAAAGAGTACTGAGATAAATACTGTGATATAAAATGTAAATTATACTGAAAACAACCTTTATCTATCTAAACAAATTCATATCAACACATTATTATACTTTTGAAAAACTCTAATCTATTGACCTTACATTAAACCATAAATAAGTTATCATTTTACCTCTTCTCTTTTTTCTCCATCTTCTATTGAAATATTCTGGTCTGTAATGTTTTCGAGACAAGGTATATCTGAAGAGGGGAGCACACGTTCGTCAGGCTCCTGCATAAACAAAGGCTTTTCCTCTTGTTGGATCCATTCTTGATACACTTTCACCACTTTTCTCATAGCTGCTGCTTCACAAATTGGTAATAAAAATGCCTAGTAAATAGGAAGAAAAGAAAAAGAATGATACATTTTATTTTGTCACAAACATAATAATATATTTCTCATCTCACACAATGAGGATATTAACAATTTCACAAACTTAACTCATTAACTACTAATCAATTCACAAAAAGCCTTTTATCTCCAGATATTTTGTGAATACCTTGAAAGAGAAATACGGTACATAACTATTCAAGCAGAAGGAACAAAGATTTTTTTAACTGCGTTACTTCTGAATGGTAATATTGTTTCATGAAATTTTACTCTTACAAAGTTCAAAATAAATATAACTTCTCATGATAAGCCACATTTTATAAACTTATATTTACTGCTATTTTGAGAATTATTACTATTAAAATGTTCTCATAAGCCAGACAGTAGTGGCACAGCCTTTAATCCCAGCACTCAGGAGGCAGAGACAGGCAGATCTCTGTGAGTTCAAGACCGGCCTGGTCTACGAGAGCTAGTTCTAGGACAGCTAGGAGTGTTACACAGAGAAATCCTGTCTTGAAAAACCAGAAGAAAAAAGTGTACCCATAAAAAGATTTACTTCAGATGAAGAATATAGACAGTTGAATAAAATAAGAATAATGATGTGTGGTATGAAAGAAGTCAATAACATGATACTGAAGAAAAATATTAAGTCATAACTAAAAGTTCTGTACAAAGTTTCACCAACAGAATAGATGAAGGAGAGAAAAAATAACCGTTCCAAAAGACAAGATGGAGGAAATGGAACAATTCAGTAAGGAAAAAAAATCAAGGTAATTTGAGAATTCCAAGACTCATGTGATACTATGAAAAGACCGAATCTAAAGGTCAGGGGCATAGGAGAAAAATTTTATTTTAAAAACACACAAAATTTTCAAAATAATCATAAAAGAAATGTCCATCCATATAAGGAGGGCATTCGGGACACCAAGAAAGAACTTCCCCTTGGACTCTAATTAAAATACTAAATATACAGAACAAAGCATACTGAAAGTAGCAGAGAAATACATGAAGTTACACATAAAGGCAGATCCATCAGAATAACAGTAGATTTGCCAACTAAAACTTAGTGAAAAAGTAGAAGGTCCTAGAAAGATGCACTTCAAGTTTTAAAAGTCAATTGCTAACCCACAAATGCTGCCAGAACAAGCAGAGATATCTGTCACAGCAGAAGCAGAAGTAAACTTTCCACGATAAAAACTGGCTAACAGAACTTACAACCATTAAGTCATCTCTCTATAGAAGCTACTTTAAAGGAATGTTCCAGACTAAAAACAAACAAACAAACAACCCATCCACATGAAACAAGTCACACCAGAATAATAATCAGGAAAGGAAAAGAACAAAACACTATAAAAATCAACAAAATAACAGGAATCAGTGCACAGCATTAAATAAGAGCTCTGAATATTAATGATCTCAATATTCCAAACCAAGATACAGACAAGCAGATTGGATCAAAAGCAGGAAACATCTTTTTGTTCCCTCTAAGAAAATACTTCACCACACACACCCAAAAAAAAAAAAAAAAAAAAAAGACAGGATAAAAGGGAATAGAAGGGTGTTCCAAGCAAACAGACCTAGGAGACAAGCAGATGTCACTCCTGTAACATCAGACAAAGCACAGCTCACTACAAAACTAAGAGGAAAGATAAAGACGACAACTTCATGTGACTGAGGAAATTAACTATCAAGAAAACATTGTAATTCTTTACATATGTGTTACAAGCACAGGCACACCCATTTCCTCAAATGCTACTAGATGTAAAGGCACGCATTAACCCCAACACTATAGTAGTGGGTGACTTCAATATCCTCCTCTCGTCTACTGACAAGTCATCTGACAGAAAACAACCAGGAACATCTGCATTAAATGAAATCGTACATTAAGTGGACTTATCACAGCAACAGAAACCCTAAGACGCACAGTGAATAATTACGAACTCTTTGGATAATTTAGGGAATATGAAGGGGAGGAAAAAGAAAGGAACGGTGAGGGTGCAACTCCAGTAGAGCATGTGTTCTGCACGCACAAATCTCTGTTTCTCTACGGGAAGAAAACAACAAGCAAAAAATAGAAGGAGAAAGGTAAAGGATTTTCAAATAAATTTAAGAAACTTAAAATTAACTTTTAAAATCTTTATAGAATCATTTTAAAATAGCTAAACATCAATATATTCAGTAATAATGACATAATTTTCATTATAATCTGAAACTGTTCCCATGTATTTTACCTGACGAAATATCTCTGTGACAAAGTTTACATTGCTTCTTTTGGATGAAAACACTCTGCGAACAATCTCGATGTCCGTGAGATGCTCTTCGTCAATGCTGCAGAGACTAGAAGAGCTAGGCTCTCGCTCCGTGAGCGTGCTTGTATTGGAATGAGACTGCTCTGGCTCGGTAGTTTTGTCTGCTTTATCAACATTATCATTTTTGTTTTCTTCTCTGGATACCAAACTAGCAGCTGCTCTCTAAAATGAAAACAACAATGAAAGATATCATTATCACTCAACTCAATGTTTTGCTTTTAGTAAATACTAGCATACCCCAAGGCCACATCCAACACTGTTAAAAGCCAGATAAACAATTACAATCCATGCTGAAAAATTAAGCAGAAATGCAGATAATACCTAAGTGACAGAGGAAAAACTCAAAATGTGTAATAACAAATCATCTACATACCCTTAATTAAACTGAGGTAATTCAATTAAGTCATCAATTAAACCCACATGAAAAAACTTTCAACACACAGTCACAGAGAGGAAGCTGAGGTCTTTAAGAACGAGTAAATAACTGACAAGAAAACAGCACCAGGCTATTTATTTCACAATGCTAAGTATTTAATCTTTCCTGAAGCAGAACAAGAAGAGTGTGGGGACTGCAGACCACAAAGACCCTGAATTTCCTGTAAACAACTGTTTCCCTCTGCTCTGAGCAGGAGACCCTGATAGCAGGGGAGTGGTTTCTGATGGGTCTGCAGCTGAAAGATCCTGACAGCTGGGGCGCGGCCAGAGCACTATAAAAGCTGCCCCTGAAAACAATAATGGGGGTATTTTTGTTTCAACAGTGACCCATGTCTCTGTCTCTATATGTGTGTGTGTTTAAATCTTCAGGCCCTTGCCCGAGACTCATGAACTGTCTCTCCTAGTGCAGGCGCTGCACTACAGGGGTAGTACCATAGTACACGTAGTAGTACTGACAATACAGAGAGGAGGAAGAAAGATTCATGACAGAAAACAAAGAAATAAAATTAAGAGAAAATCTTCGGAATTTTGAGAAAATGCTATTCATTATAATAACAGAATACTCATCAAGCCTGGAGACCACGATTAACCTGATCAAACTGGTTTCTTACCAGAAATGCAGGGATGGCTCCACATATATAAATAAATAAACAAACATAATTCAGCACAAAAACAGACTAAAAGACAAAACTATGTGATCATCCCATTAGAAAAGGCCTTTGACAAAATCCAACATTACTTCATGATAAAAGTTCTGGAGAGACTAGGGATACAAAGAATATACCTCAACATAATAAAGGCAATTTACAGTAAGCCCACAGCCAAAGTCAACCTAAATGGAGACAATACCAAAGCACTTCCACTAAAATCAGGAACACGACAAGAATGCCAACTCTCTATACCAATTCATATAGTACTTAAAGTTTTAGCTAGAGCAATAAAACAACTGAAGGAGATCAAGGGGATACAAATAGGAAAGGGAGAAATTCAAGTATTTTTATTTGTAGATGATATGATTTCTATATATAAAAGACCCAAAGAACTCCACCAGGAGACTTATACAGCTGCTAAACACTTAAGCAAAATAGCAGGATACAAAATTAACACACAAAAATTAGTAGTCTTCTTATATATAAATGAAAACAGGGAACAGTACCTTTACAATAGTCTCAAAAATATATATTGTAATAACTCTAAACAAGCAAGTGAAAGACTTCTATAATAAAAGCGTTAAGACACTAAAGACATCAGAAGATAGGAAGACTTCCCATGCTCTACCAAAGAACTCCTAGAGCTGATAAGTAACTTCAGTGATGTGGCACGTTACAAGATCAACTCAAAAAAAAATCAGCAGCCCTCCTATACACAAAGGATAAAGAAGCAGAGAGGGAATTCAGAGAAACTTCAACTTTTACAATAGCCACAAATAGCATAAAGTATCTTGGGGTAACTCTAACCAAGGAAATGAAAGATCTATTTGACAAAAACGTTAAGTCTTTGAAGAAAGAAACTGAAGAGGACACCAGAAAATGGAAGGATCTCTCATGCTCTTGGATGGGTAGAATCAACATAGTAAAAAATGGCAATTCTTTCCAAAGTGGTTGCACAAGTTTGCATTCCCACCAGCAATGGATGAGGGTACCCCTTACTCCACATCCTCTCCAGCAAAGGCTATCATTGGTGTTTTTGATTTTAGCCATTCTGACAGGTGTAAGATGGTATCTCAAAGTTGTTTTGATTTGCATTTCCCTGATCACTAAGGAGGTTGAGCATGACCTTATTAATGTTTTTTGGCCATTTGAACTTTTTCTGTTGAGAATTCTCTGTTCAGTTCAGTGCCCCATTTTTTAATTGGAAAGCAGTGTGGCGGTTTCTCAGGAAATTTGTGATCAACCTACCCCCAGGACCCAGCAATACCACTCTTGGGAATATACCCAAGAGATGCCCTATCATACTACAAAAGTATTTGTTCAACTATGTTCATAGCAGCATTATTTGTAATAGCCAGAACATGGAAACAACCTAGATGCCCTTCCATGGAAGAATAGATGAAGAAAGTGTGGAATATATACATATTAGAGTACTACTCAGCGGTAAAAAACAATAACTTCTTGAATTTTGTATGCAAATGGATGGAAATAGAAAACACTATCCTGAGTGAGGTAACCCAGAACCCAAAAATGAATATGGTATGTACTCACTCATAATTGGTTTTTAGCCATAAATATAGGACATTGAGCCTGTAATTCGCGATCCTAGAGAAGCTAAATAAGAAGGTGAACCCAAAGAAAAACATATAGTCATCCTCCTGGATATTGGAAGTAGACAAGATTGCTGGGCAAAAATTGGGAACTGGGGGGTGGGGTGAGATGTGGGAAAGGGGCTATGGGGAGAGACAAGTGAAAAGGGGAGGATGGGGAGAGCTTGGGGGAATGGGATGGTTGGGATAATGGAAGGATGGATATAGGAGCAGGGAAGTATATATCTTAATTAAGGGAGCCATTGTAGGGGTGGCAAGAGCCTTGACTCTAGAGGGATTCCCAGGGGTCCAGAGAGATGTCCCCAACTAGGTCCTTGGCCAGCTGAGGAGAGAGAGCCTGAAATGGCCCTATCCTATAGCCATACTAATGAATATCTTGCATATCACCAAAGAACCTTCATCTGGTGGATGGATGAAGATAGAAACAGAGACCCACATTGGAGCAATGGACTGAGCTCCCAAGGTCCAAATGAGGAACAGAAGGAGGGAGAACATGAGCAAGGAAGTCAAGACCATGAGGGGGGCACCCACAAACTGAGACGGTGTTGCTGATCTATTGGGAGCTCACCAAGGCCAGCTGGACTGGGACTGAAAAAGCATGGGATCAAACCGGACTCTGAATATGGTGGACAATGAGGGCTGACTGAGAAGCCAAGAACAATGACACTGGGTTTTGATCCTACTGCATGTACTGGCTTTGGTGGAGCCTAGTCTGTTTGGATGCTCACCTTCCTAGACCTGGATGAAGGGGGGAGGACCTTGGACTTCCCACAGAGAGGGAACCCTGACCGCTCTTTGGACTGGAGAGGGAGGGGGAGGGGGATTGGAGGGAGGAGGAGGGAAATGGGAGGAGGGGAGGAGGTGGAAATTTTTAATAATAATAATTTAATAAAGCAAAAAAATAAATAAAAGAATTAAAAAGTAAAAAAAAAAGACACTGAAGACATCAGAAGATAGGAAGACTTCCCATGCTCATGGACCCATAGGATTACTGTGAAAACAGCCATCTTATTAAAAGTATCTACAAATTCAATGCAATCCCCCAAAAAGCTCAACACAATTCTTCACAGAAATTAAAACTTGATATGGAAAGACAAAAAAATTCAGGGTACCAAAACAATCATGCAAACAAAAGAACTGATAGAAGTTCATTATCCCAAAGTTCAAGTTGTACGACAGAGCTACATTAAGAAAACCAGCATGTTATTGGCATAAAAACACACACTGATCAATGGAATTGAATTGAAGACCCAGACATAAGTCCACACACCTATGGATACTTGGTTTTTGACAAAGAAGTCAAAAATAGACATTGGAGAAAAGATCACATCTTCAACAAATGTTTCTAGTCAAGAAGAATTCAAATAGAACAATTATTTATCAGGCTGTACAAAACTCAACTCCAGATGGATCAATGATATCAACATAAGCACAGACACCTTGAATGTGATAAAAGAAAAATTGCTGGAAAGGTTCAAGTTCATTGGCACAGGAAATTACTTTCGGAACAGGACATTGATAACAATAAGATCAACAACTACTCAATGAAACCTCAGGAAGCTAAAAAGCTTGTGTACAGCAAAACACACTATCATTTCAGCAAAGTAGCAGCCTACAGAATGGGAAAACATATGATAGAAGGTTGGTATCTAAATATATATAAAGAACTAAAAAAAATTAAACAAAAACACAACAACAACACAATTAAAAGTGAGATACAGAACTAAGCAGAGTTCCCAAAAGATGAATCACAAATGGTTGAAAAACACTTAAAGAAATAAATGGTAGCCCTCTTACCAGTAAAATGCAAACTAAAAAATGGGGGCTAACACTGAGACAGCAACTGAACAATGTACAGAGAATGAGAGAATTTGGAGCACTCCATTCTAAATGGGATTTCTTCATCAAACCTGCCTCTCAAAGCTCAGGGATCTATTTGGAAGAAAAGGCAGAACGATTGTAAGAGCCAAAGGGGACAGATGACAACAAGGAAACCTTATTTTCCATACAGAACAGGACTGATGCACATATGAACTCACAGAGACTGTGAAAGCATATATAAGACTTGCACAGATTAAAGCCAGATGGAATCCCAGCACTGCGAGGCTGAAGTGGACATGGGATCCCACCTTTACCATGAAGCTTTCTGCAGCTGATACCCGCTAGCTAAGGAAATCTCACTGGCTGTATTAGTCACACCTCAGGGGGGCTCCATGGCCCGGAGGAATTGGCCAATCAAAATAAACTCAATGGTATTTTTGTAGACTTTTTGCCTCATTTTGCTTTGTTTGAATTTTTTTATTTTATTGGTCTTCTGCTTGTTTTTATTTTCATTTTGTAGGTGTGTGTGGTTCTTGCTTTTGTTGTTGTTTTGGGTTTGTTTGTATTAAAGATATAGGGTAAAGAATATATAGTTGGGTGGATAGGGAAATGGGAATGATCTGAGAGGAAGCAGGAAAAACGAAAAATGAAATCAAAATATAATTTATTTTCAGTAAAATTGTTTAAATTCATAAAAAGAAATAAGGATTTGACACTTAAGTCTGTGCCAACATTAGATTCAAATAAATGGCATCACTCAGTAAACACACACACACACACACACACACCTACACACATGCTGGGGAAAGCACAATATTAGGGGAAAAGAGAACCTGAAAAAGAAGTGTAAGGATGAAATATTGTTGAATTAAAAAAAAACCCATAATTTAAAATCCTAGTTTCTCCACTGTATAGTTATGTAACATTCATTTATATTTTTAGACTCAGTGTCTGTTGAAAATGGAAGCATTTGGGCCAGATTTCAAATCTGTATTCTTTGACTGCTTAGAATGTAAAAAGAATGAGGTTGGAAGATAAATCAGTAGGTAAACTGATGGTTATGAAAGCATGAGAATCAGAGTTAAATTAAACTTACCATACCCTGAATAGGGAAAAACATCACACAAAGGTTCAGTACTATCTGCAACTTCAGGGATCCAAGGGATCTCCAAACCTATACTCTATGAATAAAGGAGACTATTTTCTATTAAACTTCTGTGGTAATACAGGACTAAAATTACCATCTATATCCCCCAGGCTTTCTTAACTTTTTAAAAAAGAATTTTAGGTATTTATTATACAAACTTTATTTTCCATTAAGAAATTAATACTAATTTTTTTCTCCTTTTTTTTTTCCATTTTTGGAACAGGGTTTCTCTGTTTATCCCTGGCTGTCCTAGAACTCGCTCTGTAGAACAGGCTGAACTCCAACTCAGAGACCTGCCCGCCTCTGCCTCCCAAGTGCTAGGATTAAAGGAATGTGTCACCACAACCCAGCTAATACTATTTCTACAATAATAATGGTTAAAGTTGAGTTATGAGATAGATTTAGTCTCTAGCATGTATTCTAAACATGCTGTATAACTAAGGCAGATGAATTCTGGAAGCCATTTCTAACTTTAACAGCCTTGCTTTATTTGTATATTACCTGAATATTCTTTGGCAAAACTTCACCTTCCATCCCAGGAATATTAGGTCCTGAATGTGGTTTTGGCTCAAGCCAGAAAGAAACCAGCCAACGAATGACAATAACCCGAGCTTGGATGAAAGGCTCTTTTGTACAATATATTGCTTCATTGGTTTCAGCATCCTTCTTTATCATCACGTAATGAGGCTTTGGTCTGATCTGTGGGATATCTATGTGAAAAATAGAAAGCAAAACATAAAATGAAAAATGCAATTACTCTTAGCTAAGCCTACATTTTTAAGCTCTTAGGAGATATTCTGACACTACACTGGTTTTAGAAGTGTTAATTAAAAAATAATCATTTTATAATGTGAGATGCTAGTTAAGAACCTAGAAGAATGAACCATATATTAGACTAATATATAAAAGTATGACTTTTCCAAAATACCATCAATCCCAGCACTCACAAAGCAGAGGCAGGTGGATCTCTGAGTTCAAGGCCACCCTAGTCTACAGAGCAAGTTCCAGGACAGCCTGATCTGTTACACAGAGAAACCTTATGAGATGGTCATGATGGTAATACCTGAGTCTGCTAGTTGCCTGAATTTGCCACATCCTTCTTCAAAATAAATTTTCTACATATAGACTTATCTCTTCCTCTCATATACAGATTGCCCAGGACTATCAAGATTTGTACACAAGACTCTAATGCAAGGCTCCAACAGGTCACTTGGCAAAACCACAAAAAATTGGACAAGAAATTACAAAAATAAACAATTTAACAATTTCTACAATTTGATTGTTTGCTGAACCCTTGAGAAATCGTAGGAAAACAAATTCACAATATAAATTTTAAAGTTGGGCATGATGGCACATACCTGTAATCCCAGCACTCAGGAGGCTGAGATAGGAAGATCACAAACCTGGGACCAGTCTGGGTCTGAGATATTGGGCTATGTATCAAGTTCCAGACCAACTTAGGCAGCTTACCAATTCTGATCAAAATTTAAAAAAGAAAAGAAAAAAGTACACACACACACACCCATGATCATAAAAACATGAGAATTCAATTTAATCTACTGCTAACTCCAATGGATGAGATCCAGAGAGTAAACTTTTATTGAAACCTTTCCATTCTCAGTAAAAATTTGTTGCCACAAATGCACTTTCATTATGAATCTGGGTAAAGAATCAATACAAATGGTCAGTTTTCTGTAAGTAAATACCAACTTTACACTGACATTCTATTCTTATGTGTGTTCTTTTATAAAATTCAGAATTATACCTACCAAGTACAGGATGATATAAACTATTCTCCTTGCAGATGTTTGGGAAAATATAAGGCAAGTAAAACTTCTTAAAATGTGAAAACAAAAATGAAAATCCCCTTTCTTGGTTTTCTTTGTTCTTCCATTCTAAACTTTTTACCTAAAAATAAATGATATTGTTAGAATCATTCCAATACAGAATCTCTTGAATATAGTTTAGCTGTTATAAACAAGCTTATAGAGGTTATAATATATTGAACCTTTTAGACTATGAACATCATAATATATTGCAAATGTTATTCTTCATTTTATTAACATACAAAGTGGTTTCACTACACAATTTTCATACATACACATATAATGTGCTTTAATTATAATCCACCCTTTAAAATTGGTCTATATAAAACTGTATTACATATGCTTTTTAAATTCTTACACTAAATTGTATATTGCAAAATTGTGAAAATGACTTGTTTGGCTGTATTAATGACAAATACAGTAATGCTCTTTCCTCTCTACCTCTTCCTGGATAACTGTGATCAACAACAGAGGTATATATGGCCAGGATTATGTGTGTGTGCATTCACAGTGGTAGTAGGCAAGTGCAGATACCAAAAACCAAGAACAGGAAGCAGGTTATACATGAAAGGCAGCAGCTCAGTGGAGACTTTGAGACTGAGATGTCTAGAGATTGTTCATGCAATGTAAAGTAGAGGAGTAGGAAGACACAGAGTAATAATACTCCATTTTGAACTTCCAGTAAAATGAGAAAGATACCTAAGAAAGGAGTCTGCAAAGGCCCAAGGTAAATTATTGGAGCCCAGACAAATTAAGGAGAATGCCTGCAATGCATGGAAATGGTATTTGGGTAAATATGATCACTTTTAAGAAGGCTAACTAAATACTATATTGAGAGTATGAGACAAGTTTGTCACAAAGGAAAAGATGGACCAAAGGGGATAGATGTGTGTATACATATTTATTCTTTGACTTTAGTCTTTAAGAGGATGCAGAAATAGCAACACTCAGTATTGATAGCAATGAGCAATCCAAGTACCTAGATACTAGATTTCAAGCAGGAGTCTCCAGAGATAGCAAAGGAAAGTAAAAGACAAAACTGTAACAGTAAAGAATTATACTGGAGCACTTTTAATCACAGCACTCAAGATGCAGAGGCAAGTGAAATACTACGAGTTCAAGGCCAGCCTGATCTACACAGGAGTTCCAAGATAGTCAGGACTACATTGACAGACTCTGATTCAAAACAAACAAATTTAATAACTGAAAAAAAGGATCTACGAGGGCGAAAAAAATTATACTGAGGAAGAGCAAGATGGCTCAGTGGGTAAAGGTACTGCCACCAAGCCTGGAAACCTATGTTCAATCCTCTAGGACACACATGGTGAAGAAAACAATCCTGTTCTCTGACCTCCACATTTGCATCATGGGCACCCCTTGCTTCCCTCCAATGAAATAAATAAAAATGCAACAAATTTTTAAAAGAATATTATTACAGACAATGGAAAATAAGTAGGGAAGGGAGAAAACCTTTGCAGATAATTCCTGGCCTACATGAATGTAGAGGCCATGACAGGATTATTTTTCTTTTCTCTTCTTTTTTTTTTTTTTTGTGGGTATGCCACGTTTAGCCTTACATCCTTGGGTTTCATTTGTAATCTGAGACTCTGGTTGTATTAAATTGCCGAGGTGTTTTAAAAAGCTAAAATGACATAACATATCTCATAAGCTTTCTATTGGCATTACGACAAGCTACCACACACATGCTGAATAAAATCAACACAGACTAATCACCTTTCACTCTGTAAAAGGATTATTTTACAATGTTGGCTAAAAAGAGGAAATATTCAAATATCCCAACAGATACACACTTGGCATATACACATAATAAAAAGAAACAACTAATTATGCTAAAACATGAATGAATTTGTAAAGCATTTGCTAATTTGTAAAAGAAGCAGTTCAAAAAAGAATACATTGTGTGAATACATTTTGACTTCACCAAATGAATTCATTTATTTGAAATGTTAAGATAAGCAAAAATATTAGTGTTTTCCTAGAGCAGAACATGGAGTGACACTGGAATAAGAGTCTTAACAGGCTTGAGATTTTATTTTACAAGAGGAAATTAAAATACTTCAAAACTGCATGTAACAACAGCAGGACAGTCCTTAAGAACATCCCACTACACTGCATGTTCCATGTGACAGCTAGACTGCATGTCCATGACAATTCAATAAGCCACACTCAAACAATTACTAGTTGGCAACCATCATGCCTTTAATTCCAGCACTGGGGAGGCAGAGGCAGATGGATCACTGTGAGTTCAAGGCCAGCCTGGTCTACAAAGAGAGTTCTGGAACAGCCAGGGCTGTTACAGAGAGAAAAACTCTGTCTCAAGGGAAAAAAAAAATCCAGCCAAAAGCCTTAAATAGATACTTAAACTATGAGTAAAATTTTGAAGATGTTACATAATTAGAATGTCTTTCCCCCAAATATTGACTGATAAAAAGGAAAAATAGTATTAATAGTATTATCACATTTGAAAAGCCTGGTAGATACCACCTTAATAAAAACATCAAGATCTACACTACAGATGTACATGAATTCACTCAAAAAGACTCAGAGATCTCAAAAATAATCATTAAATTATAAGACTAAAAAATTAGAAAAATATCTTTTTGACACTGAAGTAGAAAAAGATTTTTTTTCTTTTATTCCTTAGAGTATGGGGTGGGGATGGGGTCTTGCTATATAGCCTTGGCTGGCCTGGAACTTACAATTTAGAACACACTGGCATACAACTCTTAAGAGAGCCACCTGTTGCTATTCCCACTGCTGGAATTAAAGGAGTGTGCCATTTATCCTAGCAAGATCTTTTTTCTCCTTGAGAGCAGCATCAAAAATCTGGTTCATAAAAGGAAAAAATAAAAGGCTTGATTTCTTATACTTTGTCAAATTAAAAGGTATCTCTTCTTCAAAAGAAAACAGGGCAGGCAAAGTGACTCTCTGGATGTCTTTCCACACAATCCCAATCATCTGAGTTCAATGCCCAAATGACCGCCAACATTATAAAGTAACTGTGGTATTTCTGTATGACAAAATCTAAAAAAACAAAATGGAAAGATATTGTGAGACAATGGTCTTGTACCCTGTAAAGATGTGAAACTTGTTTTGGTTTAATAAAACACTAATTGGTCAGTAGCCACACAGGAAGTACAGGCGGGACAACCAGAACAGGAGAATTCTGGGAAGAGGAAAGATCCAGTCTGCAGCAGTCACCCAGGTGCATGCCTCACTGATAAAAGGTACCAAGCCATGTGGCTAACACAGACAAGAATTATGGGTTAATTTAAGATATAAGAGTTAATAAGAAGCCTGTACTAATAGGCCAACCAGTTTATAATTAATGTAGGCCTCTGTGTGTTTCTTTGGGACTGAACGGCTACAGAACCAGGCGAGACAGAAACTTCCAACAACAGAAAGACCCTATTGCTGAAAACGCCACCCACTTTGGTTAAAGGTCATAGAGAAATCAGTCTCAAACTCACCAGAAAACTTTCTCCTGTTGGTTAGCTAACATATTTCTGGAAGATATTATGAAGATTGTTGTGAGGAGTGGGAGAAGACTCTGGTGGTCTTATGTAAGACTGGACCCTGAATGTTACAATGTTGAGCTGCCAGGACAGTTATGCCTACTGATGTAAGAACAGACGTGATGTTATGGAGGTAAACAATTATTAGTGGATTAAAGGCCTGCTTCACAGGAGGGAGCTCATGTCTAGTACTATAAACCTGGTCAAAATCCCTTGACTGGAAAGCTCATAGGCCCTAGTAGGGAACCCATGGTGATGTTTTGCTAAATGGTTATGCAGTCAAAATGTTTTCTAAATATTAATGCTTACATACACAGATTTGTTTTACTCTGAATCATGGTCAGAAAAGCTTTTTCTTGCCGTAACAGTTAGTAAAGAAACTAGTCAAAGGGCTAATAAGAAGTGACTGTGAATGCCCAGCCATGGACGGGTCAAAATACATCCCACCCAAGGCTTACAGAACATCACAGCAGAATAGATGGAGAGAATGTAAAAGTCAAAGGATCAAGAAAACTCCAAAGGCTGAATATGTGATGGTGTCATAAAACAAGATTCAATAAATCGTGACGGGCCTACGACTTCAGCATTCCAGAGGCTGAATCAGGAAGATTATGATTTGATACCAGCCTAGGAAAGGCTATGTAGGTAGTTTCAAACTAGTATGAGGCTACAAAAGGAAGGGAGGGAGGGGGGAGAAAAAGAAAAGACGAAAAGAAAGATCCAGCAAATGATAAAACCCAATGTCAAAATTAACTGTATAAGCAATTACATCTCAATTAACCTATAAGGCAGTTTTAAAAACTCATATGATGCATAAACTTTTCAAAAACAAAAAATAATGATGAGAGTAACAAGTGCCCGTAATTACAGAACACATCCTGTGTGTTGTGCCCCTTGAATCTTAGAACTTTGCACTACTGAACGTTTAAATAGAACAGACGGTATTCTATAAATGAGGAAACCTAAATGTAGAATGGTTAGGTAATTTAACAAAAGTCACACTAGGGAGCCATTTTAGGGTTGACAAGAGACTTGACTCTAGAGGGGTTCCCAGGTGTCCAAGAAGACGTTGTCAGCTAGTTTCTTGGGCAGCTGAGGAAAGGGAGCCTGAATGGCCCTATCCTATAGCCATACTGATGAATATCTTGCATATCACCATAGAACCTTCGTCTGGCGACAGATGGGGATAGAGACAGAGACTGCATTGGAGCAATGGACTGAGCTCCCAAGGTCCAAATGAAAAGCAGTAGGAGGGAGAACATGAGCAAGGAAGTCAGGACCGCGAGGGGTGCGCCCACCCACTGAGACAGTGGGGCTGGTCTAATTGGAGCTCACCAAGGCCAGCTGGACTGGGACTGAAAAAGCATGGGATCAAACCGGACTCTCTGAACATGGCAGACAATGAGGGCTGATGAGAAGCCAAGGACAATGGCACTGAATTTTGATCCTACTGCATGTACTGGCTTTATGGGAGACTAGCCTGTTGGATGCTCACCTTCCTAGACCTGGATGGAGGGGGGAGGACCTTGGACTTCCCACAGGGCAGGGAACCCTGACTGCTCTTTGGAGTGGATCAGGAGGGGGTGAGGAGGGGGGGGGGCAGGAGGGAAATGGGAGGTGGGGAGGAGGCAGAAATTTTTAATAATAAAAAAAAATAAAAATAAATAAAAAAAAATAATAAAGTCACTAACAACTAAAAAAATATAATCAGAATTAAAACTCTGCTAATCTTGCTCAGGATCCACATTAACAACATAATATTTGTTTCTCGGGTAAAAGAACTTTTGCATGTGAATAATTATAAATAGTAAAAGTATGTGAAAAGGTATTTTCATCAACTAGAACACGCATATTTCACAACTAGAGATGAGAAATACTTATTGTTTAAGTGTTTAAATGTAAATTAGTTTCCCCTGATTCCTACCCTGTCAGTCACCCTCTTGTTACATCTTGAGAGATTGATCCTAAATCAAGCAGCTGTTCATATTTCACTTAAGCATCAGAAGTGCTGGTAATACTGGCAGGATCAGAAAGTACGTCTGACTACTTGTGTAAGAAGCTCACACACATCTATGATCTACTTCACAGCAGGGTGATAGTACACACCTGCAAACCCAGCACTCAAGAAGCAGAGGCAGGCAGATCTCTGAGTACTGGGTCACCCAGAGCTACACGGCAAGTTCCAGCTTGGCCAGAGATACATAGTAAGACCCTGTCTCAAAACATAAACGGAAGACTCTACTTCATGGGGCTGGGAAGGTGGCTCAGGAGGTGAAGTGCCTGGAAGCATGAGGATCTGAACATGGATGTTAGGTTCCCAAGGAAAAACTGCACTGTGGCTTGCATCTATGGCAGGACAGAGGGGCAGGTAAATAGATCCCGAAGCTCAGTGGTCAGCCAGTTTGGCTGAACTAATGAGGTTCACTGACAGAATAACAGATCCTGTATCAAAAAGAAAGGTGGAAGACAGTTGATGGCAATCTCTAGCCTCCACACACAGGTGTGCATGTACATGCACACATGCACACACACATAAAAGAACCTACTCCATACACATCTCTGACTTGTGTCCTCTCAGCCTCCGCTCCTGTTGCCCTGCCCCTCCTCAACTGTAAGCTCAGACTCTTTGTCTTTCTGTGCATGGTGCTTTATCACAGGTTCTCTGAGTTTCATAATCAACTAATGATTTTCATTTGAGGAAATGTCAGTAACATATATCTTCAAAATTAAAAATTGTGTCACTATTCAAGAAAATAAGCAAATATCTACTATAACAAAGTAATGATAAAAGACTGGAAAATTATTCAGCAGAATGGAGAGTATCTTTTCATAAGGAGAAAAAAGAAGAGAAAGAACACCAGGAGGTTCTGGGTGTGCATGCGAGTAAGCACAGAGAAAAGGCCATGTGCCCATGCAGGAGAAAGATGGTAACATACCTGAATTACTATATATTTTAAAAGTGCTTCAAGAAAATAGCTTGTGAGGTCTTCTTGTCCTTTATCTCCTGACTGCGGGGGAACAAGAGGGGTGACTTCCTCTATAGTTACTTGAGCTATCCAAAGACAAAAAAAATTGTATAATCATAAGACAAACTGCATTATACATTCTACAAAAATATGACCAAATAAAATTTAACAAAATAATTAAGCAATGAAAACTGCTCTTAAATTTTTCTGAATATTTTATGTTGAAATATATCTGAGTATAACCTGGCAATCTATAATCATTGTAAACTTGAAAACTGGCTTTTTGTGAATCCATGATTGAGAGGAAATTGAACAGGGATGAGCAGGTGTGTAGTGATTGAGGATGCAAGGGCCTCACTGGAGAAGATTCACATTGGGAGTGTCAATTACAGGTTGCCACAATACGATGAGAAACATTACTACATAAAGTTAGCATTCTGATTATATGTGAGAAATCTGTGTTTTACTTTTCAGATATTAATTCACTATAATGAATGCTGTTGCAAAAATAAATAACAAATAAATAAATATTAATTAATTAATTAAACCCACAGTTAGCAAAATGTTCTCAAATTTCCCAAACAGAACAATCAGTAACTGGTTATACTGCCCAAGTTAGTAAGCCCACAACAAAGGTATTTTTCAATTCTAAAATAATACACAGTATGTCATTTCTACACCCATTTTAAAAACTTACTATTTAAAAGAACAACCTTTTAATATTTGCACCCTGTCCTCACAGAGTAGTACCAGTGTTTTATTTTACAAAGCTATAAGCCCCCATTTAAGACCCAACAACTTCTAAGCAGCTATAGAGGAACGGACAGGTAGCTCTGTAAACAGCTAAACTTCTATCCTTGGGATTGAAAGAGGGCTCAGCACTGTAGAGTGTGTACTGTTCTTGTTTGCCCCAGGTTTAGTTCCCAGAACCTATATCAGGTGGCTCAAAAACCACTGGACACTCCAAGTCCAAAAGATCTGAGACCTCTTTCTGGGCTCTGTGGACACCTATGTGCAAATGGTACACAGACAAGTAGACACACATACATACACACAAAAAATTAAAGGAAAGCTCTAATTTTGTTCTCAGAAAGAGAATGCAAAATAGTTGGTCAAAATGCATTTGAAACTAATGAAAAAAAATGAAAGCTAGATCTAAAAATAGAGACAAAAGGAAACCTACAGATGGGATGGACAGCAGTGATCCAAAAGAAAAAATGTTCAAGGAACATTGGTTGAAGACTTCAGAATGACGTGTATGTAAATAAGCAGATGTAAGTGGTCTGTTTAAGCTGGTATATTTATAGATTTTTATGCAAACTTGGTTTTGTTTCTAAAATTTTATGCTACAAGTACAGTTTGCTTTGCTATAAAAACCTGTAATTTTTAGAAATATATATTACAATAATATGTAACATCCAATTGAGTACAAGTTATGGACTAAACTGTGTACTCCCAAAATTCATTTGCTGGAACATGAACCCTCAATGTGATTGTATTTAAACAGAGAGCGTGTAAGGTTATACTGAGGCTATTAGGGTTCAATCCTAAATGTATGAAACTGGATATAGGGAGTGAAGAAACATCAGAGGGTTTTCTCTGTGTGCACAAACATGCAAATGCACTAAGGAAAAGATCATGCAAGCACACAGTGAGAGGGTGCTATATGTAAGCTGAGAAAAGGCTCACCAGAAAGTGGACCTATCAGCATCTACTGTGAGCTCCAACATCCAGGAAATGTACTTCTGCCTGAAGCCACTTAGTCTGTGGTAGTTTGTTATGCAGCCCTAGTCAACTAACACAGCAACATTTATCACAAATGCTTACTAGTACAAGAAGAATATGTTTAACAACAACAACAAAAAAAACCTTTGATATTTAAGTAGAATACTAAAAGGAAAAAAACTAAAATGTAAAGAAAAAATAACATCAGAAAATCTTAGGGCTAAAAAGGACAAAGACTCACTAGTGAAAAAAACAGAAGTTAAATAACACTTTTAAAGTCACAAATTAAATTTAAAATAAAAAAGCAACTTTTGATTTATAAAATTTTACATGCAGCAGTTTATAGTCACTGCACAAAGAAAAGCACACTTCTGTTTCTATGTACACATAAGCTAATTCCCGCATACAAAACAATACACAAGAATAGAAATTATAAATTAAAACCAGGAGTAGTATCCAATACCTCCCCGCAGGAGAATCTTGTTTTTAAGGTCATCTTTTACTACATAGGGAATTTAAGGCCAGCCTGAAATATATGAAACTGTATCTCAAAAAAACACAGCAAAACATGATGTGAAGAGGTCTATATTAACCCTAATATGGTTCAGATGCTCTGATATCTAGGACTTGGCTACCAGAGATAATGTCCTTACCGGGACTGGTTAATTCCTAGAGATAGTGATTGACTAACCTGCTAATGATGACTCTCAGATACAAACCACTCGGTCTAAAGACCACGCCCCCATACAGTCCTCTATACTCTTGAGTCAAGGGTATTATTTTCCTGCCTTGATCACTTTAGGGCCAAAGATTAGACTAGGGACCACCTTTTTGTATGAAAACCCACTTAAATTATTACACTAGCTGATTTTCACTTGCCCTTACTGACTTGCTACTTCCTTCCATGAAACCACAGTAAATTCTCCTGCCCACAATAACTTATGAACGTCTGTTCCCTCTGACTAACCCTGACCATTCATGCAAAGAGAGCTACACACATACATTGTCTACATAGGCCTATAGCATGGAGTGTGTATCTTGGAAACTAAGTAGCAAAGTACGGTTCCAACAGTTCTCTTAACCTGCAGGCCTCACCAAGCTAGAGTAATTCCAATTTACCTTATAAACACTGCCTCGAAATACCATGTACCATAACTGTACAGACATTTGACATTAAAAACAAAAACTATACAGAGGGCTGCAGAGATGTCAGTGAGTAAATAGCCTACTCAACAAATATGAGGACCTGAGATCAGATCACCAGCACCTACACTAAAAAAAGATTGATATGGCCTTGAAGACCTGTAACCCCAATACCATGGGGCAAAAGCAAGTAGACTGCAGGGGTGGGGGATTACCGCTAGGGAGTACAGTTGGAACGGTGAATTTCAGACTCAGTACGGAGAAGCAACTGAGGACGATATCCAGCTGTCAATGCCTGACCTCCACATGGCCATCATGGGCAAGTACACTTGCACACATGTACATATACTACAAACATTTGTGCACCAAAATACTACACATACTGCATACTACACAAAATGCATATAAATGAACACGTTTTTAAAAAAGAAATTCTACAGAAAACATGCTGACAGATAACATCTCATCAATCTTACTTTCTTGAAGGTTGAGTGGAGGATTAATAAGATTATCTAAAGTTCGAGGTCCATATTCAGATTGTGGTGCTGAAAACCCAGGGATCAAGCATGAAAACATCCAGAGTTGTTCTTTGCTGCAGTTATCCTGAAGAGCTTGCAACCATAGCAAGAAGAGACGAACACCTTCCCGTCTGATCTAAAATAAAATAAAATGAAATACAGTATTTCTTAATGGACATACTTTCTTGCTCCTTAAAACAATTTTTAGAATGCTATTTTGTTGGAGAAAGAAAAAGACAGGATGGAGAGTAAAAACAGATACACCCAGGACATCTCTACAACTCCCACTATTTTGAAATCCTCCTGCTTCCAGCTATTCAGTGCTGGGGTTCCAGGAGGGCGTTATCACACCTACTTTATGCAGTTCTGGGGACCAACTCAGGGCCCTGCATATATTTAGCAAACACTCTGAGTCACCCCAGCCCTTTTACTCAGGGTTTTTTGTCATAGAAAATAAGTATAATTATATTATACCTTTAAGGAGTTTCCTGTGTGGAGTAGTTTCTTTAAAATCAAACCTGAAAAGAAAAAACATGATTTTAAATATTCTTATCTTCTTATATATTTATAAATGTCAGAGTTCTCGGTCAGACTTGAAAACACTTTTAAACAAGTCCTTGGCAATCTCTAAATTGTTCTTGGTGACTTTGGTAAACCCTTTGATCAAAACTGAGATCAGAGGGGCATATAAAAAAGTCACCTTTCAACACAGTTAAACATGTTTACTTTATTGACAAAATTTGATCCTAAAATTTTGCTTAACACAACAATCTATCCACCTCGTATTTATGCTGAAAATATAAAGAAAATTTTGCCACTAATAAAAAACTACTGTAAAAAGGTTTTAATTAACCAAAGAACATTCATTAATTTCACTATTTCCTAATAATTATTTTCATTACAGTAACATCCAGAAACAAATATTCACTATGAACAAATCCAAATACAATATTATGTTGGTTATTATTTAAACATTTATCTTTGTTTTACTTAACCATACAATGGCACATTGAAGCTTAAATCATTTTCTTCCTTTCTTCTCTAGAGAAAAGCATTACATATGTTTTGGAATTATCACTTACAAAAATATTTTTATATTACTACTTACTTATAAACCTATTCATTTCTTGGCATCAATCACTTAAAACCTTATATAAAGGGTATCATATACAGTAACTCATTTATAAGTTATTTCTTCTTATATCTAGTATTAATTTTTCAAATTTATCTACACTGGTCTATGTAATTCTAGATAAATCATGTTTAACTACTTTAAAGTTTATCATTATGTAAATATATTAAAAATGTATCTAATTTATACAAAGACATCTGGCTTACTTTCAATTTTCTGCCACTATCAAGACTACTATAACAAATGTTATAGTTATTCATGACTGTTACAATATGACTTTTCTTAGACATATAAACTGCAGTAAAATCACTCACTTTCAGCTTTACCAAATGTTAAGAAATTTTACAATATAATGAAAATTAACAATACCAAGCAGTATGTGACACTGCTCTGGTATGTGATGGCAGCATGACCCAAAGACAGACTCCAACATTTGATAATTAATTAGTGTTAAGTTTTTATGTTTCCATTTGATGTTTTCTGGTGACAATAAATGTCCTTTTGTCTGTCCATTCAAATTTTATTCAATTGTTTATTATGTTCTTTTATAATTTTCAAGTGGACAAACCTTTGTAATTTAAAGATCTGTATTGTTTTTATTTACATGTGTTTGTGTCTGTGTGAACAAATGCCACGTGTGCAGGTGCTGTTGGCAGCCAGAAGAGGACATCAGTATTCCCTTGGAGTGAGTTGCTTGCTGTGGGTGCTGGAAAATTGAACCCGGATCCTCCAGAACAGCAGCACATCTTCTCATCCACTGGTTCATCTCTCCAGTCCTCAAGTTTTTGCTTTTGTTTAATATTAACAGTTCTATGTGTGTGTGTTTGTGTGTGTGTGTCCTACTAATTTTCTGCCAGCTCTATAAACTGGAGCTATCTTTTCTCAGACCAGTAAGTTATGTTTTTGTTGGGGGAGGAGTATTCTTTCACATACAGCAAATGTCTTAAAGTTTAGACCAGGTTCATGGCTTTAGTCCCAACACTAGGTAGGTAGAAATAGAAGAATTAGGAGTTCAAGACCAGTCTCAGCTGCAGATCAAGTAAGAGGGCAGCCTAGGCTTTGTGAGACTGTATCTAAAACAGCAAAAAGCAAGTGTCTGCATATTTGTGTTTATGTGTGTATTAATTTCCCTATGACTAACACTTATATTTTAGGTGTATTTTCTTTTTATAAAGAAATCCTTGACTTTAGTACTACAAAGATAAACCAAATACTTCTTTCAAAAACTTATGAGGTGGCAGGAATTGGTGTTTGCTTTTATTCCCAGCACTCGGGAGGCAGGCAGAGGCAGAAGGATCTCTGTAAGTTCAAGGCCAGCCTGGTTGACAGAGTTCCAAGACAGCTAGGACTGTTATACAGAGAAACCTTGTCTCAGAAAAACAAGAAAACAAAACAATAGACAAACAAAAATAACAACAACAAAAAAACCTTGTGAGGTGTTTTATTTTTTTTTTAATTTTGGATTTTGGCAAGGCTGGCCTGGAGTTTACAACATAGTTGAGGCTGGCATTTTGACAAATGGCTTCAAAAACTATGTGAGGGGGATAGACATATCCTAAAACTGGACTATGAGGACTATTTTCTAAAAATATTGAATTTCACTTCAAAGAATAAATTTTATCTATGCAAATTGTATATCTTAATGAAGTTATTTTTTAAATCAACTACAGTTACATTTTCTTTCATTAATAATTCATAAAGCCAAGAGCTTGTAGGAATCATCTGAATGACAAAGAAAATCACCATTTATGAATTTTCACAAGTTATATACATTTTTGGAATACGATTAATTATGACAACTAGGTAACATAAAGATCTTTTGGTGATTAAAGGCCGCAGTCCTCAAGAAATATCTAAGGATCTCTGTAAGCTGGGCAGGGGTGGAGCACCTTTAATCTCAGCACTCAGAAGGCAGAGGCAGGAGAATTTCTTGAGTTCAAGACCAGCCTGGTCTATAAAGCTAGTTCCAGGATACAGCCAAGAATACACAGAGAAACCCTGCCTCTAAAAAAAATACCAATAAATAAATACAACATTAAAAGTTCAACATTATATAGAAATGGATAAAGAAATACATTAAAAGTTCAAATGTCTCAAAAAAAAGTTTTACAAAGACAATCATCAAACAAAGACAATCTTCAAGAACAGTTTCATGATAAGGAAGTTCAAATAAAAGTTCACTATTCTTTTGAGCACTTTGTTATGTGCTCACTGGTAATATCTTTTGTGTAATGTATATTAAAATATTTGGACACCTTTTAAAGCTTGTCTTTTGAATATAGTATGCTGTAATGCAAAAATAATTTTTAATTTGGGGAGGGCAGTTCTGCGCTCTAACCCATGCCTACTTGTATGCTAGGCATACATCCTATTGTTGAGCTAAAGCCCCAGACCAATCCTTAAAGTTCATTTTATCTAAGATTGTGATTTTATTCATTATATCAATATTCCCCCATCTCTGTCTAATATTCCTTTATTTTCCTGGGATAATTTGAAAAAGCTTCTATTTGCACGACTAACCAAGAAATTGAGGCCTAAATAAACCTCTGATTTTCCTTTCTTTTCAAATTTTATTTTGGGAATTGGACGATGGCTCAGTGGTTAAGAACACTCATTCCTCTCTTCAGTTCTCTGAGCCCCCTTCAGGTGGGTTGCTCATTACCATCCTTAGCGTTAGTTCTATAGATCTGCTGCCTTCTTCCAGCCTCCATGGCACTTGCATGCATGTGGTGCATATAGAGACAAGAAAGCACATACACATATACACAAGATTTTTAAAAATTCATTTTTATTTTTAGTTATGTGTATATGTTTGTGTCTAAACAGGAATGTGTGCATGTGAGTGCAGGTGCCCCGGGAGGCCAGAAAAGGGTGACAGATTCCCTGGAGCTGGAGGCACAGCTGTAAACTATCTGAGGTGGACGCTGGGAACTGAATTCAGGCCCTCTGTAAGAGCAGCAAGCACACTTAGCCACTGAGCCATCTCTCTAGACACTGTGACTCTCTTTCCAAATACAAACATACAAAAATTTCTAAGAAAATATAATCAGTTGCGTTCTGGCTCAACAATGTAGACATAAGGCCATTTACTCCCTATGACAAAGGGCATGAAAATCTCCAGCAACCAAGGCAGACAGTGAAGAAGCACTGACTACTTACTTGCTGATCCCTTTTTTAACCAAGGGGGTTGGAAATAAGTCTTATAATAACAGCTCAAAATCCCTGTGGTTATAATTTGAATGTAGCAAAACCTGACTTCATTATTTTAGCTTGTTTCTTGAAAAACAGAAAGTCTGTTTTCTCCTACTTGGACTCCACAGTAATCTACAACATACTCTTTCTTTCTTCTTTTCAGCTTTTGTTTCATGAACTAGACAGCCATATTTTGATCCTTCAAGCAACACTAAGCTTAACTCCAGTCCCCCTGCTTTGTTTTCAAATTTGGGGCTGTCATACATGGAGCATATGCCTGTAATCCCAACACATGGGAGGCAGAGGCAAGAGGATCATGGATTCAAGGCTTGTCTGGACTACATAGTGAGAATTTATCCCAAAATTACTTCAGTAATCAAAGGCTGAAGCAGGAGGACTGCTGAGCAGTTGTGCACAGCTGAGGAGCAGCTCATGCTACATGACAAGCTCTAGGACAATCTGGACTATAATGTGAGAGACCCCACCACAGAAAACAAACAGAAAAGCCAGAAGACAAAGCTTCATAGATTCTCCCTTTTTTGCATTGCATTTCTCTCCTATTTCTGATTCACAAAGATATTTATCTTGAGTTGAAGCCTGCTTCTATTTTTAAAAATAATTCATCATCATTGCTAATGCATTCAGAGTAAAGAGGTAGATAAAAAACACAGTATTGTGTGCCAAGTCAATATATGTGTGTATACACACACACACACACGCACACACATTCTCCTCTCTCTCCTCTTCCTCAACTCATCTTTTTCCCCTCCTTTGTATGTGTTTACAGGAAACTGAACCAGTGCCTCACATGCAAACCATGAGATCTACCACTGACCATTGGCCCTTCATTTAAATTTTAGTCTTAGATCCCCAGTCTGCCTGTGTATTTTCTTCTCTATAGTACTGAGGATGAAATCTAGAAGCTTACATATTCTAGGCAAGCACTCCACCACTGAATTATATACCCAGCTCATTCTTCACTCTTTCATTTTTAGATGGGGTTTTGCTTGCCCAAGCAGGCCCTAAATTTGTGATCCTCGGGCTTTGGCATCCTAAGTAGCTGGGATTAGAAACCTGTGGCACTACACCTGGCTCACCCCTAAATTCATGTATGTACATGCACACATGTGTATGTGTGTGAAAAGTGGAGGCCAGAGATTAATATTGGTGCTTTCCACCTCATGTTTTAAGACAGGGTCACTTACTGAACCTGGAATCTGTGGTTTTAGCTAGACTGGTAGGTCAGAGAGGCTCAGTGTCTGTCTCTACCATGGCACTGGGGTTACTGGTATGAATGTGGCCACCTTTGGTTGCCACCCTTGACTTTTTAGACCTGGGTGCTGGCCAGCAAGCACTTTACCTACTGAGCCATGTCGCTAGCCTCTTATAGTCTGTTTTCAGTAAAACAACCATGAACTCATTAAAAAAATAACTGATAAGCCATTGTATAATTTATTTCAGATGTGAAATATATATTTATATTACTTACCAATACTATGAAATTGCCATCGCTGATGAATTCTTTCTGGAAGAAGTTGTAAAATTTTCTAAAAATCAATATAAGCAAAATAAAGAATGAAATCAAATAATGAGTCAATATATTGTGAAGTATGAAATATGAAGGCCACGTGAAGAGCTTCTTATGTTAAAGTACAGCAAATACAAACTAGTAAAATAATTGAACTTGCCTACGCAAAAAGTAATAAGCAATATTAAAGAAATTCTGGAAGAGAAAAATGAATAAAAATTATCTTTAACCGTGATAAAAAGTAAGTATGTTGTCCTTTTGATGGCTAATCTTAGTTGTCAACTTCAGTGGATCTGGAATGAACTAAGAAGCAAGCATCTGGGCAGTCCTATGAGAGATTTACTTGAATCTGGAAGACCCACCCTAAATTTAAGAGGAGCAAGCACACTCCAAGCATTCTCCAGGACACTTTTAATCTTCCCCAAACATTTGTGCTCACTATTCCACTTACAAGCGCCTCATGTAGCAACTTAAGGTAGTTTACCTACCAAATAAAATCAGGTTTCAAAGAATTCAAGACTAGTGAAAATTAATTTCAGAGTATTAGTTACTGTTTTCTAGTACCTTGTTTTGTTCTTCTTTTTTCTGAGTCAGGAGCTCACCATGTAGCCCAAGCTGGCCTAAAAATTTATAAGTCTCCTGCCTTAGCCTCACAATGGTTAGAGTGTAGGCATGCACCACCATGTCCAGATACATTCATTCTTAGAAGAGCCTACTCTACATAGGTGACTGACGTGCTCATGAACTCCCAGTTCGCGCATTCCTCCCGTCTCACTATTTGTCCCCCCTGAGTAGCGGGACTGCAGATGCACAAGCATCTCAACTATGAGAAATGGGCTTTTATGCTCTCTCTCTCTGATGTCTCTGAAGTCATCAGCTCTAGTCTTGGCTTTCTATCGGTCTCTAACGTCTCAGTAAAGGCAAGAATATTTCTACGACTATTTCCTCTGATAACAGTTATTTTAAAATAGGGATGAGAGGGACATAATTTCTGAATGTGCTAAAAATAGAAACAAATTTTAGCAGAGCTTATCTACCTCCAAACAATGCTTTCTGTTTATTTATAAATATTTTTCCAATCCAATTCAAAGTGATATAAAATAACAATTTAAAAAACAAGGCTATTTTGTTCAAATTTATAATGAAAAACCATTAGAGTAGAAATAATGAGCTAGGTGTGGTGGTATATGCCTTTAATCCAAACACTTGTGGACAAAAGACCAGAAGTTCAAGGCCAGCCTGAGCTACTTGTGTTGTATAGCAATTTCTTCCCAATTCAAACAGTCCATCATGGAGGGGATTAAGATTCAGGAAGTTCTAAAGTGATTTCTTTAAGGCACAGGAAATAAATAATTCACAAGTCTCAGAAAGTCCCTGAAACTTACTACATACACCCTCCTCCCCAACCCTAAGACTAAAACCAACAGTAAGGACTGCTAAGGAGAGATTTCCCATATGGTGCCCAAAGCTCAAGGGTTCCAACTTTCTGGAGTCATCACCCATGCTGTGGTGGGCTTTCAGCTGTCTCTGAGTCAGTCATGCATATTCCTGTAAACCCAATAAATTCACTGGTCCATAAAATTAGACTTTAGTGCGTATTGCTTTGATTTTTCATCAGTTCTCTATCTGGAGTGAGTAAATGTTTGTTCACATCCACAGGAATAGTATCATACAACACTATAAGACCCTGTATCAAAACGAAATGATAAAGCCTGGCATGGTGACACATCCCTTCAGTCTCAGAACTTACGAGGCAGAGGCAAGCAGATTTGTGTGAGTTCAAAGCCAGCATGGTCCGCATAGCAAGTTTTGGGCCAGTCAGGGCTACATAGTGAGACCAGCTGTGAAATAATCCTGTACACTGTGAAAATGTGTTACTCTCATTGTTAATAAAAAAGCGGATTGGCCGATAGCTAGGTATGATTTTCAGGACAGAGAGAACGCTGGGAAGAAAAAGGGCAGAGTCTGAGGAGTTGCAAACCAGACATGGAAGAAGCAATATGGGAAGTTCATAGATGAAGTAAATGAGCCTCAGGCAGCACAGAGATTAACAGAAATGAGTTAGTTTAAGTTATAAGAGCTAGTTAGTAACAAGCCTAAGCTATCAGCCATACATTTATAATTAATACTAAGGCCCTGTATGGTTATTTGTGGGGCAGTTGCCAGGACATAGAGAAACTCCACCTACAGAGACTTTGTCTTGAGGGAAAAAAAAAAAAAAGCAAAATAAATAAATAAATGATAAATCACCTAGGCAAAGATTCTAGAGGTTAAAATAATTGTGTAAACTTTATAAAAATTAAAATTTTCATTTTGCAAATATGCTATTAATTTTGCGTCGTCAAAAGCAAATACAAAAGCCGGGCGATGGTGGCGCACGCCTTTAATCCCAGTACTCGGGAGGCAGAGGCAGGCGGATCTCTGTGAGCTCGAGACCAGCCTGGTCTACAGAGCTAGTTCCAGGACAGGCTCCAAAGCCACAGAGAAACCCTGTCTCGAAAAACCAAAAAAAAAAAAAAAAAAAAAAAAAAAAAGCATATACAATTTTGTCCCTAGAAATACATTATGCTTTAATCATACACAAACTTAGATACATTTTTAAGTTATAAATTAAGTTCCGCAGAAAAGCTGGCAGATTAACTGTGTTTCATTATGTATCTGATAATTTTAATATATTTCTTCATATGTTCCCAGAATTATTTTTTTGTAAGATTTAAGTTAACAGCATTCTCCTTGCACGTATGCCTGCAGGCCAGGAGAGGGCACCAAATCTCATTATAGAGGGTTGTGAGCCATCATGTGGTTGCTGGGAATTGAACTAAGGACCTCTGAGGAACATCATTGTTCTTAACCTCTGAGCCATCTCTCCAACCTCCCAGAATTATTTTGGGAAAGTTTAAAAGGTATGATTCACAGTACTTACCTCAAAAATAAAAAGTATAGCATCTAATTCCTCTCTTTGAGACTTGTGACCTGAAACATTTTTAACAGAAAAATACTTGAAATATATCATTTTATACTCACTGTTAACAATACTTAATGAACTTAAATATTTCAATCCCTGGGCTTTTCTTCAGAAATTCTTTAGGAAAATGCGAAAGCATAGCCTATTTATTATACAGACAGTATTACGGCCCCTCTCTCCTTCTTTAGCATAATTACTCTAAATATGGGTTCTAGGTCTGGGGGTTGGGAAGACTACACTTAACATGTACAAGGTCCTCGATTCAATACCCAGGATAAACATAAAGATTTAGGTTATACTAACATCTAATAACAAATCATATATTGTGGGTTCTAAATGAGATTTGAACATGAAAAACACTTTTCCTATTCAAACATTCCTAGGGCAAAACAAAAAAAGGTAGGTTGAGGAAGCCTGACCAGAAAAATGCAAATATTCTAAGCCTTCACAAAGCAATAAGGATAGTCATACACGTATATTGGTTTCCTTTCAAAAGCAAATTTTGATAGTATAAGAAAAGTATCAAAATAAAACATTACTAAAATTCTAATGCCTAGATCCTCTTTTAAGTTAATGCTTATGACTAATAGAAATATAAACATACAAGTCATAATATATGTTAATATCTTACCTTTTTGTTTAAGACTAGCTTCAATAGTCACAAAATTTTCAAAAAACACATAGTATATATGTGAAAAATGTTGGTCAAAAAACTGTTTAAGGTCAATAGATTCTGCATTCTCTGAAAAACAACAACAAAATAGTCCTTAACAACTATTCCACCAAGGTTAAATGGTCATTAGCAAACATGCACAGTGCCAAATTGATCAATGTCAAAGATCTGCACCAGAAATTCTATCATTTTCAAATATACGAAACAAATGTTTATATAACTGCATCTTTATTTTTGCAATTTTTGCCCTTACATATTTAAGTTTTACATATGGGTAAAGTTATCATAGTCTTTGTGTTTTAAAAACAATCAATGTGAAACTGGGTGCAATGCTGCACAGCTGTAATCTCAGCTACTCTGAAGGCTGAAGCAGGATGATCAGGACATCAAGGCTAGCCTAAGAAGCAGAGTGGGACCCGGTGAAGATAGACAGAAACTGACTGACTGACTCAAAATCTAGTGCTCTATTTTGGGGATGGAGATGGAGAGTGCTCAGCGATTAAGAGCACTGGCTGCTCTTCTAGAGGTCCTTCAATTTCCAGCAACTACATGGTGCCTCACAACCACCTATCACTGTAGTCCCGTGAGATAGGATGCCCTCTTCTGGTATGTAGATGTACGTGCAGACAAAAACACCCACATACATACACAATACGGAAATAAATAAATCTCTAAAATAAGATCTATTTTTTAATTCCTGGCTCCAGCTTTTCTATTATCTTCCCTAACAGCTAAAGAATTATTATGACAATAATTTATAATAATTTAGTAAATAAATAACCTAACAACAGACTTTGCTAGTGAGCATTTGAGGATTATAAAACTTGAAACACGAACTGCTCAAGAATTTGTCAGTACAGAATACAAACAAAATATACAATTATATGCACAAAAGAAAGTTAGATTAAGAAGTTGAAATGAAAGAACCATATATGGAAATTCAAAACACAGAATTACATTCAAAGTTTAATGAACTGCAACTGCTGCCCATGTTCTGCACAGCTATTCTGTATAGTCTCCATTATAAAAACTACCTGTTACCTGAGTATAAGAAAAAGTCATAGAATACATCTATTTTGTGAATATGAAAATAAAAAATTTTAGACAAGTATGATCAAGGAAAACATTTTCCTTTTGAATAAACTTAAGAACTATGAACTGAGAAAGAAATACATTATAGTTACCTCTAAATTTTCCAATCTTAAAAATACAATGTCCCAAGAGAAACAAGAAAATGTGAATAACAAAACAAAAACTCTAAAGCACATGTGACTCAACCCAAGACTTCCCAACATATTAGGAGCTGAGATATTGTCCCTCAATTTCCTTCCCAGATGGCTGGCTATGAACAAAGCCTGGAAGCTGCACAGTGGGGTAAGCCTAATAAACAAGTACTGAAGCCAGGCAGAATGACGCACTCCTGAACTTCCAGTGGAGTTTAAAATGGGAAGATTATAAAGTTGAGGCCAGTCTTGGAGCTATATAGCTCGATCCTGACTAAGCAGGGGAGATGGGTCTATCCAAATTAAGCTGATTTTGTTGTTCTTGTTTACTTTAAGATTTATTTTTACCTTAAATAATGTGTATACCTATATATCTGCAGAGGAGGACAAGGGGGAGTATGTGCATATGAGTGTAATTGTCTATGGAGGCCAGAAGAGGGCACTGAATTCCTTGGTACTGGAGTGACAGGCAATTATGAGTCATCTGGTGCGGGCACTAGGAACTGAACTCTGGTCCTCTGCAAGGGTATTACATGCTCAGACCTACTGAGCTACTTCATTAGCCCCTCTATATTTATATTTAAAAATACAATAGCAAGCAAAAACTCTGATAAAATGTTTGATAGTCAACTAACAAAGTTTACATAACAGAGGAAAAAACAAGGACAAACTAGATAAAATATAAGAGGTCTTTGTACATTTAAAATCTTCCTCCCTCCCAAAGAGACAGCTCAGCATTAAGGATATGTGGTGCAGTTGCAGAGAACCCAAGTTCAATTCCTAGTACACACATGGCAGCGTATACCATCTATAATTCCAGCTCCAGGAGCTAAAAATACCCTCTTCTAGTCCCCACAAGAATTAGGCATACACAGACAGACGAGCAGGCAAATTATTCATACATTATATAAAATAAATAAACCTGGAGTCTCCTTCTGAGATTCCAGGATGCAGGATCCTATTTCAGACTGTGGTCAAGGTTAAAGTTAAGAGCCACCTAGGACTGAGAGGGCCTGAGGAAACAAGCTCCACCGGGAGCAGAAGCCAGGAGCAAATCAGCGATCTCCACCAGAACAAGAGTGGGGCAGAACCTAGGACAGAGAGCAAATAGCTTCACAAATAGCTCCACCGGGAGCAGAAGCCAGGAGCAAATCAAGTCCTGGGAGTCAACCAAGTCCTGGGAGCCAACCCAGTCCTGGGACACTGGCGGATCAGGGTTGAGCTAGTAACCAGATCCAGAGTCAGTGATCTCCACCAGAACATGTTCAACTCCAAGCCAGGGACTTCTGCAGGAGGGGATCCAGACCAGGATGTACAGAAACAGGGCAAAGCTGGCAACCTAGGCCAAAGTAGGCCTGAGACAGCAAACTGCAAGTGAGCAGAGCAAGGCACCGGAGCGCTGAGCTATCTCCAGGAACACCGAGTAACCTAGCGGTTAGAACTGTGACACTAACTGTACCACGAGGAAAACCATCTGAGCTTTGGATTCACTGGTGCCTAGAAGATTATTCAAGAGAATCTCAGACAGCCCCAACCACACCTATTAGAGGAAAAGATGAGTAGAAAAGGTAACATCACATGCTACACCACAAAGAGCAAAACAACACCAGTAAAACCTAAAGACCCTACAACAGCAAGACCTAAACAACCAAATATGGATGAACCAGAAGAAAATGAACAAAAAATAACTTCAAGTGAATGTTAGAAATTCTTAAAGATGAAGTGAGAAATTCCCTTAAAGAAATGGAGGAAAAGACAAAAAATTGGAAGATATCAGCAAATAACTTAAAGAAAACCAAGAAAAAGAAATCAAACATATAAAAGAAACTATTCAGGACTTAACTGAAATAGAAACAATAAAGAAAACACAAGCCGAAGGAATTATAGAAACAGAAATCATGAGAAAGATCAGGAATCACAAACGCAAGCATGAACAGCAGAATACAAGAGATGGAAGAGAAAACCTCAAGCACTGAAGATACAATAGAGGAAATAGACTCATCAGCTAAAGAAAACATTAAATCTAGCAAAAGCTTAACCCAAAATATGCAGGAAATATGGGACACCAAAAGGCCAAATCTTAGAATAATATGTATAGAAGAAAAAGAAGAAGTTCAACTCAAAGGCACAGAAAATTTATTTAACAAAATCATAGAAGAACATTTTCCCTACCCAAAGGAAGATATGCCTATGAAGATACAAGAAACTTACAGAATACCAAATAGACTGGATCCAAAAAAAAGTCCTCTCGTCACATAATAAAAAAAAACTAAATATACAGAATAAAGAAAGAATATTAAAAGCTGCAAATGAAAAAGGCCAAGTAACATATAAAGGTAGACCTATCAGAATTACACCTGACTTCTCCTTGGACACAATGAAAGCCAGAAGGTCATGGTCAAGCATTATGCAGACATTTAGAGACCACAGATGCCAGCCCAGACTCCTATACCCAGCAAAACTGTCAATCACCATAAGAGGACAAATCTAGATTTCACCAATACCTAGCCACAAACCCAGCCCTACACAAAATACTAGAAGGAAAACTCCAACCCAAGGAAGATGGCTACACCAACAAAAACACAGAGAATTGATGATCTCATAACAGCAAATCTCAAAAAAAAAAACCACACACAAATTAACATCACGAATGATAAAAACTAAATTAACAGGAGATAGCAATCACTGGTCATTAATATCCCTTAATGTAAATGGACTCAATTCACCAATAAAAAGGCACAGGCTAACAGACTGGATACGAAAACAGAATCCATCCTTCTTCTGCATACAAGAAACATATCTCAAGCTCCAAGACAGACATCGTCTCAGAGTAAAGGGTTGGGAAAAATATAGCAATCAAATGGACCTAAGAAATAAGCAGGTGTAGCTATCCTAATATCTAACAAAATAGACTTCAAGCTAAAAATCAGTCAAAAGAGACAAAGAAGGTCATTTCATATTAGTCACAGGAAAACTCCATCAAAAGGAAACTTCAATACTGAACATCTATGCCCCAAATACAAGGGCACCTTCATATGTAAAAGAAATACTTCTAAAGCTTAAATCATACATTAAACCCCACACACTAATACTCGGAGACTTCAACACTCCACTCTCACCACTGGACAGGTCAATCAGACAAAACTGAACAGAGAAATAAGAGAACTAACAGATGTTATGACTCAAATGGACTTAACAGACATCTATAGAATATTCCATCCAAACAGAAAAGAATATACCTTCTTCTCAGCACCTCATGGAACCTTCTAAAAAAATTGATCACATACTCGGTAACAAAACAAACCTCAATAAATACAAAAAAAAAAATGGAATAACCCAATGTATCTTATCAGATCACCATGGTATAAAACTAGAAGTCAACAGCAACACTAATTCCAGAAAGCCCACAAACACATGGAAATTAAACAATGCTCACCTGAATCATCAATGGAACAAGGAAGAAATAAAGGGAGAAATGAAAGACTTCCTAAAATTTAATGAAAATGACCACACAACATACCCAACTTTATGGGACACAACGAAAGCAGTGTTAAAAGTTCATAGCACTAAACGCCTACATAAAGAAGCTGAAAAAAATCCCACACTAGTAAATTAACAGAACTTTTGAAAACTTTAGAACAAAGAGAAGCAAACTCACCTAAGAGATCTAGATGGCAGGAAATAAAGTGAGAGCTGAAATCAACAAAATAGTAACAAAGAAAACAATACAAAGAATCAATGAGACAAAGAGTTGGTTCTTCCAGAAAATCAACAAAATAGACACCTTTATCCAAACTAACCAAAAGGCAGAGAGAGAATATCCAAATTAACAAAATCAGAAATGAA